TTTGGTTCTGCGTCCATTGAGAGGGTCCAGCATGATTTGCATGAGTATAAAGCCGAGTAAGGCTTTGCCAAGTCGAAACAGAATGACGTGCCATGGGGTCAATCGAATAAACGACGCGTTTTCCCATCTTCAGAGGAATAACTAGATCCGGCGGAGAACGTGTCGCGTTCACGGAGTCACGTGTCCGAAAGTCTTCTGCGGCGGGCAGACTGTGCGCTTACAGTCCCGTGCAGGAAAATATTTGATGAGATTCAATTTGCAAATTCAACACTCGCCGCGGCGGGTATGATGTTGGTGATGCAGGGTGCGAGCAAAGGCAGTGGCGGAGGACCGGAGGTGAGGGCAAGATGGGGCGAGGGGGATTCGAAAGCCTTGCCGAGATTCCCTGAATAGAACTGTGCTCCTGAGAAGTCGAACAGCCGGTGGGTTTGCAAGCCGGCGAACACAACGCAGGGCTCAGACGAATTGGTCGACTCTCTCTCCCGACTGGAGTTTAAATATCGCATCGCCCGCCGCGGACTCCCATCGGAAGCGACGGAGCGACCTTTCACCGGCAAGGCGTACTGACGAATCGATGAGAGAAAAACCGATCAAGACGTCCACTGGAGGTCATCACGGGAACGCATCCTCCTCTCTTTGTCTTAATCCTGTATTTCGGTCCGTTCCTGGCGGTGGACTAATGTGTAGCTGCTACTGGCGTTGTTGTTGGTCGTATATCGTGGCGAAGAGCTCGGTCCTGCAACGTGGCAGAAGCCAGCAGGCAGGCAAGAAAGCTCTCCTGATGCGAGCTTGTTCCCTCGCCGATCCCACTCGCCAGACGAATAAAGCACTGGACACTGCTGGCAAGGCAAACAGTGGAAAGCAGTAATGGTCAATCTGTCGGGGGCAGCCAGCCAGGCACAAAGGTGATTCCCGCCGTCTGCCAACTGAACCTCCAGGACGGCGGGAGCTAGTTCCAGGGCCAGAATCCGGTGGCGGTTACATCAGCTATGCAGGGGTCAGTGCGTGAGTCGCTATTCGCACGCACGCTTTCACTCACTCACGCAGCGCGTATAAATGAGACCCGTCCGATGAGCGCGGATCCAGACTGTGATGGATGAATGAGGCTCGATGGCTTCCTGCCTCGCTGAGCCGATGAGTAGATGAGCGAATGAATCCAACTCCTGACGGACAGGGTCCGAAGGACGGAGCGACTCGGACTAACTAAGTTCCTGCTGGAGGTGGACAGCCAGCCAGTGAGATCCATTGATTGGAATGTCGATGGAAATGAAGGGGGAACCCTCATCGACCAGCTTAGCGAACCAACGAACGATTCCTTCGATTCCCTCTCTGGCCGTCCCGGACCGCCGACGTGGCCGAACTCGGAGCTTCTGCTACATAGGTCCTCCGGCTGAATATGCGCTCATGTTGAAATGTTTATGTCCGCGGATTCGGCGACTTCAGCCACTTGATCAAACTCACAGTACCGTAGAGTTTCCATTGCGAAATTCCGGAAAGGGGAAGCTCGGGATCGACGAGATCGAATCGTGTCCGGAATTCTTAGTGCGGGAGGGGGGTCGAATCGTCTCGCCCGGAGAATTCGGATAGCTTCAGCATTCAAAGACATCATTCGAGATCGATTACGGCGTCTCAAATCGTCGCTTACACGGGATAACGTGAGCTATGGGCGGATCACTCGCTCGAGTCGATTGATCGTCGAATTCGAACACATGGAATACAGTAGGTACGTTTATGCATTTGGGATCAGAGCGTATGCGAAGTTGGAGAATAAATGAAAATTTGCCTAAATGCATAAATGCCTCGCGAGGATTTACTTTCCCACCCACCATTTCTCTCTGGGCTTCTCCTTTTCATTTCCCCGCTCGCGCTCTATCCAGACTTCGACAATCGAGGAGCCGACGCCGACGTCTCAAATGTGACGGGTGAGGAATAATTTTGGAAATCGGGAGCTTAGCTGTTTAATTTTGTCCCAAAAGCGAAATGTTTGATTGGGATATTGATTATGTCGTCTCCATCACTTCCTCTCAGCTCACGATGGCTGTCCTTACGTATATCACGTCGTTAACAGGGAGCACCGCTCACTCCTCGGGTTCGCGTGACCTCGCGTCGTCATCCGCCGAGGATAACGACTTACTCCGCGAGCACAAGCTAAGCAGCTCGAGTTTCAGAGCCGAGATCAGGTTCGAGTGGCGCTCGAAAAGAACGTCGAACAGGCGACAAGTTGTCAAGCCTCTGCTAATCCGTGTTCACGCTCCGAATTCGGCACGACGCGTGCGACTTGCCAGAATGTGACGGTCGCAGAGATCGGTCCTGAAGCCGAGCCCGCAGGTACTCTGGAGATATCAAGCGCGAAAATCGATCGCCCCAGGAGAGCCCAAGTGAAACTGAGCCGCTCCTGAGGTTCGGATCCGATGGGCGGTAACCCTACACCGGTTCCAGTCGTCAAAGCCTCGATACGGAGGAGGCGGCTAGGCTCTCCTTGTAGCGCTACCTTTCCCCTTCGATCACGTTCCAAGGCTCTTCGAGTAATGGTCTTCCGGCTTGCATTCTCCGACACCTGCTGCGTGTCTTTTTACTATGGGCTTATTTTGGCCAACCCGATTGTGAGACGAGCGTGCGGGCTCGCTGCCTGTCGTCTCGTCAAACGACGGTCGACGTCGTTGCCTTCTGGATGTTGCCAATTATTATGCCACGATGTATCCGATACGGTGGGGAAGTAGGATGAACGCGCTCTGATCGCGTCTTCAGCGGCGGCGGCGGTCATAGTGGCGGAAAAAAAACGAAGACGAAGTATGCAAAGAGCGGCTTTGCATGCGAAATGGCCCGCTTCAATGAGCGGGTCAGAATGGAAAGAGTCGATACTCTGAGTTCTCCGGTCGGGAGAAATCCATTGAACAGACTGGCCCTCCCGCGTCACAGTCGCGCCAGCAGCGTCTCACTCACAAGGGATCTGCACAGGGGATCTGCTCGTAATCCTCGAGCCGATCATTGCTGTTTGTGTTTATCTCTTTGGCAAGGAGCACAGCGGGGCCGTATACAGGAAGACGAAAAGCATCCCGGATATACGGCTCTGCCAGGGGCGGATTCCGGGTCAACCGAGTCGAATAAGTGTGTCCGTTGCTAGACAAGCCACTCATCAGTCTCTTTCTTGTCCGGTCGGCCCGCCATCGCTCGCCCGATCGGGACAGAGCTAATCGGGGATAATTATGTTCTAATTGCAGCTCTTCCGTAGGGGGACGCCGGAATGGAAAAGAAAAACCTTTCGCGGCTCGCCTCGAATGAGTTCTCCGATTCGGATCGCGAGGAACATCGAGTTCAGCGGGTCTGGGCGCGGCGATCGGAATCGGGGCGCTCGGAGAGAAGCCCTCCGCCAATCGCCTTATTCCTTCTAACTGTTGTATCTGTCGTTGGTGCTCTCGCGTATGAGCCGCCGTTGCGCTTCGCCGTGTCTTTCGCACTTCTCGATTGCGCTATTACAAATAATACTGGCATGAGTTCCGCGTCATAACGGAGCAATATCAGGCTCCCGTCCTCTATTCGCTCTCATTCTTTGCCTCGATCATTCATTAGTTGCGCAGCCAATTTCCTCGCTCGCGCTCTCTCGCGGCGCTTCTCACGACGTTCGCGGCGGAAGAGGTCGGCGAGGGAGTGTGAATCCGCAGCCGCTCAGCCAGCAAGTTCGTTCACTTCCCCGCTTGATTCTCCCGTGCGCCGCCCGGCTCATTGAAAACCCACGCACGTAGCCCGGCCGCTAAGTAGCAGAAAATCATCATTGATTCAGTGTGACCCACAAGCTATATTGTTCCTCCGCTCCGGGTGTGGGAGAAGACGCGGCGGGGAAAATTCCCCGCGGCAAGGAATTCGCTCGAGCGCCCGAAACGATGGGCGTTTCCTTGGGTGAATTACAGACGAGTCTCCGGGTCGAGCATTGTTCACAAATTGTTTCCAATAGAATAAAGACGGACTGAACGAACAGGAACGCAAGCGACTTTGACGAGACGGCGACAGCATTGGAGCAGACAAAAAAAACAGAGTCGTCGAATTCCGTCGACCAGCCGAAAACGACGCGGGAACGGCAGAACTTTCTCTGGGACGCGCCATGGGCTGTCGAATCGGAAGAAGTCTCAGGAGCTGAGACAGGGCCCCGGCCAGCCGCAGGAGCGACGAGAAATTCCTCTAGGAAGACCGAAAAAGCGGGCTCGAGAGCCGGCAGTCTCGGGGCATCTTTCTCAAGAGACGCACTAAGTGTGAGCAGCCAGCAGTAGTTAACGATGATTGCTATAAATAGAAGGCCACACAGCCCGAACGGGTATCTAGACCTTGCGCCCACCCGCCTCCTTTCGCCGCTCGCTAAGTTACGCGTCCCGCGCCGTAGGTTCGCCTGTATTCGTGGGAGGCAGCGCGTTACCGCTGATGCCGTCGTCGTCGGCGGCCGTCTTTCTTATGAACTCTGCGAGGGAGGAGAGCGCATATATTTAGGCGGCACTTGAATTTTTCCGGCCGCGAGCCTCCTGAAATGATGCCTTCTCCCATCAACGCTTTTTTCCATGGAAAAAAATGAGCTGGGCTCCTCGTTGATGGAAGCCGTAGCGAACAGACGAAAAGACGAGAGGCTCTTGCCGGGGGCGACGGGCTTTGTATGAAACTCGCCTACTTGTCGTCACCTCGCGCGATCCATAGTGTGCTGCGTCAAAACTGCGTTGGCTTTGTCCACTTCGCTTGTTGCCGCGACTCGCTCGCTCTCGGAGCAGGGCTTCCGTGTGTTGCGTCGGCCAAGTCTCTCGGAGCTATAAAAGGTCGAACTTCCTGCGTAATCTCAATTTAGCTTGCAGTGATCGCAAGCGAGAGAAAGAGCGGAAACTCGAGCGCAAAGTCGATTGTCAGCGACGTTCAACACGCACCGAAAAAATTCGAAATTACGACCGCCGCGATCAGGTCCTTATACAAGATGTCAACAAGAACTATGTACTAGCAGCGAACGTCCATGACGTTAAACTCACAATATGTCTCCTTGGCGAGCCGGGCAACTACTTCCCCCTTCAGTTTGCTGTTCTTTTTGCCCATTTTCCGTTGTTGAGCTCGAGAGTCGCTCTGATGTTGCGGCTGAGGTGATGCCGGTGGTTGGCTTTAGTATCGCTTGATCGATGGAAGTTTTTCCCCTTTGTCGCTTGCTGCTGCTGCTGCCGCAGCTGTTGCAGCAACCGCAGGTGTTGATTCCCGAAGAGATGGGCAGGAACGGTGTCAAAGGTGGTCACCCTGTTTCGTCGCTCCCTCGATTGGGTCGGTGTCCTCTTGAAATGTTCACAAACGACTTCGAGTTCACAACTCACACTTTCAAGTTCACATTCACACGGAGCTGGGAACCCTCCAACACGTTTTTATTCGAATGGTGGCTCAGCGATGCATTTCTTGCAAACACGAAGAATCGGGCCTGTTCCCCCTTTTGATGCTGTCAGTGAAAGCGGTCCGGCTTCAGATCGTCCGATGGTTGGCTGATAGCTCGGCGGATGATCGATGGATTGATTGATTGACTGATTGATTTGTTTCTTCGGATTCCGATCTCTGCCGGGATTCTAGGCGATGTGCAATCGCTCGATTACCCCGACGGGAAGATAAAAGCTGAGGGAGCAAGATATCGCGTGAAACTTCCTCGATGACCAATCAGAAGCTCACGAACGAGAGATGGGTGGATGGATGAATGGATTGACTAATCGATTGATAGCTGGGAACACAAGCTGCTCAATTTGCTTGTCGACGATCGATGTTGGATTGGGGGTGGAACGAACTGAGTAAGGTAGGTGGTTGCCGCGAGTATCGCAACGGATGCCGCGACTACAGGGATGATGGGGTTTGCTGGTTGTCTGGTAGCGTGGAATGTTGGTTGGAAAGACAGTTCGCCTGGATTGTTTTTGCTACTACTGTCGTTCTTCACTTGTTATTGATGATTGATTGATTGGTTGGTTGGTTCGAACAGCTCTGTCCGAAGAGATAGGCGACGGATAATGAGTGACTGTCTCGCACACTGTTCAAGCTACTCCGCCTGTCTATGAACTCCTATTGCGTACAGGTTGCTCGTGAGCTAGCAATGCCGATCTCGCGATGTTGAGGACGAACCCGATCGTCGACGACGGTCGGGTGGAACTCTGTCAGATTACTCGCGGGATCGCGCGTCCAGATTACGTCGATTGTTTCCGACTGACAGACAGCTTGATTGACTACGCACGAGGACAGAATTAGAACGACTGCATAAAACTGCTCTGTCACTGACCTACCACGATAGGCCCGGTGACTTGTAGATTGTGTGTCAGTCGTTGATATCCGGTCGCTTCTGAGTGATCGAGCACATCGAGCAATGTACAGCGAACACACGGCCGAGGTGCAACGACGGTTTCTCCAAAACTCCAGGAAAGCAGGGCCAACTCATCGACGATGAAGATTTTTCCTCACCCGAGTACACCGAACAGGCGAGCAACAGATCCGTAAGCGAATGTACGAGACTTTCAGAGTGGGTCGATGAGCGGATTCCGATGGTTTCAAACCTGGTGCCGATATTCACAGTTGAAGGCGAATGGAATTTCGGAAATGTCCTGCCTAATGACTGGCTGCGTCTGACGGAAGAGATAAAATACAGATAAAGTGATGAATGATCTTATCTGCTTATCTCTCTATAAGAACAGGCAGACAGGACAGTTTTGGGCACGCGAGCGAGCGAGCCTGCCAGCGGACGAGCCAGTCAACAGGTCGCTGGTCCCGCGGCCATATCAATACAGAGAATCGATGAGGTTGTTTTGCCGGCGGCGTTCAGCTCGCTGCTTCTTTCTCGCATACCACCCCTGGTCGAGGGACGAGACGTCCGCAGCGCTCGGCTGATCCACTGCGCTCACAGAAGCCTAGAGTGAGGCCGGTAATGTCCGACGCGTCGTTTGGTGTCACTTTTTCTGCTTGTCTCCTCCTGAACACAGAGTCTCCAAAGCATGATTCACACCGCCACCTGCCCTTTCTCTGGTGCTCCTGTTGAATTGGGCAAAGACCCAGCTTCAACTCGTGCTCGCCACAACAAGACGTCTCCCTTCCACTCGTTGCGGAAAGGGCTCTTAGTTCCCCATAGCACGTAAAGTGCTTACTTAGAGTCCAGGGGGCGCTCGGAGTTCGTTTTGGCAACCCAGAAGCAGCTGCAGTTGTAGCAGCAGCAGTAGGAGCAACAACAACATTAGATACCAGCTCGTCAGCGACCGGACTAGAAAGGAGCGGAAAAATCGAGATTCGTCACGGGAATTCAATGCAGGATCGAAGATTTGGACGGCGCGCTTGAACTCCCCGATGCTATAGCCGAAGAAATGGACAATAGCTACGTGGCAACGGATTAGATACCGCATTATCCAAGAGAACCGCAAGACCTTTGATGAGGATTGGGAGTTTGCACCTCACCCCTTGAGTCCGGTTATTATTCGGGGGAGGGACTGAACCAAAAAGTTTCGTGGAAAGAGCTTTCCCGCGCATCAACTGAGGCAACTCTCCAAGGAAGAACCACCAGACTCTCTGCCTAACTCCACCGTCGTCGCGTGCTCCTCATAGGGTTGCCTCAACTCCGTAGAAGAACGTTTATGCTTTCGGGAAGATTCCTATGGTTTCCGGAGCCGCGGATTCTCTCCACCTGATCAAGCATCGGATGTGGGACAACCTTCTCTTGAATCGGGAATCTTTCATAAAAAACGAGCTCTCTCGTTCATATGTGTGTTTGAGATCCTCGTTTGTGGGAATCGGTGCACGGGAATGACTGGCTTGTCCCTATTCCCTCGGAGCGAGGTCGAATAATGAGCGGGAGAACAACGGTGTATGATCAGACGTAAACCCCCTCCAGCTCAATCAGCAATAACAAACGGCGAAGCTCGCTGTTCGCTTGTTGTTGTAATCAGCTCGGAGTGCCTCTGCTCGAGCTGTCTCATCGAAGTCGTTCCGGAGCGTAATCAAATAAGAGACCGAGCGTAATTGAAACTGAGGGAGGTTGTCGTTTACACGGATGACTGGCGTCTACATCAACTCATTAGGTTCCCCTTGCTAACTCACTCACTCGCCGTCAGATTTTCCAGGTAGCCGTCAAATGAGCCGTCGTAAATTTTCCGGCGCAGGAAAGTTGAGTCTCAAGGGATCGCATGTTCCACTCCATTGCGATTCCGAAGTTTACGCGGGACGAGGTCGTACCTTTCCAGTTTAACGACTCCTTCGAGTCGTTGCTTTAAAATCCCCTGGCTGTGCCCGAATTTCAAGAGAGATATTGTTCCGTCGCGCTGAACACCGTCGGAGGCGCTTGGTCGTCCTCGGCATACCGAGAGACCGTCGTCATCGAGAATTCCGACGGCATCGGGGCCTCCAAAGACTCCCGGCGCGGCGAAACTACGGTCGGAAACATTCATAGGCCACAACTCCCACCGCATAAGCCCTAAACCTTCGAATCGTTGGCTGGTGGTGCCGAAAGCCTTACGCTAATAGCTTTCCAGAGCGAGTCGTTCAGGGCTCGGCACCGCGGAAACCAGAGAACTATTTAGTTGCCTTATCCGGAATTCCTCTCTCCCTCAGATGGTATTCACCGGCGGTTGTGTAGATTTCGTTTTGAGGGGAACCTGACTGCGCCGGGATTCTTTCCCTCTCGGATCATGCATCATTCCCCGACTGCAAACAAATCTAGCGGCTCATAAACATGTCAAATCCTCGAGCAACAAGCTCGCACATTAGGCGAGCCCGCGAGCAAACGAACTCGAGTGATTTACGTGGTGGAGAATCGCTTCGCGTGAATGAACATTCGCTCTATAGGCCTTGACGTATGTCCTACTATTTTTCCAGATTTTAAAATAAGGAAACGCGCCCAAACGGGCCCCTTTCCCGCAGATGAAGTTTATGATGTCTCCACCTCGGAGACGTAATGGGGAATATGAGGCTTCGAAATAGCCACCTCGCGGCCCGGAGTCGTCAACAGCTCCCGGTACACATTCGAAGGAGTTTTCGGACCGGGATTCCGAAGTCTCCGAGGGAAAGGTGGTCGGATAGAGCTCCATCTGCGAAGATTAAAGCTAAAGAGCACAGCTTCTGCGAGGGGGGGAGGAACGAATCATGACGGGCCGTCGGATCGTTCCTCCTGATATACACGCGTTCGTCGACGTCTCTGCCCGATTTCCAAACATTCGGTGAAAATCCAGCTTATATCGTTCTCAACATACATCATATGCTGAATCTATCCCTCTCTGGTAATTCCTTACGGAACGAAGCGATTTACAGAATGTTTCCGATGAGGGCTCGCTGCTTAGAATTTTCACGAATTGCAAAAGAGACGCTAGAGTCTGAATGAGAGGTCGGGAGAAACTTCTCATAGAATAGTGGCCCTTCACAGTATGTGACCCTGACGTTCATCCATGATCAGCATCCACCGGCCAACTCGAGCAACGGCGCTTCAGGAGGGCGCTCGGATTAGGAACGGATGACTCGCATTCTCTGCGGCGTATTCTCACCTCCGAGAATAATGCGTAAGGAGAATCCTTAAATGCTTAATTATCTGGTGCTGCTATTCCCTCGGCTGGTATAGTACGGGCTCGACTAACAATTGACCGCGAACCTTCAACCTTCGGAGGTCGGATATCCGTAGTTTTGATATTGGGCGGTTCCACTCCTATCGCGCCGATCATGACATTCGCCGATGATTTCACTCTATCCATGCTTCCCTCGAAGGTGGCTTCTCGGAGGCTCGAGGGTGAGGCCAGCGGCTGCCGAACTCCGAGTTTCATCATTAAGCATCGAGCTCCAGAGGGTGTTTCCACCTCGAAATCCTCGTAATCGATCGACCGCGCGAAGCGCAGAATTTCCGCGCTTCCACGTATTTTTTGACGGCCCGAATTCCCATAAATGGCTCTTTCCCGTATGCACCCTCAACGGGGTGAGCCGTCGGCTTCGCATCCCTGAGACGGCAGATCTTGTAGCAGAACTTGCAATTTTCCGGGAATGGATATCGCATTCGGACCAGACTGACTTTGCGGATGAGCTCTCCAACAAGCGAGACGAACTCCCTCTAGAATATATTGGAAGACCCAACTTCTGTAGAACGATCATGGGATCAATCGCGACACCAGAGCCCACAACAAGTTCCGGTTGTCAGAATGCGTGCTCCATGGGCGTAAAATGAGCGTTTGGGAAGTTTCAGCGAGTATCCATTCCTTCTATAGCCGGAAAGTTCTCTCCTGGCCTTAGCGTTTCGCTCCACTTCCGCAAGCAGAGCGAAGGACGATTACGCCTGAAGAAAGTAAACTACAGATTTTCAGAGCGTCGAGCAAATTCTCCCGGGGAATCTCTGATTGAGCGGCCTTCTTCCCGATTGATGTCTCCGGTGCGTTTTCAGTGAGCAGCTTCGAAGAGCCCGGGTCTCTCTCGAGGGAGTCTCGCTTCACGAGAGTACCACACTCGTACCACAGATCAGCTTGAACCGTCCTGGCAGAATTGGACGCCTTCCAGCTCCGAACGGAAAGCCTATCAGTCGCTTATAAGCCCCGCAGGAATCGAGAGGATCCCGAGCGTGTCTCGAATACGCTCAACAGATCCGAATACGAGATCCCACACACAACTCACCCTTCAGAAGAGCGTCTCTGGCGTTCGCACTTCAAAACAAGACGAAAAGTACCACAGCCACAGGACACGGCAATCTCTCTTTGAAGGGCAGTCGTGAAATCTCAACTTTCGAAATGATTGTGTCTACAAGAGCGATTCAGGTTACCCGAAGCGTGCTCAAACGTAATTATGGCATCTCGGCCGTAGTCTACGCGAAGGCTTCGGACCCCATCCAGCAGTTGTTCGTGGACAAAGTTCGCGAATACGCATCGAAATCGAAGGGTGAGTCTCCCTTATCTGGGAGTCGTGACCCGCTCCTTTCCGGGACTCAGAATCAATCTGTTCCTAATTGAGAGGGTAATGGGGGAACCTCGCTTTTACCGAACCGTGCATGGACCGAGGACCCGGCGCAGTTCTTCAGACCTTCGGATCGCTCGAACTTTTAGCCCTGAGCTTTCACACGCGCCTTCTACCGATATCTGAGTCGAGTTCGATATATTCCAGGAAAAGTATTCCTCGATCCGACACCCCAGCTCGAGAAACAATACAAAGACGAGCTCGCGAAGGCCCGGCGTCAATACGGTGCGGAAGGTGCGGACATGTCTAAATTCCCCGACTTCAAGTTCACCGAACCCCAGATCGAGCTCGACAACCCTTCGAAGTAGACGTTGGACGGTGTTTCTTAGTTTATGTAAATGAGTCAATAAATCTACGCGGTTATATTCACCTCCAAGGATCGGGGCAGTCTCTCCTGCGGATTCCTCTCCGCTCGTCGCGGCGCCGATGGTGATCAATAAGAGCTCCGCGAGAGCCCTCGGGGACAATCAAAGCTCCTAGAGAGCTGGTATTCTTCGCAAGAAACGAAAGCGAAGTCGATTGTCGACGGCCGAGGGGTTCTCATCCGATCTAGGTGGAAGCTCTCGAGGTGTCCCCCCTCGCAGGACCTCCCGAAGGTTCCCGAGTACTGCTCAAGACGGAGGATCCTCCCGTCTCCGGGCAAAACATTACCGGAAGTCCGGAAGGTCTTCATCAATCGGCGGAACTGTTCGGGTCTCGGCTCCGATATCTTAAGAAGATTCTTGCTCCTCGAGAACTGTATCCAGCAACGAAACCCCTTGTCAGGAGCGGATATTCATATAGGCACCTTTGGAATCAAGGTGCACCGGTGACGTGCACGTGGGTACATCCTTGCTCTGACAGAGCGAGTCGCCGCGCTGGTCGTGTGAGTGGATCCTCGACCGGTCGAGACACGAGCAGTAGGCTGCCCCAGCTCAGGCAAATGGAGATGTGAAATGAGCACCCAGCCGTTTTCCCTATCCCGAATTCTTCAGCAATACCCTTCCGGACCGCTATACCTCCGCCCCGCGTGGAACCCGGTACGCAATGACTTGGAAATCCAGATAGAAGCTCCGGTGTCCGCCCTGGACCAACTCGCGTATCTGGTCTCCTTCGTTAACTATCAAATGCCCAGCCTTAAGCCACAGAGCAAGTGTCACGAGATCAAGCACATTTTTTCATTCTCGTTCCTCAATCATCTCCTGGAACCTCATAGATTTCGAGAGCTTGTATAGAACGATTGTTGCGTCACGATATTCATACGGGATGGGTTGATGTGCAATTAGCGAGGCAATTCATGTGATGCTCGCTCGAAACGATATTCCTCGAAGATGAAAATAATAGCTTCTTTCGAAGTCTTCTATGTTTGTTTATTTGTACAACAACGATCGACGAAATGTTTCCATCGGCTTTATACAACGTATGTCCCGGTTTTACATGATTCTCATATGAGTGATTGCGATGTGCATTCATATCGTGACATTCGAAATCAACAGGATGCTCTCAGCTTCATAAACAGTCATTCCAGGCAACGGTTCCAACGAATAGCAACACGTGATAATGAATGGGCTCTTATGCCTTATTTAAAATGTATCATCTATTAGTATGACTTGTCGAGAAGGTTCACAGTGCTCTAGAGAGCTGGCTTTCTAGTTTCAGACGAATGCTCGCGCATTCTCCGAACTCTCCAGAGCGCTGAAAGGGCTCCCTCGATGATAGAACTCCTAACGCTAGACATTCAATCAGCTTTTCAGAGTCAGAGTTGTCTTCGGAACGTTTCGGATATGAGTGGGGAACAGTCGCTACGTCCGAAGTGAATCACTGCAGCCTTCGCAGAGAGCGCGAGCCAGCGATGAGCCCCGACAAGTAATCACCGGATAATCTTTACAGAGATCGATGGAGAGACGTGATGAATTCAACGCCATCTCATGATTAAATTAAAATTCTTTGAGAGTGATGAAATGACGCTTTATCGATAACAGTCGTTCACGTCCGCGCGAGATGAGCCGCGACGGGCGTTGTCCTGAGGAAAAAAAATAGGAAATTCCGCTAAAAAGTGGACCAGCGACCCTTCGTGATTGTCGGTTCGGAGGGTCGCTGATCCAGCACGACATGATTTAAAATCGACGATGGAGCAGTTGTCTCAGAGGGTTGTCTCCGTTCGAGTCGTAAAATAGTTCTTGCAAGAGAGCTGAAGCGCTCCGCACATGAGGGAATGTCTCAGAAGAAGATAAGAATTTCGTCGCGTGGCTTTACTCCTTGGCGAGATCGGCAGCCTTCGCCACGGCTTCGGTGATGCTGTCGTACACTGGTACTCCATTTCTGGAGGCCTGATCCGAGAGGTACATACGGATTCGGTTGTAATCCTTGGCCTGGTACGGCGTGAGACGTTCCCCGTAAACCGGAACGTTCTCGCAGACTTGCTGAGTACAGAGAACCACCTTCTTGGCATTCAAAGCAATGTAATAGCTCGCCTGTTAAATAGAGTGAGCCTTAGTCGAAGTCACTCGTGCCAGTGGATCAGCAGAAGAGCATGATCCGCGGTCGGGAATCGAATCGACCAGCGAGCCCGTGTCTTTCGAATGCTCACCATGATCATTTCAGCTGCACCCCACGTATCTTTGGGGAACACGAAGAGGAGAACTCGGCACTTCAGGATCTGTTTCATCTCCATGGGCATGAGGTGCTCAGCATCGGGATCGCTTCTCTCTCGCGCAGAGATCAGATGCTTCCTGCAGCGGAAAACGGATCCAATTTATGGAAAATTCTCTACGCTCAGGGAAATCATTTCCGTGCCTCCAATGATGAGCGTGATTTCATCGAAGATCCATCTTGGGAACTTGAATGCTCACGTGAAGTAAGGGCATGCGATATCCCTCTTCCAGTCGAGATTGCCGACTGGGCCGCAGATGAATACCGTGTTGTGGAAAACAGGACATTTATCGGAAGACGTGCGCGTCCTTAGGAAGTTGGGTATCAATGGGGGTTTCAACGAATAACGGTATTCGGAAACGATCATGAGGAACTCGGTTTCGTTGATGAATGGTTTTTCACTCATTTGGTACTCTTTTGGTATGCTCCGGCCGCAGAGCCCCTGCAGAGCAAGACCTCTTTCTTCAAGCGACAGCTCGTTGTTGGTAGAGTAATTATCAATGCTTCTCCGAGTGTTTCTACAGGGGAGAGAGGTCAACGGTTAGGATGAGGCTTCCGAGCTCAAGACACCCTCCAAGATGGCCACCATGACGCAGATGCTCTCAGTGTCTGCGATGCTCACATGAATTTCTCGCCGAGGTCCCCGTCGCTCTTCGGAAGGAGCTCGGCCTTGGTGCAGGTCCCCTTGACGATATCGATGCAGCTCTGCACCGCTTCGCGGATCTGAGTGAAGACACGGATTCCGCACATTTCTGCGATATCGCGCATGTAGTTACGACCGCGACGCATTTCTTTGAGCTCCCTGTCGGAGACAAGAAAACCGATTAGTTGGGATAAAAGAGAGTTCGCGCGTACGTGCGGATGTGTGTGCGTGTATATTTATCGACTCCAGTGACCAAACAGAAAAGTGTCGTATTTCTTCTCTCCCGCTCATTCGCGTCTCCCAATCAGTTCGACCGATGGGAGCCAAGATAGGCGAGCCATCAAGATCCGACGTCATTGCTATCTCGATCACTGAGGGAGTTGAAGATCATCATCTATCGTCAGGACAACGCCATTAGAGCGAATCGGAACGATGATTGCACGTTCATCGCAAGATGAGACATTCCCAGCGGCGCGGCAGCGAGAAAGGATGCCGCTCCACACAGAAATCAACCGAGAAAGATTAGCGGCCGGACCAACGACATTCCGAGCTGAACGTGTTCGAGCCGCTCGAAGCACCTCGTGCTCAACGAGAATCTGATTCTATCGATCCCCTCAGTTTTCTCGACTGGAAGCCGGAACTGTCTGTATTTCGTGAGCTTCCTTCGCGCCGCCATGCCGATTATGCCTCGCCCTCATTAAACGTACCCTTCGGAAAGTTTTTCGCCCATCACCTGATCACCGAGTTCTTCGATGACCAAGACCAAGGTTTGCTTCTTAAGGGCCGACCTCTCGCCGACTTCGACCATGCTTGCTAGCGATCTCGTCTCCTTGTCGTGAACAAAGAGTAGAACCCTAGCATGGTCCTTCGCTTGCTGTTCGAGGTTTATGAGATCAGGTAGCCAGTCCTCCGTTTGCTGGAAACGAGGAATTCATTCATTTTAGTGGTGTGTCCCCTGGCAGACGAGAGATTATCACGTGGGAATGGGCGTGGAGGAAATTATCCACGTCGGAGCAATCGCGATCCCTCGACATAGATTTGGAATGATCTTCAGAATATCTGTCGAAGCCTACGCTCTGATGAATTTCACGTCGGCGAAACGAACAATTCTAGCTCCTGCGACTAGATTCTCGTTCATTATGCAAGCGTATGGAAATATCATGAATAGAACTCCCAAAGCTCTCGGATTAGACCCAAGGAAAATTTTCTTCAAGCTGCGGCGTGCGACACGAGCATGTGTGCTGGAATATTCATCATGCGCCTTCTTTTCCATTCGCAGCGAGGACGAAACGCTATCATGAGTGGATAACCTCTTCCCTCATAGGTTGTCATCTTACGGCGCAAGAGCTTCCTCCGTTAAAATGACAGGGGTCGCCAGCATCCCGCAAATGCATTCCTCAATGTCGAGGCATAAACTGACATTCCAGAGCGTTATAAAAATGCTCGATCTGACAAAACAACAATTAGTCATGAGGAGGCAAAACGGATCGCGACGCTTCCACTCCAGCTATTCCCACAAAGTCCGTCGCTCGTGCGTCGCGTATGCCGATGCCATCATGAGCTATGTCACAATGATTCTACGTTGCTGCTTGGGCGCGAGCGAATCGTCGCCGGCTCAGAACATTTGCTCGTTTAGCCATGCGGCGTAGAATCTGATACAAGGCTCCGGGCTTAGCGCCGCACCGTACCCGCCCTGTATCCCCTCCGGGGGACGTTCTTGCCTCGTGTAGGAGAAGTTGACAACGTATCGAGAATTTAAAGGAAAGCTCCAACTCACCGGGTTGTAGAACGTGACTTTTGCGGATTTGAGCGCGGGAATGGCCTCATCCCTACGCCACTGCGTCGGATTACATGATCCACCGAGGAAAACTGAAAAAAGGAGGGGTTTTCAATCACAAAATCTTTCGACGGGAGGGGAGACAACACGAAAGTAATTGTAGTCGCGACTCCGGGATCGGAGACCCCCTCAAGAACCGTTTTTTGCGAACGCGACGTATTCAGATAGATCAAACTCCAGGGGGTTCGTCGGTAGAATGATGAAACAATCTGAACTCCAAAAACGCGGAGACCCCGATTTCCGATGCATCAGTGGACCTACTCTCCAAGAACTGCTCCTTCTCATTGCCGCTCACAGACGACTAGAGCGTCATCAGAGTCGACTCGAGAACACCCATCACGGGACCAGCGTCAGCCGACCCTGGCGCGAGATCGCGAGAGCATCTCGGCGATCTGCTTGCCCAGGTTATCCCCTCGATTTCTTTTGTCGTCCCGACACTTCCCGGGTCCACCCTTGATGAACTCCGTAGGCCGATAACCTTCGAATTGTTCATGCAAGGGGAGAGCCCGCCACGAATTTCATTTTCATTAATTAGGTACGATATTTTCGAAGGTCGGCAATCAACCCTCAAATGTCTCGATTCGAGCCCGGAATCCACATTTTGAGCAACTCCCGGAAGTTCAGTGCGATCATTCTGTAGCTCTGATAGAGGATCACTCGCGGATTGGGCGGGAAGAACAGAATAGAGCGATCTCCGCTCGGATTTTATGGATGACCCGTTCACGATAGGGGAAACCCATTACTGTTATCCATAAGAGCTATCAAGTCTCTACTATCAGGTTTTTTCCCGCCTGATCGCGGTGTAGAATTCGACGCAGTCGGCGGGATGAAAATGAGCACACAGCTCTCGTAAATTGAGTCGCGGGAAGAGCTAGTACCGCATCTCGGAATCGAGCCCGTCGCAAGACATCACACCTGCCTCCACGCGAAACGGATTGTAAATAGTCCAGAGACTTTGCCAGAGAGTATAATTGAGAAATTCGAAGCAAACTGAGTTGAATGGCTCAGGTCCGAACTAACTCTGATGGTCAATCGCATTTTATCAGCTATAAATCTAGACTGTTTTACAGCCGTTGAAAGCTGCCAGTTGGCCGGCGATAGCCCGGTTACGATCGAGCATGTCGCGAGCGTCGAAAAGGACAAAAGACGAACATCAAGTTACCTTCTGTGCAAAACGGTCCAATCGTCACCTCCTTCTTGGTCTCGTCCGGTCCCCCGGTTTTCTGTCGCGGTGCAGCATTTTTCGAAGTGGGTTTCACAGGAAATGCATCGGCGGATGGAAATCGCTCGAACGCCACGGTTTGCGTATTCCCCACTATCGACATTATCACGCACGTTTAGGTTGTATTGAGAATTGTCCAAAGAATCAAAAGTAGTCCGTTCAGGGTCAGCGTAATAGGTTCAGGGTTCAGCCGTCAGAGAGTTTGGCCATTGGTGCAACTTTCGAATCAGTCTATCTGACAGAGGAACTAGAGGTTCAAAATCCTCACTCACACACAACAGAATGGCCCAATCTGTGAGCTTTCCCGCTTATAAGGGCCATTGCGGCGGGCACCCTCGCCTGTGTCACTCACTCCGCTTGAACATGGCCACTGTCAGCCGTGCAGTCTGGTCTCGCCCGTCGAGACTGTCAGCCGGCCAGCTAACTAGCCACGAGCGGCTCGACCGCTCTCAATTCTCTTCGCAATGAGAGATGGGCACTCTCGTAAGATTTATCGGTGAGATTTTTTCCGAGACCCCGAAAATTCTCCCCTCGTAACAATTGACATCACATTCCGTCCTTCGGAATCCTTCCTTGACTTTGCCGTAAGGCTCTCCCCCCTCGCTCACTCCTTCGATCCCTCCCTCTCTGTCTACGCAAAACCTTCATCATACGATGCAGACATGATTCAAGGAGTGCATCATACGGCCTCCGTTCCTTCCCCATGCCCTCCGTTCGTGCGTAAGGCCTCCGGTACCGATGAGTGACATCTAACCTTGGCGTTGGATGCATCGGATAGAGCTCGGGATCGAGGCTCGGGGGCATGGTCAACTCTACACAGAAGTTGATCTTCCGCGCTCTGCATCGGTCAAACACACGCATCAGGTGCGAGCCGGGGTCCTCAATCGAACAGAACAAGACCCTGCCGTTTCGCGTGGGGATTCGGACTCATTGCACCGATCGCATGGCGGGCACCTCGTGTATCAGACATTGCAACCGCGCAAAACGGAGACACTGTCGAGCGCGACCGAGCGGAGCTAACAATTAATTTTCATCGACATGTTTTATTTAGGAAAGCCATAAATTGAAGATAATCAGGCTGAAACCACACGGTCAGCATCGACGTCATAGTTTTACGTGGACGACTCATCAACGGTAGATGGACCCCGTTCCGTCCATGATCGGGGAAACGCGCCAAAATTATCTTCGTCGACGTAATTTCCTCTGCAGTAACGATATTGTCTATGGCCGGTCGGATGCATAACCGACACTGAGAGCGCATCGTAGGCCTCCAGGAATGTGACTTCTGACCTCTCACTCGCTCGCTCGCTTGCTCACGATTGAAGACCGGTAGATATTTCTGAGCGCTGTGTATAAAAGAGCCTTTCCTTATCCGGCCGCGCTCATGCACACGTGTTCTCGGTGGCGTCTGTTTTTATACGATGTTTTGTTCGACTTTTCCTGAGGTCCAATGATCATGCGGACGGGTAGCACGTAGCCTTTCGGTCAACCCATAAACCCGGAATCCCTCGGAGAGGCTATAAGCGTTGGGTTCAGGAGACCCTCGAGTCCACAGAGCACAGTTTTCTGTGCGTTTTCCGTGGAACGAATGCGTCACGCAACTCTTTCGAGACGGAAGGTCAGGTCAAAAGTTCTGAATCGACACAGGAATACGCGCAGGAGGCGGAGCAGGTCGAGAACGAAATAAGAGACCTATATCACAAAACATGGCATGCTGGACTCGAGTTGCGTAATGTTGACATCGAAATCGAGAATGTAATTGCCACAATCAACGGCGGACTGACATGAACGATGATGATTGCGGCGAATCTGCCGCGGGAAATGTCGCCGTTGGATCGACTCGATCGAGAGTCACCCGCAGTGGAGTTTTACCGAATAGAGGTGGCTATCGAAATCAATGAGGCTTATATGACGATGTTGACCTCGGATGGGAATAAGAAAGAGAGAACGCGCGTCACGAGTCACGAGCTAAATACCTGATTTGCACAGGCGATTGCATCCGATCTCCGATTACCCGGGACGCAAGCCGCCGGGGAAGCGAGGAGGGAAAATGGAGATATCTGTCCTGTAGTGCTGCCTGATCGCTGACCCGATACCATGCGCTAGGCTGATATCATTCTGGTCGGATTGTGAGGACGTCGGCGAGAGCCATCGCAGTGCAACCAGCGATTGTTTAACAACAAGGAACATTACCTCGTTTCAATCAGGCTCCCAGACGACCGATAGACGGTCGGGCGCAACGAGCCAATGCAAGGCATAATCTTCACGCGGTGGCAGTCGATTTGCGTGGAGACTATAAACACTTGGCGCGCTACGATGTAGACATCGAGGTAAACAATTCTTTTTGACACTATTATAGACAATTATGGCCCGTCTCCGGAAGCACATGGCCTTCCGAGAATGGATGCTGACTACGAAGTTCCTAAATTTCGCATATGGAATTTCCCCGTGACACGTATGTGCGCTCCTCAGCATTCGCGAGCTCGGAGTAGCGTTCCGTGACAATTATTATTATCGAGACAGTGTAAAATTCCTCCCACCGATTCGATCCAAGGCTCTGCCGCTCGACTGGTGCAGTAAAACCCTGCTCATCCTTCTGAGAGCCTATCGCGAATCCCCAATATACGACAACTATAGCTCCCTTGATAACGCTAAAAAAATAGCACTCTCGCTGGCAGGGAGCAAAGGTATCCTCGCAGCTCCAACGTTCCGCCAAGTGCGCGAATACGATAGTTCAATGAGCTCCACTGGAATCGCTCAGCGCCCAGACTTTCGATCCGAGTAGGTAAATCGGTCATTTCAAGTCCCCGGGTACTCGACGCTCTGTCCAGCTGGCTCGCTCTCGGGGCCACCGGGAACTCTCGCGAATGCATTCCGACATCTGAACGCTCGTGAGTTGTGTGGGAAACAGCTGAATTCAGTCGCTTAAGAACGGTTCCACAAGTTTCGCGGTTGAGTACGAGTATCCTCTCAAGTGATTCGAAGAAAACAACGCTCGAAATTGAAACCGACCGAATCGTGCATTGACGCTGGTCAGCTCGAATGTCCAAACTTCGATCGGAAAGCCACGATGTTCTTGAAATCGAAGTAGAGATGTAGACGGTGGAGAAAATTGAGCTGCATGGGTGTATCAGGTGGGTCGAGTGAAAAACAGGACGTGGAATTTGAGCCAAAATCTGTCAAAGCTCCCCGGTAGATTATAACCTCAAGCCTGGGCGGCATTGTTGCCAGATAAACAATCCATGCAGACGTTATACGACACGGAGAAATACTCCCATGAGGGAGGATTCATCCTGGCTCATTTTCTAGAGAATGAGGTCGAGAGCATGGGGCATAGCGGAACCAGGCACCGAAGCTCACGATGGCCCACGGTAGATCACGCGGAAGGATCACCTCACCGTATCGCGTTTCCAGACACCCTCTGGTCGACAGCTCTGATTCCAACAAGGATCTCGTACCGAGAATGAGAATGTGATGACTGATGTCATAACACAGGACTCCGTCCGGAATCGCAGGAAAAAAACTCCTTGGGATCTTGTAAAAGAGTGCATTCCGTCGAAAGCTCTTCCGGGCGACCAATCTGTTGTTTTCGAGATCACTAACCCAGTTTTGAATTTAGAGTCACGCAATCATTCCGATATTATTCGCCCGGCGGGAAGGTCTCGGAGTCCGTCCGGACAACACCTAATCTAGGTTTTCTGGTATTCCGAGGGCACACAACCGCGGTGGAAGTTAGCGTTGCGGAAGCCGAGACTACTCATTGGAGCCAGACTCGGTTCCGCACGATCGATTGCCGCTGCGGACTACATAAAATTGAAAAATGGTTTCATGGTATGAAGATTCGCTCCATCCTCGTCGTCACCTGAGGAGGGTTCAGAGTTCTCCCTAGTTGGGTAGGGGCATGAAAGGCTCCGTCTCTTGGTTCCATGTTCGATTCTTGCTGAAATAATCGACTCACTCTTTATTCCCGGATATCGAAACAATACTTGCTTTTTCCACACTGATAGGATTATCTCTGACGCTTCCGATATCCCGGAGCCGAGCGTATGCTGAATTGTCTCGAAAATATTGTTTGACATCACACTTTCTGTGAAAAGGACGTCGCGCGCGCCATCCTGCCATCGACACCACAGACGAATTTCGTGGAGATTCGACAATTTTCTGGTGGCTTGCCACTGGCCAACAAACCAAAGGGCCGGCTCAATTCACAAATGCCGCCGGCCTCACAACCACAATATGCATCACCGATCTGGGTCGCTAGACACAATGATAGAGACATCACCGGATCAACGGAACATCATGATCTTCCGCCTTTATCGAACACTAGCTTGTCGACCGGTTCTCCGAAGACGAAGAGAATTGGTCTCTGTCAGGGATGATATGCCAACGATCGACAATGATTTCTCGAGAAGAATAGTGGTCACTGCCATCATTGCAGGGACCGGCCCAGGAATGACCGATCAACCAATGTCGGGATGACAAATCCTCCCCTGCCGTCGGATTGCCCAACTGTCTACTTTTCATTGGTAGGCACGCGATAAGTGCTACGAGGCGCGCTCGTTTTTCATGAGTTTCGCTTGGGAGGTTGATTATGCTCTGAAGGCATCGTTGCTTGGACTCAAACGCACTCTGCAACCCGCGAATTCAGTGCCCAGTTTTCGGAACTTACGGCCCCAATCGATATAGACCCAGTAAGCCGAAACTTTCACGCCGAAACCCAGAACGCCGAAATTCATCTGACCGAAACCCAGTACGCCGAAAGTTGAGATAGCAAGAAACTTTCGGCTTACTGGGACCTAACCATTTCCGAGCATCGCAACGGGAGGGATAATTTTTGTTCTGATTGGGGGGTTAGGTTATCCCTCCCGTTGCGATGCTCAGAAATATTTATTTTATGGTGAGATAATTACACGAGAGAGCATCGCTCGGGGAAGATATCCGCACCGGGGAGATCCACGCGAAGTTCCATGACCTTCAGTGGTGGTTCCGAAAGTTCTGACGTCCGCTCTTTCATGAACACGGATATTGAGGAGAGGAAATGATTCCTATCGTCACCGGTCTTTATCCCGGACTTAGATTTTATCCTCTTTGTCAAGAGCTGGACATCCAGTGCAGTATTGAGAAAGTTCCCTAGGTTTCTAAACGTTCCGATATGGGCTCGAAAAGCGCATGATTTAATTGCGCGGGTTTACTCCGGGACCTTAGGACTTTCAATTTCCATCCGGATAGTACTCGATCCTCATATATAAGCGAATGCTCAAATCCCGTCCCAGATACCTCAATCCGTGAATAATAGGCGCACTCTCGCCGACGATTGAGACGAGACGGCGTTTCTAATGGCACAAAGCTGAATTAAGAGGCAGATGACCCTTGGAGCTTCCTCCCGCTCAACTTACCATCATAAGATGCTTGAGACATGAGCCGCATGGGTTTCCGGAGTAGAGATGGGGATCCACACGAAAGTCTGCGTCGCTGGTTGTATTTCATTCTGAAAATTTCCTCTTGTTGAAAACTCGTCGGAATTTCCGCCGACAGGGACATAGAGCCGACACATAGCACGCTTCACTCACTTTCGCTCCGAGTATCTCATCTCAGCCGCGTAGAAAGTGAAGGCGCCATAGGTGAAATTCGTCTCGGAGTGACGTCTCGTTTCGCGGCTCAGCTCCAACATTTCATGCACCTGAGCTTGTGATGGGAAAATGTCAACGCGGCGAAACAACTCTTGGACGACTCGGATGTCACCTGCGACTTTGGATACGGATCCAACCACGCTCTTCCAGACTTCGAGCGTCCGTCTGAAAAAAAAGGAATTATCGTTCCGAGGAGCGCGAAGCCAGTTCTTGGTGAAAAATCCACCGTTGCCTTTTTGTCGGCTTCCGCGCCATTTTTCCACGAATTATTCTCTGTGTAGGAGCATGGACTAAGAGAGACTCGTCGAATTCGCGACGATTCAGTAATCGACGAGTAAAAAAATGCTCTCATTCAGAATTAGGACGCCCAGTCTCTCGCAACGTGTAGTTCGGAGAGACCGCGGAACAGATATCGGATTCTCCGCGGCAAAATTCCTGGAATGCGTTGGAGATGCACAACGGAATTCAGAGCGCCATCCATCTACCCGACTAAGGAAGCCTCAAGATTGATGGACTGTAACAGTGGACAACCGCAAAGTGAGAAACAGCGTCCAAAGAAATGCACGGATTTCACGCTCGCCGACACATCGTGGTTCTGCGCTCAAAACAGCACAGCGATATCCTGTGATAAATTTCCTACAATCATATCGAAATTGCTCGCCTCGAGCATTTCCGCGTTCAATCATGGAAGCAGTGTCAAGATCATTTGTCGTATAGCCACAATCCAGGAAAGCTATGGCACGCGAAACTGCTCGTTCCGTGAGTTCGAGTTTTATGAGGAGTTGACGAATCTCCGATTTCGGCTGTTTTATCGTCAATGTTCCACCCGGTGCTTTTCTTTCGGACTTCGATCTAAGGATCCAAGTGCGACGGCGACGAACCCTTGCTCTCCGCTACAGGTATGCAATGTTTACATTGATACCAACTTTCTCGTTAGACACATTGAGGCAGCCGTCGCGACAAATGTCCCCTGCCGGTGTATCTGAAAGCGCAATCTTCTCGCGCGGCGAACTGACACCTGATACGCGGGCGAAGGAACAGGCGGGTAATGGACGGCCAAACCACGTCGGTGCTCACCTCAACAGTGTTTCAAGCACGTCAGTCACTCAAGGTTGCTCGACTTCCAAAGAGTCGGAACTCGACGTCATCGGGTCAGACCATACACACAGATCGTGTGGAAACAAATGTGTTTTTCAGCTCTCGTCAGAGAATCCTCCTCATTCTTAAAGATTTTGGCGACTTCTTGGCATGGGTTCGATTCCGGGGAAGGCAAGTTCTGTCGGAGATATCATCATGTACATATATCGGGGAGGATTTCGAAACTCTCGATTATTATTCAAATGTTGACGAAAATTGCCCTTGGGGGAGATTACTTAAAGAGTAATCGATGCTTAGAGAGAGCCTCCAGCTTTGACGAGCTCTAGCAAATTAGACAATAATTATCCGCAGGACTCTCGAGGTCTCACATGATGCGTCGGCAATCACGTGTTCTCCAACCGTGACCTCGCGTGCTCAGTGATAGTAAAACTGTGCTGAGAGAGTGATCTACGTATTCGTCAGACTTTAGACTTCGCGCTCACCTGGTGAAAACTCCGATGGGCTGAAGATCTTCCTGGATCTTCTTAGATTTCCGTGGAGGCGCAACAGGCCTTTCCTCTCCCGTCGAACTTCTGAAAGCAAGCGGGGACCGGTATAAAATACGACTTTACCTGAGGCTATTCCCTCTGTGTCCAAAGATCTGGGGTTTCCGGGCACTCTCATGAGATATTATTACCGACTGGAAAAAAGGTCAAAAACGACTCGGAGGCCTGCGTGGGATCACGGGAAATGAAAGTCGCGAACGACCAGAATGAGAATACTGAGAATGAATAAGATGCTCGCAGAGATGATAGATGACTTCCGGTAGTTCGAGATAAGGAATCTTGTCGATCCGAGGATTGGCAGGATGATTCACCCGGGATCTTAGGACGGGATGACAAGTGAGGCTGGCCGGGTCTCGATCAGCTTAGAGCTCCAATTCACATGTCGAGCCAGTGATCTCGGGAAATCATCCCGAAACACCAGGTACGAAGCTCAAAATGTGGGTCAAGACTATTCGAGCCAGAAAATATGACAATTATTGGGCACCGTTAATCCAAGGTCGCATCGGAATGTGGGAATTCGGCCGTTCGGACGACACGGAGGCGAATTTTGGCTGCGAATCCTGGCGTCCGGGAACCCGCCGAACTGTTTCTCGAATGCCAGCTCGTGTCCATAAAGCTCCAATGAGATGTTACATAAGCGATGAAGTTCTATTTTCTGTCCCCTGGTCGGCTGCTCCAATCAAGGTCGCTCTTGAGATCCAGTTTTCTGATGATGATTGCGGCGACAATCTCCCTTTCTCTGTAGGAACGAGTCCGCTCCCGCAATGTTTACAGTGTCTGCCACAAAGTCCGTGACGGATCGCCGACACGGGCCGCCGGGGCGATTGACGACGGCGTTTTTTTTCATTTTTGCGTTCTTCTTTTTTCGGGACAGACACTTGCGCAAAGACTCCAACTAACCTCACAGCGTGGCAATCTGGCAACTTTGACGAATTGACTGCGTGTTAATCTGACGCAGCCGCCGCCGCCAAGGAATATAATAACATGCCAAGAAACCACAGAAAACGATTTGATGTAATTTGGCCGTTTCTTGTCCTTGATCGTTTTGCTGCCAGTGATTTTTACTAATCGCGCGCCGCCGAACTCAAGTGAAAGTTTCCTCCCCGTGATCGAACGCCCCGCTCTTTTCTAGCGAGTATCCAGTTCCGATCGAGGAGCGTGCGTTCCTTCGCTCTGTTAAGAGCCATAGCTCACCGATCTCCTACGACTTCCATCGCGGAGCTCGAGACCGCGAAATCAACTCACATCCCTGATGCTTCGGGCGTATCGTTGCTCATTGGGGTGATTTAGAAAACTTTTGCGGGAGACGATCGTTGCTTCCGATACGGGAAGGTTTTGAGGCACTATCCGTCGTCAAACGACAGCATCGGACACTGACATTCTGTGTAGTTGATTTAGCTGCTTCTTTGTAAACCACGACAGCGGTAGATTGGATTGCGACTCTACGTCATTCACGTTTCCGAAGTCTGATCTTCGGATGGGTACCCGATTTCTGTTCGGTTCGCCTTCTCCCCTCGCCTCCAGAGTTCAACAACCAATACGAGAGGAATCTTAGACTCACTCTTCACTCCACCGTTTCGCTCGTCGTTCCACTAAACTCTAGAGATTTTTTTTAAAAGCCCGATCGCTAAGCCGGGGGGGAACGATCGGTACGACCGACAGAGCGCCGCGCGGTCGAATCGAAGCTCGACATCGAGCGTCGGCAAGCATGGACCTCGAATCATGCATGTCACGTGACGTGGACTTGAGGATTCGATATTCGACCTCCTCTCGGATCGGATTCTCCGCGAAGTGAGATGTCCGTGAAGTGATTCCGGACAGAACACGTGGAACTCAGTTATCGAGGACCGAGAGAGGAAAACTATGATGAGTTCCAGTCCGAAGCTAAGTCGGATGCCGCCGAACGGGGTGGAATCATAGGGAGCCTCATGGCGAAATAACGTCGACGAAGAAGAAAACAGATTCAATGATCCTTTTACTCCAGACAGATGTCATTACGGTCGGCAAGGAAACTTCTCCGAGATAATTCGAAAGTGTCAGACAAATGGCTGTCGTCAGAAGAAGCTGATTGACTGAAGTACCTACTATCAGAGAAAACGACCATTCGAAGGGTGAATGCTCAGACAGAGGGACGAGTGGTTAGATTGGGGCGGATAGATGTATGGACATGATCATCTGACGAAAGATTATCGTATTTGGCATCCTCGTCGGCAAGTCTGCGGTATATCATGAATCAAGTTGCCAGATAGAGCGGTGAGCGAAGGACAGTGGAGAGAGAAGATGTATAGAAAGAGAAAGTAGAGTCAAGGAGGAATATTCAGCAGGCGAGACATTGATTAGTTCTCTTCTCGGTTCCGATGATTCGGATAATTCTCGAATAGCGCCAGATTTTCCGAGGGCTCTCCTCCTCGAGCCACACAGTCACTGGAGCACGTGACCGACGCCGCGTCATGGGGAAGCCGCGCACAACGTCTGTCGAGCGCATCCGTTCCAGCTAGACCGAACAACAGCTTCCTACCCGCCAGAGTCTGGGAGCATAGAAGAAGAATATCGTTCACGGCGGCCGGAGTTGAATCTCGCCGCGAAAAAAAAAATTTCTTTCTGTACGGAGTCCCGTAAATGGATTTCATTTCGAGTATTTTCTCGATTATCGGAAGTCTTAGAATTCGTTCTTGACACGATCGCCCCGCGTCTCCATGGGGGCGGATGAAGGCAGGTCTCTCGTGACCGTGGCTTGTTCATGCTCTTACGTGCCCGCGGCGCGCGAGTCGAGCTCAAGAGTTCGGTCAGTCATAGGCTTCAAACCCCCCTCCGCCTTCGCCCAGAGCAATTGGGAAGCGGTCGAATCAACGTCAATAGTCTTGTGAAGTGGCCTGGAATCCCGCAAACTTTCCTCGAGACTCTGTCAATGTGATCGATTCGGATCTGCCTGCCATGGCATCTGTGATTCAGATCGACCCTACCAGCCGACAATACCAGAGAACGGCATTCCTTTGTAGTGTCATCGTCATTTCGAAAATGCTTCGAGGTGCAATGGTTTCACTGGAAAGGTTGCAACCCTGTAGGGAATTCTAGAGCATCCTCAAAGTATCGCGATTCGCCCTGTTAAACAGCCAGCAAGAATTTTCCTCATTCATTCTGATTTCAGTCCAATCTGAATCTCCGCCTCGTCGGCTGAGTGGAATCGGTCCGCGTTGATATTGGAAATGGCCGATCCAAGTAGAGCATTGTTTTTCCACCAAAGGCGTCCTCTCAGTCTCCTATCGAGAAGGTGTTGATCCGAGCACGGATGATGACGACGGGCATGAACAGCCCAGCGGTTAGCCATGTTTTCGCTTTCGAGGTCAAATCGAAATTGTTTATGCCCACAACGATGACGAATGGCGGTGTTTTGTCTTTCCCATTTGAGCATTTCGGAACGTCTTCTCACTAACCCACAACCAGGTCGACACACAAAATCGACATCAACACCGTCGGGTTCCGTCATGACGAATCCTGACGTGGATTACTGCCACGGAACCCTAAGCTCGAGAAAGAGAGAGGGTGGGCGTTTGTTTGTGTGTATTGTTCCCGGTTTCGCATCACCGAGCAATCCGACGGCACTCGCACATCGCGGAGGCTGCCGTCTATCGCGCAGCGAGCGTGAGAAAGGTTCTGACTGGAATTCCCTTCTGCGCGTCGACATCCTCCCGAGGAACCCGGCTCGCAGAGATCGGGCCCGCTACGGGGGCTGCTCATCGTTTCCCGATACATATATGATTAAGATTATTTTAGGAAGCGAGTCGGGTCATTACCGCCTCCGTCAGAATGGTGATGATCCGAAGTTATCACGAGTTCACACGGGATACACCCACGCTGAACTCGAGCACGTATCAATATCGACAATGTTCCATTTTCTTCGTGGAAAACCCCCCGAAAGCCCACCGTATCGCAGACTAAATCGGCTCTAACCCATTCGAGGACCTTGGCTTGTTTTCGACCGGTGCGCCTCCTCTAATTCTATTTTGCTGCGAGATTTAGCGACGTCAGACCCTTTCGCTCGACAGCTCCACCCGGTATTGAGTTTCCTTCATCCGTTTCCTTCATGCCAATCACCTATCTGATCCTTCGATGTTGTACTGAGGACCGCATATATCTAATGAACATACGTGTCACGCGGAAAAACGTAGGCTCCGATCTTTCGGCCGACCTAGCTCATCTCTCACGACGACATCTCCCGGGAATTTTCGCACAAGTTTCGCGTGCGATGGGGGGACGGGAGCTCTTTCCATCTGAGTCGTAAACTTGCAGTCTCATGCGGCTGGCGTATAGAGGTGCAGAGTCGATCGTTAATGTACGTCGCTACCCGGGTTCATTTAAAGAGAATTTCAAATTCCATCGAGAACGCCATCGCATTTCGCTGGCTCACTACTTGGGGGATGAGACGCGATATCCCGCCCCGGGGTTTCCCGTGATATCAGAGGCCGAGCCATGCCTCGGAGCTCTTGAATCGCTCGAGCGGAAGTGCAATTCCGCCCAGCAATCATATCGTCCTTTCTCTCTGTATAATCGGGAATCAAAGTGGCGCCTGGCACATGACACGTCTTGGAAACATGTCAAGAATCTGTCCATCTCGACGACCCCTCCTGGAGACAGGCAATTGGATTTCGTCGGCGTGCATTATCATATCTAGCTGTGTGATTTCAAAATAGAATCGCGAGTTATGTCGACGTTCAGCGAGGGCGAACACAGCGAGCAAGGTTGCGAATGAATAGGAATAGGAGTTGCCGGGGGAAGCGAATAAGAAGCCTGACCGCTTCCAATTAAGGAGACCTGAGTTAGCCCAAGGATTCACAACACGTGGTGCCACCTTGACTCGGAATCGTATTCTCTCAGAGAATTATTATCGGAACTGCTGGCTTGTCAACTAAACGTACCCGATCACGCCTAGAACAATCAACTTCGCCGCTCACCAGCCTGTTCGACGGAGGAAATCGGCGTGTCGTGTAGTCAGCATGAAGCGAACTCAGATAAAATATTACACGCGGTCGAGCGAAAGAACAGCTTAATCCGTTCTTTCGATTCGATTAATCATTCAAGGAACGAACGACTCATGAGAATATAAGTACAACTCAGTCAGTCGTCCAGCCCCTTTTGCTTCTCTCGAGTCGGGACAGGGGCATTCACGAAGAAGTGAATCCGCAGAGGTCCGATGGAAGAATCGACTCCCGCTTGTCGCATGGCTCAATATTTCCAAAGACGGATTTCCGCAACCGCACGGATCCAATTTCCATTGAGCATTTCATTCTGAGACTAGTACGATATAAGGATAGATCCGAAAAAGCGGTGCGTAGTAGTTCCAGGCTGATATTGGAGATGATGTCTCCTTTAAACAGTAGCTCTGTCTCGAAGAACAGAGCTCCTCGCGTCGCAGTCACGCCGGAATTAAAAACGCTGACTGGAGATTCGATTCGGCGAAACACCACCGAACAACAATCGCCAGAGTTTCCTTGTGGAACGAACATCTGGATCCAAGTTTCACGGCTCAGACTCAAGTTATGGGTTCGTATTCATCTTAAATAATGATGGGTGGGTCGGGAATTTTTTCCCGAAACCTCACAGAAAACCGGAGCTGCCATTCTTGAACTCTCAACGGAGGGAACGAGCGCATGAACCATCGGGATGCCCAGAAACTCTAACAATCACTAATCCAAGTTGCAATGACTTGAGGCGGAATCTCGAGCTTTGCTCAGCGACGTCTTATAATTCCCCCTGGGTCCTCCTTTCGATCCTAAAGTCGACAAGCATATTTGTTCGTCCTCTGGCACCGCACTTGTGGAGCTCGACCGGTAAGCAACTTCTCGGTGTCCAGCTCTCCTTTGTCGAGAAGACGGGAGTCAGAAATAGAGACGAGTGTTGCGATCGAGCTGATCACCCGCCAGTCACCAAGCTTCAGAAACCGGATCATGACAAACTTCGATGGCTCAGCAGTAGGCAGGATTGAGCCGACTCAGAAACGGCCACCGCGAAATTGGACTAGTCTAAGACAGAAGACGATCCTCTCGAGTTCTATAAATACCACTGCACGAGGGCTCAGCCTTCAGAACTCACCCCGAGTTTTCGGTTTCATACGCCCACGGCTCGAAGATTGCCGGTTCGCGCGTCGCCATCGATTCTATAGTCCGCCTGGTACGATTTTTCGAAAAGACTAGACGGTGAAGGCTCCCGCAGCTTCGCGATTTCCTCTGTTCGGTTTTACCTTTTCAACTCCAGTTCAGAGTCTCCGGTTTCATGACGATGAAACTTCCCCGAGGGAGGACCACTCATTCCAGTGCAGATAATCGAGATCGAATCTTCACTACATGTCGTACGGAAGAACGAGTGAGGAAGTCAAAAGAAAAATACGCACGGCCGGAGAGTCCGAGCAGATGCCGCTGTGACACGCGAGCAGCAACTACTGTCAGAAGCGGAATTCTGCAGGAGATGAGACAATCAAACCGTGTGACGGACGACGCGGACTCGGCTCCGCTCCCGAGTAGAACGGCAGTCAGAAGTGACTTCGGCTACCTAATGATGGCGAATTCATGGGGTCGCTGCCATTTGCACACAAAGCTCCATAGACAGTCGGCGAACAAATTCCAGAACCGATCGGAATGCGCCCAGCGCCGTCACCTACCTGACTACCCGTCGTGAGCTAGGAACCATGTCGCTTCTAATCGATCAAGGCATCCCTTTATCTTTCAGGGAAGATTATGGGCATCTTGAGAAAATCTGAATCGGAAACCAGACCAACGTATCGGCTCGACATGACGGCAGCCGCTGAGTGAGCGTCGTTTCTGATTAGCGAAACCCGACGACCGCCTCGCAGAACGATTTCATTCATCACGCGGCAGAAGATAGCAATGAGTTAGAGGGAGCTCCGGCGAGCTTCTCCTTCTCAGGTGCTCCGTAAACGCTAACTCGTTAATCGAGCAAGTCTCCCGGAGACATTCATCCCCCGACCGCATACCGAGAGGGAGTGCATGGACCTCGGCATCGGTCAAACGACGAGTTCAATGCTTTGCCCTTACAGCGTCACGCGGGCTCGAAGCGTTAATGAGGAGCTCGGAAATCTTCTTAGTTTTCTTCCGTTGTGAGTAAGAGACGCTATCGAGAGGCTCGGAGGCGCCGTGTCGCCGGTGACATAATCGTCCTCTTAGAACAATGCCGATGGACGTGCCGGCACTTTGCGGCGCTACCGCCGTCAGACAACGATCCAAACATGCGAAAGAACAAGCTCCACAGTTGTGTTCACAGTTACAAAATGACTGTGAAGCGTCTGATTGAATACGAACTTCTCGGGTTACCGAAACCGTTTCATATGTCCTGTAAGCAGCCTCAAACAAAGTCAAGGAAACCCGTTCGCAGGCCTGTCGAGTGACGCCTCAGCATAGCGGCAAACTACTCTGTACAGCAATCGTTCAATGATATCCCAACAAACGCTCCTCAGAGCGCCCAATACTCGCTTCGACTCGCTCCCGGGGAGGTTTCGAACCCCTGCTTGAACCATTGGGTATGGGAGCTCTCGTCCGTAGACGGCTGTGAGATGCGGAGTGAAGGCGCCGGCCGGGCTCTTGGGGTACTTTCCCCCCAGGACGGGAGTCCTGTCCAATTCTTCCAGCTCCCCCCTGATTCTGTTCGGTGAATCGGATTTTCGCGGAAGGCTCCGTCCCGTTGCGGAAGTTATCGTACCTGTGTCAGAAGCGCTTCATTCGGGAGGCCAGTAACCCGAAATTCCTGTCCCTCGAATGGGAAAATATGAAACATAAGAATGACAGACCAATGATGCCGTCGATCTCCCTACGGCCTGTATGCACTCGCGCGCGGCTGATACTAGTTGCCGAGATAAATATAGCACAGGCTGCGCGTTTGAAGTCTGAATCTTGCATCACAGCCTGCAAAAGCTGAATGAGAATAATCTCGATCCGATGCCGGTCATTCAGAATTCCATTTCTGGAACAACCTCTGAATTAGGGGGGATATCACTGTCTGAATGTGTAAGCCGAGTCAGATGCTTCTGAAAAGTCCACCGCCATACGCAGGGAATCCCGACCGCGTTGCCCCTGTCTAACTAAATCGCGTGGTCTAAGAAAATAATGTTTTCGTAATCAGATATCGCTTTCGAGTACAGGATGTCGCAAGAAGCAGCCAGCTTTTCCTCGCCGAACGTCGACATTCCACCTATTTTCGACTCCATCTTGGGTGGCAGGCAGATCGGTGAGCCTAGTGAGCCACGCCTGAGAACCAGACCTATCCACACCAGAAGGGACGTCGTCCCGCCGAGAAAAACCGCGAATCGATTCACATCGGATCCGGTGGCGACGAGAGCTCATGCGTTACTCGACATCGTCGAGGACGTTTTCTTCGTCGACTCGTAATTTTCCCGACCTCCTGATAGAGTCAACAATAGAGGAAGTTCTCGGGACGTCTTCTGGCCAAACCAAAAGAATTGTCGGAGTCGCGGCACGTGATGTAATACTATGTATCTTTGGCCAGAACTGATTCCCCTCCATGATCTCAGACCGTCTGTCGACGTTGGCTGACCGACTCACGGATCGATACAAGCAAAGTCGGAGAACACCCATCACACCTTCTCTATGACGTACGAAAGGGACCAACAGGCTTCTCAAGGCCGTCAAGGCAAAATATTCGGTCTGGGTCGTATCTACAGTCTCTAAGAAATCATTGGACTCACCCATTATTCGAGGGAATTTTCTCCATAGATCTCAACAAAATAATTCAAAGCAAAGCTCTTCACTCGGCTCGAGTTCGCCACTCGAGGCCCCAGAGCTCGGACCTTGTTCCGAGAGAAAGGGAGTAGGCCGGAGACCTCCTCCCGACGGTCTCGGCCTGAGTAACACCGCGATGGCATAGTATGGAAAATCCGGACTCACTTTCGACGCTACCCCTCTCCCTAGAAAGCTCTTGAGCACATTCGTCCGCTGGGATTTATTTATCCGTAAACTTCGTTAGCTACGGAACTCGGCTGTTCAAAATGAGCGCCGCGCAGTGCGCATCTCCGGCACTTAGCGCCGTATGGCTCAGATCGTAGCGCTGTAAACAACAGCGACCGTTCGGATACCGGAATTCGCGCGTTTCTTCCTTTATATCTTCCTCCAAGAGGAATTCTTATCCTCGATTCCGTCGTACTGTGCATGATCGAGACCCGATCTCTTCGTCATGAGGCATAAGATGTTCATAGGTCGGACAATTCTCGTCCAGAACGGGAAGGTCGAAGAAGCGTTCCGGCAGCTGAACAGAGTCCTAGGTGAGACATTGCAAATTAAGGATACCGATTACGAGTTCTCGAATCGTCCCCTGCCTTCTCGACACGCCCTGACTTCAGCGTCAGTTCCTAACGGATGCCCCAGGGTCTTGCCGCGGTGAGAGGGTCTGAGGTTGCCCACCGGCCAGAAATACTTCGCGCCGTAGGATCCGCGCCGTAGGATCCGCGCACACTGCGGGATTCGGCTCCAGTTTCGGAACTTATGCGACGGACCTATGACGACATTTGACGTCCGCCCACCGGCCGCCCGCCCCTCAGGCCGTCCAAGTGAATGACATTCCAGTCGAGTAGACGAGCAAGCGAGCAAGCAAACATCCGAGCAGGCAGCAACCGCTAAGAGTCACTCAGTCGACAGATCGTAAATATCGGCCAGAGCAGATTTTCTGCTGCCAGGCCATCAGACGGCGTAGAAGGTTATCAAACCTTGTGTGGCGTTACGCAGCTCACCGTCATCGGACCGGAAGGACCCACGTTATTGTCGGTCTTCCTTGAAATCTGATGTTGCTCAGCTTCTGCAGCTCCTGCCCTTGCCCTCATACCTTTAGAACATAGGCATTTTCCATCCACGGAGTCTTCCCTCGCGAAGGATCGCGGTCTCTCCGCAGCTCGCTGTTGCAAGCTCCGGCCAGTCGACAAGGAAGTACATCTCGTAAAGGACGGAGGAATTCATGCTCGTTCCGAGCCGATCGCCCTTAATTCCATGCGCTGCGTCTCGACGGAAACAATAATTGGAGATGTATCCCTCACAGCGATCCATTTACTTGTTTCCAGGAATCGAAGGCATTTTCGATATCTACAGACGGAACCGCTACTTCGAGAGACCTACTCTCAAGCGTCGGCGAGTCAACTATGAGATCTGCAGGGCTATCTACGATGAAGACATGGCTCGTCGGCTGAAGCTTACTCTCCGCACAAACCGAGCTGATCCATGGCTAGGCAGTCATTGAAGAGAAGCTTACACTGAAGATATAATTTTGTTTTTCATAAATATAGAGCAGAAATGCGGGACTACGAGCCCGACGAGAGATAAATCATTGTCCTCAATCGACCGGGCGACCGACCAATTGATTGATTGATTATTGCCTGTCGTTATTTTCTAAACATCTGGGATATCACGCAGGAAGTCTTCGTGGATTCCCATCATCGCGTCCGATGCGGAAGAATCTGCGGGTCTCGTGCCGATGACGCTCGTCAGCAGCGATTCAACTCCAATCATTAGTCAAACGGTCCACTTTATTTTGCCTGTGACTTAGAGTTGGAATATTGGATTTACATGTGAGATGGTGAAAACAAGTTGTGTCTGATCATGGCTCGGTTGCTTTACGAAATCCATTCGGAAGTTGATTTGTTTATGACGCGCCCTGCGTTCCACGTCGAGTTCTGACGTCCCCGGAGCTGGCGCTGCGACTAGATTTCGTTTTTGAAGGGAAAAAAATCACCGAACAAGCCTTGGATGCATTGACCCTTCCGACAAACTCGGTTTCGGTACATCTGGAATTCACAGGCCAAAAGAATTAAGCGAACGTGAAATGACGTTTGCAGTGTTCGACTGTAATCCATTCGATAATAACTCCATGAGACGACGTGTTCGATTATTACGTCATCGATTAGAGCTCTTCTCGCGATCACTGATAAAATCGAAAATCGAAGCAGCATAGTCAGATGTGACAGCTAGCTCTTATCATCGGGCGCGAGAGCCGTGACATTTCCGCATGCGACGAAGTCGATTCTACGACGCAACACCGCTTGCATCGCAGGTTGCGGATCCTGAAGGCTGAGGATTATATTGTTGCCAGAAAGGTCGACGCAGATTTCACCGCCCATTGAGCGGGCATTTCGAATCGTTTTTCCATAATCTTCGTGCCTATCAGACTCTAAAGTTTGCTCTTAATCGCCAGTCCTTATATTGTTCCACTCACCAAACCGAGACCACATTTTGATCCATCTGGCATAGCCACCAGAGCGTAATGGAGGCCTTCGATGCACTGCACTCTGCAACTCACCCCGGAATTCAGAGCCATCGCGTTCGAGGTCTGCAGAGGAACAATGAGTCAAAGGCGGAACGAACCTCGGATGGGACCAAATTCCCACGATGATCGAATGCTCTTATCGATAAGAAGGGCTAATCTGCAAGCTTTACGGAATTGATCTGCAGCAATATGAATGCGATCAACACGTGTCTGTTTGCGGGAACTTGCTGGTTGTGAACGATTCCGGCGGTCAGCGGATATCCGCGTAAAATACTCCGAGCTGAAGAATTTTTACATCCGTTCCAATCATCGCCTTCGAGCTCGAGACGATGTTTCTTTATCATTCGGGAATGTTTGAAAACCAGATCTAGAACAGGGGAACTCACGAATCCATGCTCGAGGCATGCACTTTTCGCGTTCGTCCCGCCTGGGGAAACGCCCTCGGTCGTCGCATCGAGATCTTGATCCACTTCCGTAGTTCCACCGGCGCGGAAGATCGCCGAGCAGACAGCGCCTTCAAATATTCCCGTTTTTAAGTGAAATACGAAGCACTCATGACCAGCTGATTCACCGTAAGCCTCAACAAGTACCAAATCGCATGGAATCGATTCTCGCACGTACCTCCAAGGAGAAGACTCGTGAACAGAATCAAACACCTCCCCAGCATTGTTAGAACTGCTCACAGATGTCTCGCTCGGCGCCTTTTTGTACTCGGCGCTCCCTGCGGGGAACATTGAGCCCTCATGTCGAATCCACCTGCCGTCGGATGACTAGGTCACCAGGTTGCTGCGGGTCTGATTGAGAACCGAGCAGCTGATGTTGTTTCTCCTGCTTTCGATTCCGGTGGATTCCGTGGAGTGAAACGCAGCGATGCCGCCGCTCGCGGCCTGCGACGTCATCGAAGTGGTTCCATTTCTCATCCTTCGTGGGACATGAGCCTGAGCGCTTCAGGATTGGTCACCGAATATTCCCAGCCGTTGAATCACCGATGATAATGGGAAGCGAATTCTGGACGCCCTCCCACCGGGCTCCCTCCGTCCCTTTCCCGCTGGAATCCTGTGGGTTCCGGCGTCGAATCAATCTGAGAAAATCTCTCGGACTCGATATCGCAGATTCTCCCACCAACGACCTTTGGAGAAAAGCGGTTTCTAGATATAAGGCAGGCTAAGCGGCCGCTTAGAGTCGTCCTGTGGATGTGTAATTTCGGTCCTAAGAGTCACCTCTTTTTACTGGACCATCAATCTCTCACTGGAAGATGGATGCTTCCCGCGAGCGCGAGATCTGCGGAGAGATAAGATCGAAACCAGTTTTGCCATGTGTTCCTTTGCAGCTTCAGAAAGGATTAAGAGCTTCGGGGCTCACCGAATTGCCCGTGTTTGTCGACCTGCGAGCTCTCGCAGTCACCCGTGACGGAAGATAATCGTGTCATCATGGAGCTCGATTTTCGCTAACGAGTCTCTCCTGCGAGGCCACTCACCTGGGCTTGCTTATCCAGGAGCGGAGAGCTTATCATATTATTTTCATCATCATTCGCTAATATGCAGTTATCTGGAGTAGGGCGCGATCGCGAAACTTAGAGCATTCGATTCAGTGCATCGCTTGCGGTACCGGGTTCATAAGGTGATCTTTGACGTATGGGTTTCTCGACGCTGGAGTCTATCGTTGTTCGCCTCTGTATCGTTCGCTCGGCATCTTGGTCTTGGTAAAGCGGATCCTAACGAGGCTGAGGGGTAGATCGTCGGTATAGTCGCTGAGATCAGAGATTGAGACTCCCAGCTATACAGTGAGTATCCCACCTGGAGTCGTGTGGGTTTGATAATATATTCGGACATCATTTTATAAACCAGATTATTATTTACTATGTATTATATATCTTAGGACTCAGCGCTCGTTCGTTCTCCCATAAGCAAGCTCCAAGAGCTCTCCCGAATCCGTCTGAGGACGAAGCCGTCGAGAGACTGGAGAATAAGGTTGAATTATATCGGTAGCCTCATAACTCGTGGACACAGCCGGGAAATTAAGGGCGCTTTCAGTGCGATGTCGCACTTTCGATTTTTCGGCAATCTAACCACTCTACGATATAATTCTTGCTAAGCCTGCCCGATCTCACGAGCGGGATCAAGTGGAACTTTGGGCTGGAATTGGACGGACCGAGCTTATAAGGAAGTATCATCTGGCTGAGAATTAATCCCCGTAATCTCTTACCGAAGCTCTCTAAGTGCTCCGCGGAGCATGTTTGTCTCAAAGGATGCCGAGGGCACTTCGACGACTGGACCTAATTTTCCTGTTGAAGGCTCTTTCAGCCCCGTTTGGCTCGGATTCGCCGTGACCGAACGACACTCTTTCTGCTTGGAGGAGATCCGAATGACCCGTGTGGCTACCGGCGACGATACCGATTTTCGCGCTGCGGAGGGCGAGGATTATCCTTGTTTCCCATTGTGCGGCGGAACGCTCTTATCTCGATCTCGATGGGAAGTCATTGACCGCCGGACATCGGCAGAAATTGGGTTTCGGTCTCTACCCAGTCAATGCCAGAAAAACGTATTCATGCGAATTTCCTTCGACTGGTGGGTAATGGCGATTGACTCTGCTCAGGGAGCTCCTCCTCTAAGCTCCCAGAGCATGCGCAACATCGCCACATGGATCCCCTGCTGCAAAGCCGTAGCCCATGTGCCTCGAGCAGAATCTCGTCTCACAGTTGTACTCTGGAGCTTCCCTTCCGCGACCGTAGGAGGCTCTCCCCCGAATGCGAGGAGCCGTTCGTCTAATGGTATGTCTGCAATAATTGTGTGAGTCGTGACTCCTTAGGATAGTGGGGCAAGCTCTGCGAGATTGTTCCTGAACTCCTGGAGCAAGTGGCGTTCGGCCCACGAGCTTCCGGATACGATTCAGGATCCTGTGTGAGTGACTGGAGGCTCGACCTCCAGCCCAGAATGTCACCCGGAAGTCCGACCTAGGGAAGAGTGCCTTGTTGCCATATGCCCGGCCACTTTGGCGGAGGTGTGAGGAAGGGAGGGAAGGGGGAATTACCCCCTCTGGATTGCAAATTCAGCTATTCCACGTCAATCGGATCGTTTCAAGCCCCTTTGATGATCACTCGGTGCCTCAGCGCTTGACTTGACCCCCTATAGGGACTCAGCTCCCCTGCAACGGTGACGGCACAGCGACTCACAGACTGAGGAATGAACCTCTCCGATGAGAAATGAGGCCCGCTCCTGCGCAACTCTCGATCGGGGATTGAAGCATTCGCCGATCGACGCCGCGCCGTTGCGACGTACTCCGCCAGGTATACCGAGAAACAACAATCGCATCTGTGCTGCGAATCATTTCCGAGGGAAGAGCGCTCACTGCAGGTTCCGTGATTGGAAGCGACCAAGGACGGCGATAAGTAGCGAAACGGGCGAGAACAGGAGCTTGCGGTGATATGCTTGAGGTTTGAGGAGATTTTCCACGCCACAAACCTTTCAAGTTTTTGGGCGGAAAATGATGTCCCGCTCTAAATTGGCCCCTCGCGTAGTCTAGCAGCGTATAGAGTACATAAAGACATGAGGTGGGTCTATAGGGAAGGAACGATCGCCGCTTAGAACGCAAGTTCAGTCATCATGGTTTCATTCACTAGAGGTCCTAAAGGAACACTTCGAAGCCTCGATGAAATCAACCATTGTTCACCAGAAAAACCCTAGCCTGAAAGTCAAGGTAAGTTTTCGATACTTTCATAGTCGGGGATCTACTGTCCTCTGTCTCACGTTTCTTTTCCTACCATCCTGCCTATGCGGAGGGAATCGATTTTTTTTCCGCAGGAGGTTAGAGAGGAACACACGCTGTCCGACAGCATAACGGGATATTTTCGGCGCCAAGTATCCAGTTCTGCTCGTACCAAATGAGCTCCAATCGTGTCGCTTTCTCGATCACAATTGCATCGTCCAACTTCGATAGAGCCCAGACGGGAAAAGCGCGGCCCCACTCGCCTTATGTCACGGAGCGATCATTCTCCGAAATCCTCGAACGCGGAGTACGTGAAGTCCATGCACCATCGATGCGCATATGAGAGAATCGTCAAAGAACATTCGAGAGAAGGTAGGAGGACCCTAAGCGGCCAGCGTCCCACTGTCAAATCTTTCGGAGGTCCCGGCTGTTCCGCCTTCCCTTAGCCCAGTCTCCATCGGATGTGATCATTTTTCCTGAGAAACATTTTTCGACCCGCCGCGGAAGGCGAACGAATTTTCAGCCCACCGCGAAGAGAATCCCTCACGCGGCATCCATGGGATGCCAATCATTGAATCGATCTGTGCTGCAAGATGAGCGATGGGCTGACTCTCTGAGTGAAGGAACTGCGGAACTGTGGAATATGGAAGGGGGGAACACGGCAGTCTTGAATTGGCGAACGGTTGATTTCTCGGAATTGAGTTTGGATGCCCGAGAATGAGCAAGTGAGAACACGTCTTGCTTCCCTGACGGTCACGTCACAATCTGTTTGTTTATTAAACGTTACGACGACAAAGCGTCGAGAGAGTTCATCCCTTTCCGCCGCTATGATCACAAGATTTTTGACAGGAACCTTGGCCGGGCAACTCCTCGGACGGGAGCAGATGAGGAACGGATGCAATCCGCTCATTCGTTGTAGCTCTCCACTGTCGAAAACTAACAGGCGTCGAACCCGGGATATCTTCTCACGTGATCGAACGGATCGAAATCGATGTCGCAGCGAGTCAAGCAGGAGCCAAGGCTCCACGAGAGAGGCTTTCCGACTAGTTGAGAAAGGGCAACACGTTATGAAAAGGGTGGGAAGATTCTGAGAGAGTACTCAGTACACAAGCGACATCTCGCTCCGAAAATCTCGAGCTTATGGAATGCTGTTCCCTCGCGACGAGAACAGCGACCCAATCGTCTCCATACGCACCGAGTATCAGGATGGAAACCGAAAACCCAAGAATCTGACACAGACAACACATATCAGCCCACCAAATCGAGTGAGAGCTCTTCACGAAGAGCTCAAATTCCCTAAGCCATGCTTCGTCGCGACTCCTTGCTCCGGATGAGTTCTGGCATCTCGAGCTGTTCGGATCATTTTTGACTTGCCTCGTTCGGCCGATCGGTTTCCCCGTGTTCTTCTCGCTCAGCTCGACTCATCAACCACAGGAGCTTATTTGCCGAGAATATTTGATTTGTGATCAGCGGTTACTGTTCGAGATTTCAGTCCCGATGCTTTGAGCTCAAAATCCACTCCAGTACTTCCACGAACGACATTAGGCAGGAACGCCGCTGGGCGAGAAGCTGTTCGGAGGACAGCCATGACACGAATGATAGGAACGAATGTTCGAGAGGAAGTCTCGGCTGCCACCGAAGCAGAGCTGCAGTCGCTCGGGGAATGGAGGCAATCGTATCGGGGCTCTTCCCAGATTTCATCGTAGGAGGAGAGGGGTCCGATGATACCTCCGCTTATGCCATCAGTGTTGTATTCATTCACACTTTCGATCGCATTGTAGCTCGATGGGCAAAGCCATGGTTCGTCGTCATGTCTACGAAGCGCCCATTGCAAGAATAAGGGAGAACGAAGCGGAGCGGTTCTATTCCCTCCGGAGCAATGAGCGAGCGAAATTCAGATACCAAAGTACCCCAGGAATTCAAGTACCTATACCGGGTCTGTTCTCGTAGGATATCATATGGATACGCGTCCTTGAGTCCCGTAATTCTGAATGATGAGAACATGACCAAGCCTAGAGCGACATGAGAAATTTCCGCGAAGGCTCAGAAAGTGAATTGTATATGCACACGGCCTTGGAATGCTTGGATATGCTCCAATGCCATGCAGTGGACATTTGACTCAGCAAAAACTCTCGGAAACGGCTGGGTATGCGCAAGGATAAGCTTCCACGATCAGATAATTCCATCCCTGCGTCTGAGGACATTCGCTGATCGCAGAGGCTGCGTTGAACGAGACGACCCCGAAGGTGGACGTTTCACAGACTGCAAGCGGCAGGGAAGGACCTATGGGAGTATGATCGACGACTTGTTCCTATCCGCATTCACCATTGACTCGCTGCTACGCGCGGCCGGCCCCCATGACCCATGACTAAGTGGAATGTTCTTCTCTCGTGGATTTCCATGAACGAATACGGATCCAGGCATCAAAAATGAATGCTTCATTCCAATAATCATACACATCATGATTGCTCATCATCACAAATGCCATCGGAGAATTCGAAGCCGTCTTCTTTGACCGAATCTCTAGCACACTTCAAGTCACATTCCTCGGTGGGAATACCGACGATCCAGATCACTGCGGTGTCGTTGGCTGCAACAACGGCAATAGAATTTTCAGGACTCTCAGCTTCTTAGAGCGAACATGTTCGATAGATCCGAACTTCATGTCCGAAAGTACTCACAGAAGCAATTGACTACGTAAATGGTAGTATCGACGCGAGTCGGGATGATGTATTGCCGATAGCTGTCGTCAGGTGATACCTCGTTGTATATTCCATCGTTTTCTCGATCGAAAACATATCTGAGAAAAGGAGAGCTCAGTGGAATCCACATGGAGATTCTCGGCCGAGGACGAATCTTCGAGAGAGACCCAGTCGATTTCCCCGAGTTTAAGTCTCACCGTGGCTTCAGGTCATCCGATGACTCGCTGTCGATGTCCCATGTTACTTGCTGTCCATCCTGGTCTTGGGTGATATTCTGCTTGAAGCATTTATTGTCCTCGATGGAGACGATCAGCGATTCCTTGCCGAAATACTGTGAATAGGACGCGATTGATTCTGTGTCTGTCGATCTCCTGCCCCGCAGGATCCTCGATAGAATGTTGTCGGATTGTGGATTCTTCTCCTCCTGTAGCCATCATCAGAACTCACGTCCTCGAGTCGAGTGTTGCGTTGGTACGACTTCGGATATTTACAAGTGTTGGCTATCTGCTTATCAGTAGCGGTGTACGCCCTGAAAGGAGCACATACGTGAGAAATTGCTCGAAAAGCTCTGGCGAGTCCCCGATCGATGCGCGGACGAAGAGTTAGTACTGAACTGGGCTACGAGAGCGGCGATTAGGAGGACAAACTTCATATCGGCATTAGACCACGGAAGATAGAGTAGACCCTGACTCGAACTTCCTTATAAAGGTGACAGGTTTCCCCTTCCCCTTCGAATGACGTGATGCGGGAGCCTTCCTCTGCGATTTTGGAGGGTATACAGACGAGTACGAAAGCTGCCAGCTCCGCACATAGGTACGAATTGATTGTTTTTTTTACTATTCGACGTAAGCGTTCAAGTATCCCTGGTATTCTCATCGTGCGGGGGCGTTATATTCGACTGGGATCACCCAAGGACAGGCCGATGTCACAGTCTTCGGCATTGTATCGAGTGTCGAATAGAGTGCTGACGATTCTTGCAACGGCAGTCGTTTTCGAGCTCGTGGAAGCCCTATCATCCACGTATTCCCGGGTACCACCCCCGATTCCTGACTCGCGGGAAATGACGGCGCTCTGAGATTTCTTCTAAGTGGAGCCGCGACCGGATTTCTCTTTCTGGACAAGAGTGTCGGATTTTTTCCCTGGTGCATCTGCACACTGGATCGCGTGGCCCTCCGGTCTCGATCCTGGGATTCCGCAGAATCGAGCTCTGAAAAATAAGCTCACCCGAGCTAGAGTACAATCAACTCAGTCCCTAGATTTCTCTGTGCATAGAAACGTCGATTCGGAGCATCTGAGGGAAGATGCCCTGACTCCAGCCGAGAACGAGTTAATGACAACCACCCCGAAATATCCATCATCCCAAGCTCGTCTAGAAGTTTGATGTATCCATTGCAGAATGGCGCCCGCAGATCTGACGCGGGAGAGAAGATCAAATGATACGATTCGACTACATCACTTCATCAGATAACGCTCTTCGAAGGTTCGACAGCCCGAGTATTGCATTCCGGACTCGTCCCGCAAATATTGTCGGTAAGCCATCCCTGAGCCGTTTCCGACTCAGTGTCGAGCACATTATCAGGTACGATTGGGTCGGTTCTCAGTCAGTCCTCTGCTCAACTCACGTAGGAAAGAAACAGCTGCCCTCGGTCGAATGTGAACGGCGTCCTATGACAACTGATGGCCTGTTGAGAGCTAGGAGGACCACGGGAGCACACCTGGGAAGCTAAATATTCCATTTCTCAATTGTATGTCCTAGGGCAGTGGTTCCCAAGCTTTCTCTTACACGGAACCCCTAGGGCCTATGGGTTCCGCCGGGGTTCCGCAGGTAAGCTTTAAAGTTCCGCGCAATCCGCCACGGAACCCCGTTTGGGAACCTCTGTCCTAGGGCACCTCGGAATTCCGTTTCTGGGATCGTTCGCATCGGAGAGCTCGATGTCTCAGTCCCGTTCCTTGCATCGCCGCGCCGGTTGTATCTGATTTCATTGCCGTTGGTCAGAAGGCTCAGATGGTCCGCCGGATCCGGAAAAAAATTAATATTTTCTATGACAGCTGATTGCGTGTTTGGTGCCACACGACCGCGGGAGCATACCTGAGGAGCTGAGTATCTCATCTCTGGAATGGATCTCCTCGGACACCTTGAACTCCTCCCACTATGCTGATCTCGAACTTCAGCTCTTCCCAAATTCTGAGATGAGGAAAAGTTTTCGAGGATGCTCGTCTGCGAGGAGATAATTTCAGCGTCTTGCCGTCCAGCTGAGCCGGGTGTAGCATGCAGCGGCAGGGGGTTTTATGCAACGCATCAAGAATACCGGATTCGCGGTACGACGCTTTCCTGAAACTTCCGGTGAGCTCCAGCTGATCATTTGTGGCTGATTTCTTCATGTTTTCACTAGAGATTTATCTCGTGAATGTAGCATTCACTTGCTCCTAGATGAGGATTATTTCGCTCCGAGGCCTCCTCTTGGGGCAGAGGTCTTCCGAACTCGAGAATATTACAGTAGGGATATCGCTCTCTCGCTCAAACAAGTGCTCCGACTAATTTCCTCAAGGGCTATTTCAAGTTTCGCAAAACAGCAGGCTGGTCTGCCAGACGGCTTCGTCAGCATTCATTATCCGCAGGGAGAATATGCTGTCTGGGGAGCCTACGGCGATGCGATAGACAACACCTACGACCTGTCAAAAAGCTCCCTGGTAGTTTTATCGGGGCCACCTGTATATAGCTCCGCTTCCGGAATCCCATGTATCCAATCTGAGACGATTTCGATTCTGCGGACAACCTCGAGCATTATTCGGGTCTCGATCGATGGAGGGACATCCTAAAATATTGATGTGGTTCGTCTGTATTGTCCCACTATTGTAGGCCCCTACTCACAGATCCGGCTCCTCATTTCAGAACTGCAAAAGATTTCGAGCCGCGAGTGGCTTGAAGGTAATACAGCCAGACTGATCGGTATCTAATTCGGATACGGACAGCGGAGCTACATATACTTAGATATCTCCGCTGGAATGACCCTGGAGCTCTCTATGCATGTTTTTTCGGTCTGCGTCTTTCTTCTCCCAGTGAGCTCGTGGAAATTCGAACGAGAAATCGATGTCGCTGCTAAGTCCTTGAGTGGCTGCTCCAGTGCGATACCTGCGTATGCTGCTCGGTCGGAACTGATGCGAGCCGGGAAGGAACCGACAATCAGTCGACACCGTTCCTCACCTGCTCGATCCGATGAATTTGGAGGAGCGAGAAACGAGGTGTATTGAGGCGAAAAGACTTGAAAACTCATCCGAAACCGATGACTCTATGACCAGTGGGAACTCATCTTTGAGGGAAGGGAGATGAGCGATCGACGCAAACAGCAACGCGTGGGACCTAGGATTGGGATTGGATTCGCATTCCAACGTAGTGCGTTTGGGAGTTGAGTTTCTTCGCGATTTCCCTCGCACACATATCGGACTCCCCTTGGGCCGCATACGATTGCTCACATCGAGAAAGCTCTTATCCCTCAATTTCCGGCCTGTCATTATCACAGGTTATGCGGGGAAGCTGCCGGGTGCGAGCGCAATATCATACAGCAGTTCTGAAAATCCTACATACAACGCTGACATCCAACGACCCCGTGACTGTATATGAACTTGTGCGGGGGACGACTGTACCTACGGAGGGAATTCCTGGCCGGGGGCTCGATCGAAAGTTCCGCATCCGCCAACTCGACAATCGGCGACGTGTATTCTCGAGAGTAACCCCGAAGTTATACCCCGAAGAAGTCAGAAAGAAGGAATTCCTGAAGTACTTCAAACCCTTTCGAAAGAAGCGCTATTGAATTGAGTTTTGAGCAAAGTCGGGTTCCATGAGCCTCGAGCGATCATATCCGGTTCCTCCGACCGAAATCGTAGGCCGGAATGATCCGAATAAGGATCGCACTATTTCTGAGATCACGAGGGGCGCTCGGCCACAACTGTCCAGCGCCGCTTATTCCAGATAGTCGCTCTTGCCTCGTAGCTGACTGAGTGGACATCGCCTCTCCGTGTAAGAGAAGCTGCCGAGGTGATTCGATGTATCAGACTTACACCCGATGAATCCGAGCCGTTACCAAGATGGTGGGTAGGGATACCAACGACGAGGCTGTGGATGAATGTGTTGTCGCGGCGGACATGGTTCCTGAAATTCGTTTCTACTGAAGAGGTGGGGCATCGGCATCACAACTACGCGAAAAATCAAAGAAACCGTGCTCTGACTTCTCCGATTCGGGACTGTGAATTGAGGAATCAACTACCCTCATAGGCTCGATCGGCCGGGACGGTTCGAGGGATGGGACCTAGGAATACGGTTGGGGGACCAGGATTCGATTCCGGCTGGCTGTTTGTCCGAAGTAGACACCTCATACAAGCATCGACTGACTAGCGCTCCGACTTACTGACGATCTGACCTAGAAATCCCTCGTAGCGGATGGCATTAATTGACTTCGATGTGTGTAGAAGGTGACAATTCTGCGGAGAGATCGATGAGTACTCATTCTTGCTAGAGGCCGCTGCATGCGAGTCATGCTGATTTTCTCTGCTCTAGAAGCTGGCCTCATCTCCGTGAAGGTATTTAGGAAATGAGCTGTTCAGCGACCTACTAATGGTCCTGTGGAACAGATCACGTTCGTGATTTGAGGTTTGACGGGACATGGTCAGTAGAATGCAATTCAACAATCAGGAGAAGCAAGCGTGTGGACGGAGCAGCCTAAGATGGAAAGTGCGGGAGAATTTCTCACGGCCTTTTGATCAGCGAGAGATGGGGACCCTTCCAACGGTCTTTTCAGCGTTAAATGGCCCCGCTCGGTGAACAGCTGCCACATGGCGAAGCTGAGACGACTCTGACAGACCTCTGGGCTGGGCTGACCAGACACATCCCTCCACATAGAGCGCATATTTCCTCTTCTCTTCGACGAAAACTCAGCCTAGAGGCTGAAATACACAAATGTACGTCCGCACTCAGGAGCGCGAATCGTTTTCGTGAAGATTATTGCTCGCTCGCCAAAGACACGCGGAAAACTTTCCCTCCGGTCGTGCCCCAGGTCGCGAGGATTGTTACGATTTCCTCCGATTTTCACTCATACAGTGGGTAAAGTAGGCACTTGGACTAACGTTTCGAACCGCCTCTCCGTCCTAGGGTTATTAGAGTATGTCGAAAGGTGCGCGGACGAGCTTTGTGTGGCGGATGGTGGAAAGCAATCGGAAGTATCGTGGCAGATCCGCGAGAGCTCTCAAGCGGAATATCCCTCAGAGGCTTTTCCCGCAGCGAGTGTAGTGAACGATGAAAATTCACTCGTTTTGTCGTGGGAAATCTAGGAAGAATACATCGGAAAAATAGAATTGCGTCAGAATTTCGTAGGGGGCGGGGCTGGGGCCGTCCGGAAAGCAGGCTCGGATCAAGCCGGTCATCGCGGAGGCTCAATCACCAACGATCGTATCCAGTGATCGTATATGCGTGAATTGCTCCCGTACGAGTTGCATTCCGCGCATACTTCGAGCGCAGGATAAAACCCATCTTCAGTTCTCGGGGCTCATCGAAACCCGATAAACGACCGGAGGGAGCAGCACAATTCCGTCACCATGAACATCGATTCTTGATTTCTTCGTGACGGAGGAGCTTGATCATATTGGCGACTTCGACGGATTGCAGTGAAATCTCACTGCAACGTGTATCCTTGAAGCTAACTTTCGTTACAAGGAGCAGCTTTTGCCGGTCCCCGAGGCTTGTTGCGACGAGATTTCACTGCAGTACCTTCTAGAATCCTAGAACACAAGAAGGAAATTCGTCTATGGTGGAAATCTCACGTCGATTCGAGCCAAGTTCCCTCTCGGCCTTGATTCCCTGGAACGACTCTGCGCGTTCGCCCGAGTTTTCAGTTTCCCGGAGAAATGAAGCAGTTCTCCCTGAGAATGAGGCTGAGATGATTGGACTCGCGGACCTCCTGCATAACAGCGCACCGGGTTCGGCTTCCTGTCGGAGCCTCCGCCGAAGTCTGGCGCTCGGACAATCCTCAGAGTCGTGGCTAGACTCGGCGGAGAACCCTTCGTTTCATCAAATACCGCGTTTGTTCGCTGTCACCCCTAGGGCCTCATGTTGGGAGAAAACCTTTATTGCGGTCGATGACCGCGATTGCGAAGCCTTGTCGTGGCTCGAATGCAGAGACGGAGGACTCGTCGGACTAGTGTTGTGTGGAAGTCGCTGGAATGATGCGAGCCGAGATTTCTATGTGATGATGTTGGCGTGTGCGCGGGGACTGTCTGGTCGCTCGAGAGCTCTTGGCTCAGGGTCCGCCTCTGTCCTTTGATGAGCTCGATCCCGTCGGATACATAGTAGCCGCCTTCGCAGAAGCCATGTATGCTGATCCGGAGGTCAGCGGCGCGTCGAATTCGGCTAGAATGCTAGAATCGATCGCGTCCCGCCGAGTCTTCTCTAATTTTTTGGGAATAGCCACGCTCTCGGAGCTTTTTGACTCTCAGACGTCCCAGGAGTGGCTCCCCGAAGGACACCGTGACATTCTCACGAATTTCTCGGTTGTCTGCATCAGGCACGGGCAACAGGAACGGTCGAAGCGAGGAAGATATTCTCGAAACAGCCTTCCCAGAGTCTGGAGTTACGGAAAGCCTAGGTCCGAACGTTGAAGCTCACCGGATCCTCCTTTAGGGGCTCATTCATGCTTTCAAGGCCTAGTGGAGCTGACGAGCCCACGGGACGCTACAGCATAGAGCGACTCTGCCTGCGGAAGCAGTGAGGATTCTATTTGGTGACTCAAAATTACCGGACATACGTGATTCAGATACCGATCCTTGCCGGCTTGCTTTGACAGGGCGCCATGAGGTCGGAATCTCGCAATTTTTCGTGATCCAATCAGATCTCGAGTCGACTCACCCTAGATCGCGCCGTAATACATCGGATCACGCGAGATCACGCTCCAGCACGACTTGAAACGCGCCTTGCAGAGTACTCTAGCATGTGGACCCGCCTACGGTCGGGCATCGGAGACTCCCGCGCATGTCTTCGACTGTTGTGCCTGTGACGGCATGAGCGTAATCAAGGATCACTTGGGCGTCAGGAATGTAGTATCCATTGATCCGGAAACTATTAGCTCTAAACTATTCGCAGGGCCGGCCGGGGAGATGTACCGAATGCGTTTCAGTATCAAGCCTGTCCTATAGGTTCATGTTGCGTGGGGCTCAGCAGATCTCGCCGGACGCCAGACTGTCCGAAGTTCCAAACACTCATAAGTTCGCTATTACCGCAAGCCAAGATCCTCGTCTCGGGACAACCTGGCAAAGCGAAAGCTCCATTGACTTCTCCTCGAGAGCAGACCGGAACGGTTCTACGATTCGATTCCTCTCGAAGAATTCTCAATAAAATGGCGCTGTATTGAATATCATTGACGCTTTTCTAGAGCACTCTCCGACTTCTAGGGTGATCTTGTCCCGCCGATGCCGGAAATGATCTCTTCCTTCCTTCGGTCGCATTCTCAGCCAAGCAGACGTTCTGGTTCGTGGAGGCGGATAGATCGAGCATCAGTCTCCTGGAAAATTCTACTTCCTCCTAGTGCACCTCCTCAGTCGCATTCCGAACAGGAACCATGCCGCGTGCAGACGGGGCGCAAGTCTCCTCACATGATCGAAGACGTCATTTGGTGGAAAATATTTCTCATGAGACTGAAAATTTACCTCGAATGCGCGGAGCAATCATATCAATCCGGTGGGAAGCAGCATACCAGACTCCGCTCGGGGTCTCTCCGAGTGACGTCGGTGAACGCACCCACACATTCCGGGGCCTCATTACAGGGGACTACTGGAATCGGATGTTCATCCCAAAAGGTGAATCCCATGGATGAATCGGGCTGTCTAGGAGCCCACCGCTGGAGCCTGTGAGATTCGATTCCCTGGTAAGCACTCGTGTCTGAAAAGCTACCCTTCCTATTCGGAGCTCGCGAAATACGGGACTTCCTCGGAAGTCGGACTCTCGGAGAACGTTCTCGATCCGCTTCGCGATGTCCAATATATCTTCCGGAGGGACTGAGATATATCCCCTGAGCCTTCGAAACGAATTTCCCTCGTGCTTTCTCCCGGAAGAGCGAAAATATCCTGGGGTGGTTCGTCGCATGCTTCCATATGTGACGCGTTCTGAGTTGATTGTATAACTAGATCTATCTCTCGCCGCGAGGGAACGTGAGTGGTAAAGGGGAACCCTCGGGGAATTTGGGGAATTTCTGTTTTTCAGTCGCTCTATGATTATTCTCAACAACTTATGATGTAACGTCGCCTCTTCAGCCGTTGCCGCTCTCGCTTCTAATTCTGTCTCCCCCTCATCGATTTCATCAGCGATCCCGGAGACAGAATTCGGCTTCTCGGTCGTATACTTCTCGTATGGTTGCCAACAGTCATCCCGGTCCTGTCGATTTCGGTCTCTCTGGAGCTCGATTCATCGAACATTTCGGACGACCTCGGAGCGTCCGCTTCGCCTTCGCATAACATTTTTTTGTGAAGGAATCGAAGAAGGCTGATCGTGTTTTTTGATTCTTGTGCTCGAGATCTGCTTTGAAGACCGAGCCGGCACCCGCGTGGCCCCCCCCCCCCGTGGTCCGTCACGGCGTGTTTCATTCCTGTCGGCTCTTGAGCCCTTAACCGAGCCCGAGATCCGTGAATGCGTCGCGTCGTTCGGAGCTCCCTGGGTCGTGGACGTCGGCCCTTGCTCATCAAGACCGGAGTCCAATACGCGAAGCTTCGAGCTCTTATCTTCGAGAACAAAGCGTCTCAAGTCTCACGGCCTTCGCGGCGGGGTTTGAAAACAAATCGTAGGCCGGGTCGGTTCCTTCTGCAACGATATTCGGCTTCGGAGACGGCGGAGATCCGATTTCCCTTTTCGTCTAAAAAAATCTAGCATCTCCGCCATCCTCGACTTCTGATGAAGAAAGGAAGTAAGGCATTGGGACTCGTCGAGGCTTCTTGCCAGGGCGGTAACCGGGGATTCATATCCCTGTGGAGCCAAGCTTGCAGTTTCACAGGAAGTCGAGAGCCGAGAGAAGTTCGTGACTCCAGACGATGCTCGACGATCTACCCCCTCTCGAGGTCTGCTGACTCAATTCCCGAGTAAGGCTCAAAAATATATAATACGGTGGCCATCGATCGAATCTATGTATGGTCGCGAGTTATTCCCGTGATATTCCGGCTGAGATCGTACAAACGGGAAATTAGAATAGAAACCCGGATGATCTGATCTTCGGCAATGATATTGCGGTAAGAGGCGTCCCATAGGTGAATATTCCACAGATGATACCTCCAATCAGGTTTCACGGTTTTGTTCTACACGGTATCCCATGAAAACTGGAAGGCAAGATTCTTCATGGAAGATATCTTGCAATCCACGTGCCAGGCTGATGCGCAGCTTCGGCTCACCCAGCGATCAAGAAATCGCCGGCCAATAATTGTCTGAGCCTTTATAGTGTATGATGATTCTCCGGGAAAGGGGAGCACGACTCTGATTAGGCGAGAGAATGCTCAGGAGCAGAACCCGGGAGCTTCAAATGGTCAATTTCCGGATGAAATCGTGAGCAGGTCGTGGGAACCGCTGACCAACGTTCCCGATGTGTCACATCATTGATCATGGACTCGGCTTGTCGACACGTATGGCTCTGTGAATGCTGTTTTTGTTCGTCTGAAGCTGTCCGAATGTCACTTCATCGCGCTCGCGTGACCCCTATAGCATTACTGAACCACGCAAGGGGTTCGTGAGGACTTCTCCCTCGCCGGAGAGTCTTCTGTCCTGCACATCGGGATGAATTGTCCAACATCGCCACTCACAAAGTCGACGACCACCTGTTCGATGAATGCGGGGGTTGTTCGTATTTGGCGCCAGGATATCGCGCCCCCTGCATCCCTTTGGAGAGCATTGACGTCAGCACGCGCATGCGTCCTCAGCTGGCCTTTATCCTGCGACCGTCAGCTCCCCATTGGTTTGCCGATGTTTTGCAAAGGACTCCTCTACAAGTGTGCACAGCGTCTTGTCCAACATATTGCCATAAATTGTAAGTAAACTCGATGTTCTAGCTCATCGTGTGCCTTCTCCACAGTTTCCGGAGGGTGATTTGGGAAGTCCCCGTAGTTGACATGTCGGTGACTCTAAGAGAACAGGTTCGGAAGTCTCTTCAGTCCGACGTGCTGCTCCCGCCGACCTCTTGGAGATCGCATATGATACGGTGACCGGAAACCTCGCTTTGTTTCCGCCTCCGATTCGTGATCGACGACTGACCTGAGGAGCACTCGGGAGCTGAGGATATCGATAATCGTTCCCATAATTCTCTCCGATCACGCTTCTGAACGGATCTCACGATGACATCTGATCGTGTCACTATACGAAAACTCGTCTTCGACATCTGGGAGGATAAGCGGTCCCGCTTCCTTCGAGCTGAGTACCGACGGAGCGCAGGGCACGCAGCATCGTGAGAAATGCTCTGTCGCTCGTCGAGCCTCGGAGGAGTCCGATTTACATTCTAGCTGGAGCTTAGAGCTTTTCCGGATGTCCGCATAGTTTCTTTGGAATGAGAGGACTGCCGAAAGCTTTCCCTGATGTGAGCGGAGATAATTCGGGAGCGCCGCCAAACCCAAGGGAATCGAAGCACTTCCGATTCGATCTGGCTGTCGCTCGTCACCGGAGATTTGAACTTTTATTCAGGTTAGGAGCGTCTCCCGTTCCCGTTCTTCAAGTATCTCGCTTCCCGCCCCTCTTGTCAGCTTCATAGGACTCGGTGGGGAGATAAAAATTTGGCTGCGAGAGAGAAACATAGTTTTCCAGGCAGATGACGGTGTACAGACCTCCGAGACACCTGCAGCGACCCCAGCTGCCTCCTGTCTCCCGGGCTCCGAGGTGGACATTTCCAGAGTTCCCTCAAGAGACCTTTATCAACTTCTTCCTTGTCTCGGCGAAGTGCTGCTTCCTTTCATGAACCACTCAAAAAGCGAGCTGTCAGCTCGGAAGACTTTTCTCTCTTCTCATGTAACATGAACCGGAACTTTACTGAATTTGACTCAACACAAAAGCCCGCAGCTCCTCGGGTGACTGGTGCACCCACGAGCAATCCGCCGCTTATGAAAGCGGTACTCTCTCAGTCAGTCGGATTAAATATTCTATTTATGTGTCGCATAGTGGGAAGTCGTTCCGAATTGGGACGAGAATGCACGTGGTTTTCGGATCCGGAGCTCCTGTTATTCGCCTGTTCTCCGTCGGTCTTTTCGAAAAGAATCGACAACTTGTGTAGCGGGAGCTCTAACTCGACGGGAGGATCTCGTGAAGAGAGGCTATAGTTATCTGCAGTCCCTCCAATATGTGAACATATGGCGTAACTGATAGTCCCGGGTCGAGAGAGCTGGAGAGATCGTATCGGACTCTTCGTCGAATGCCGACCGTATCCTCCGTCCAATGAAACATCGCTGAAACAATGGCAGCGTTTCTTCGCTTCAGCCTTCCCATTGTTTCGCTCCATAAATCTTCCGCGCTTCCTCTTCGCCGCTTCATTCGTGACCCCATTGCACTCATTGGGTCGACTTCATGGAAGCTCAACGACTGCGAGGAGACATTCGAGATTAGCCCGAGAAATCGCCGAAATGAAATCCTTAGAATTCTCGGATGAGAAGCGAGCCCGAGGAAGACCGGCAAAGGATCCCATGGTAACGCGTTTAATCGGCGTTCCCGAGCCGGATGACGATCGCTCCGGCCGTCCCCATGTACTGATTTGAGATCTCATGTGAAGCGAAGGATCGATTGGTATATGGTGGCGAATCGAAGGGGATACCTCTGCTTGTGTCAACTTCGAATCTATCTTCGCTCTGGATCAGGAAGCTGTTTGTCGAAAGTTTCGATGCACAAATATCAGATAGTTCACACGTTTCCCCGCCGCGGGCGAAAGTTACGTGTGCGCGCGATTGTGTACACACGACTGGAATAAGATCGCTGTTGGCAGGACGCGTATCGATCCTAAACGAGATGACGTGATAAACTATGGTCAACCGATGCGGAGGAATCTCTATGTCTTAGGAGTTTCGAACAGAGCGCGGGAACGAGCGATAGACTCCTCCTGGCGGCGGTTCGGACGCTTTGAAAGTTGACGATGGCGGCAAACAGCACAGACTCGTTGTTCGCACCTCGCTACCCTCGGCAATCCGCGCAGCGGTGCGAGCGGCGGTTCGCAAGTAAAGTCACCCCGCCTCTCTGGAAACCCGGCCCAGAATAGATTCGAGACTAGAACCATAAACAACAATGAAGACCTCACTAAAACAAATCGGATTACTCTCTCAGCGTCTGGCCGAACTTAGAGATTGCCCCAACAAGTCTACGGGAAACAAAGAGACTTCGTGGCACTTCGCGAAGTGGCGCCGGCGTCTTCACCGAATCACAAACTTCTTATTCTAACCATCGAGACAGCGTTACCAAACCAGGCCGGGGAAAAAGATCTGTAAGCCTCATGTTCGTAGCAGACTGGAACGTTGGCCTAGTGAAGTCGCCGCCAGAGGTTCCCAGATCGGCCGCATTGTGTCTCGCTCAGGTTCCGGGGATTAAGGGAAGAAAAGGTCCCTCGATGCTCGCGATTAAGCTCGCTAGCGAGCTGCGAAAGACAAACACATGGGCGCGAAGACAATTCCGGTCCTGCACTTCATCATTCCCCGACGTGAGCGGCTCCGCTCTGGCGAGACCTCTGAGCGGTAAGCGTTCGTCGCATGAGGGTGCACGACTGTTGCGGCCGTGTTGAGTTTCATCTCGTAATGCCGTGATGCAATCGACATGAGCAGCCCCTGGGACCGAAGTCCCAGTTGTGAGTCAGTCCCTCCGTTGCACCGGGCTTTCATCGAGGATTAAACGGAGATTCCTCGATGTAGCTTCCGAGAATTCGGGTCATTCATGCATCGACATCGTCGTGATGCTCCCTATTTACGACGGGGGTCATTGCACATATGCCTTCTCGTAAGCTCGATGCCGCTTCAAAACGTCGTCCGTCTCGCCTATTGGAAGCTTCGTATGTGCCGTCACAAATCGACCTTTCGCTCTATAGACTTACGGAGGGGGCCTCCGCTCTCTTTGTCGATTGAATATCTTTAATGGACGAGACTCCTCGCGGCTTCGAGTTTCTCAGCGTCACCCGTCGACCGCCGGAAGATCATTGGATTCCAACCTCGAGTAGTGCCGCGGTTTTCACAAGGACACGATGATGAACTTCCGAACGAATGACTCATGAGCGGGTCTCTGCGAGGCGAAAACAACATTCATCTCAGCGCATCTCGGATACCGAAAGTATCCGACCTAAGCCGGGACTCCACCGGCCGTGTTTGACAGTTGGGCTCCTAATGAAGAGACTTGTCGCTTCGGCTGGTCGCCCTCGGCATGCATAGTCAACTACGGTGTCCTGAAGGGAAGATTGGATCCGGTCAAAATCATCATGGTCCGCCTTAATGTGACCTTGGTATCCCGTTTCAATCACTCATCTATTCGCGTCCCCATCGAACTGCAGCATGGAAAGCTTCCGATGCGAATTTCGAGCTGAGCTAACGGAGGGAAATCATTCCGCCCCGAGCTGAAGCAGCAGCAGGTCTGCGAGCCTGCACATGAAATCCGCGGGGAATTCTGAGGGCCCTTCGGATCCGACACTCGACCCTGGTGGAATTCACCCTGCAATACGCAGTGCCTCGCGAGCTCGACGTGCCGATCTGCTCCGGTACCTTGAGAAATTGGGATCTTCTATTTTTGGGTGGTGCGCTCCAATGCTTTCCTGAAAAGGTTCGCTCGCCGGGTTTGAGGACGAGGACGCGCAATTTTTGTTCCTCGCCCCGTTCCAGCGAGGACAGCAGCTGATGAGCACACTGTCGGGTAGCGGGAATCACGAGTGGAAGCGGGATGCGCGAAAGTTCTAGTTTGGCGCCGTAAGCCACGCCATCGCGTCATCCGTAAACTCGTCACACAGGAGTAAAATCCGGCCTTAGAAGGGGTAGGTGTGGAAAACAAAGCGAGTTTCCAGCAACTTGAGGGAGACTGGGGCCATTGCGACGCTTGAAGCAGCGTTTGGTCCGGAGGCATTATTCATTGGGACGTGAGAATGGAAGACTCGAAGCTTTGCTCCATCGCATCGGTGGAGAACAGACGACGCTTCCCTCGTCTCGTCATGGGCTCAGCTGGAGGAGTGCGGTTCTCTCCGGAGTTCTCGCCCAAAATCACTTGGAGGTCCAGCCGTAAGTCAATAACCTTCATCGTCGATACCGGCCGCGAACCGTCAGCACCCGGGAACGAGGAGGGAAAAATCATCGATGTGGAGAGCAAGGTTCCGATCCCAATCGAATCCGTGTCATCTTTCCCTCGGCGAACGTTGGAGCTTTTTTATCTCAAGGTCATCCGATGGCTCTGATTCGGTCTCCGTGAAGAAACGATGGCTGACAGGATGATTTTGTCCGAAAATAGACCTACTCCTCTTCTGGGCGATTCGGAAAGTGGCTTAGAGTCTCCACTCTTCCTTTTCTATCTGGCTTGTCGTCTGCGAAGGGAAGCCAAGGTGACACGTCATGAGCACAAACGGGTTACTTGGGAACACCCTCTGCGGGAGGACCGCATTGCTTCCCTCTCCCATTTTGACATATATTTCGAGGTTTTCGAGACTTTCCCAGCTTGATCGCTGGCTCTTGAACTCCTAGCCCGACAGAGTAAGTGCTCGTGAGAGAGCAAATAACTCGGGCGGAGTAACGTCCGCGGCTGTTGAGTCCGATGAAGCGAAGGGTCGCCGAGCTCGCCAGAAGTCGGACAAAGTGAGGATCGTGCTCTGAATAAAAGAGCTTTTGTGAATAGGAGTAGGCATTCATTGTTTTCGCGCACCCGGGGCATTCGAAAGAGAAGCCATCCCTCCCCGGAGTCAAGCGGAAGTCCGCGCGAGGCTATCCAGAAGGCTCGATACACTTTGTTGCTATCGGTATCCGAAGAAGGAGCCTCGAGGATCACCCATTGTCAAGATCTCTCGATATCGGCTGACGCTTCTCTTCCTATTTCGGTTCCGCTTCGATGCGCGGGGAGTTTGGCCGCACGTCGGGCGATTTGCTTGCGACAGAGTTCAACAGGTTCTCCATTGGACTTGACCTCGAAAGTGGAGCGGCCGGGATACTCTGCGCAGAAAAACCGTCCGAGGGAGCTTTATGCGGCTTGGGTTTCCCCTTTCCTAGAATGCTCGGAGTTCAAATCGGGTAGCGGAGCGATGGTTTCGCGTGCCGCAATGAGACGGGATCTCTCGGAAAGCTCTGCGCTTTGAATCGGATCGAGTTCTCCACGTGCTCTGGCTGCTTGACGGTGGCCTCCGAGTCCTCTTAGTTTATACGGTCAGCTAGACCGTAGGCAGACGCGGCGTGAGATTCTGAAGGACAGATTCCGAGCTCACGGAGAGAGAAAATATCTAATCTCGAGTCGGAACGAATCGACGAATTTAATTACGAGATGACATGATGGACCAAGGCTCTCGGACTCCCGAACGAACGTGAAGGACAAAGGAAACTTGTTTACTGGAAATTCCTCCCTCTCGGCAGCGTAAACGACGCTGTTGTTGGCGTGTGGCGCGGAAAATGCGCGCCGACGAGAACTTGAACCACTGTAAGTTTTCCTTTATGCTCGTCGTCGTACATCAGGTCTGATCCTCGCTACAAAGCCCACGTGCATGCGCACTGTGTGGATGATTACGGCGGACGATCTGTCCTTTGAAAGCTGTACCGGAAACGGGCCGCTCACGGAAATTGCGCTCAACTACCCAGTCGCTCCCAGACCTCGGTTCCCACAAGAGATATCGACGCTCTGTCAGCGGAAATGAATAGGTGAACCCCTGCTTCTCCACGACTCCACGAGCGGGACCGAGCATGAGTCAGCTTGGTATCAAAGTGATGTGAATCTTGGCTGGAATCTCAGCCAAATGCCGCCTCACGGTCATTGTGACATTGCTGACTGACGTACCTCCGTGGAGGGATCGAACTCTGGCCGAATATCTTGACCGAGAAAACGAGGAAGATATGATTCGCGCGATCCGCGACCTCAATAATGCTCTCAAGAAGCTCCGACTTGGCGCTCCGGTCTGATCCTGATTAAGAGTTCCTTGAGTCTTCTTTTTGAAGCAGCTCAAAGCGAGGTGCTCGAGTAGCGCCGTTCTGCGAAAGTGGTTTCCACTCACTCTATTCTTTTTCCTTCGCCGAGTGATTCAATGACTCTATCCCTGCGCAATGAGGAGCCAGAAGGAGCGTATGTCCTCCAATACCGACAAGGCCGTGAGCCGTGAATTAAGCGCTCTCTGACGCGGATTGAGGTCTGCCTCCTAATTGCTCCGGCTCAAGATGCGTGGAGTATTCTAGGACAGGGGCTCTGTGATTGGGTTTTGTCCTACCCACTTCTAAGCGATTGCGTCGTTGATAGCTCGCTAAGCTGGTGCTACGGTTGACGGTAGGATATAGCTTCAACGAGCTTCCGGTGGGAAATCACCTGATCTGCTCCTGCCTCAAGTTCCCTGCATGCATTACGCATCTCTCTCAGACGCAGAATGCTACGATGGACTCGTTGTGCGAGAGACAATTGATTCGTAAACCTGATCGGCCGAATAATCTTCCTCGGATGTCTCAAATGGAATCGTCGTGCGGGTCGACTGCGCTGTCTGAAGTACAGGAGAGGAAGCGCAAGGGCGGCGGAGGAGGAAAATGCGTCGGGGGCGGTTAGAATATCGATAAAGGTTAGAAAAGCCTCAGAGCCCTAACTTCGGAGAATCCACCTAGTCGCCCCGCGGTCAGTGGTCGATGATCGTCTGTGACGTTTTAGGCCGTTCTGAGCCTTGCGGGCTCATTGAGGAATGGAATAGACTCCGTCCATTCCACAAAACGTCCACAGCAAGGAACAGTATGCGTCTCGAGTCACCGAGGCCATTATACCACTAGACGGAAAGCCGATTCCCCGCAGGAAATCGGAAGTCCCTCATCCAACGAATTCGCGGGCCTCCACGCTGAGGTCAGATGAGCTCCTCGTAGCATACCAGACGAGTCACAGTCTGGCACCGACGCGACCCTGCCTCATGGGGTCCGCTCTCCCGCTTCGGGTTTTCATATGTTATATCTGCTCGTCGAATTCACTCCGTGAGGCGAACATATCATATCGTTTATAGCGCCCACCTCCGACGTGCATAATTCTCGTGCTGAGGAATCCCGTCTCAGACGGGCCTTCGAGAGTAACTGGCATTCTTTCGTATATTACAGGGTAAAACACTCTCCGTATTATGGACTCCGTCGCTTAGAATGTACGATAAAGAATTCGAAATACGTAAACAATGGGCTCTAGTCGCCCTCGTTACGCTCTCGACTCTAGCCTTCGCGACAGCCGAAGCAATTAATGGTCTCGGTAAGTACTACTAAACGAATTTGTTGCCCCCAACATTGTGCTTATCAAGAAAAAACTCGTTAGAACGCAATCGAACGTGAAATACAACAGAGAACATACAGCTCGGGAACTTACTCCTCTCCCTGCACGGCGTGCCGTTCAGAAAAAAACAGCTCCCGTCTCACGAGCCCACGCTCCCTCTTCCTGCTCTCCGAAGGCGAAGAATGAAACATTTTCCTTTTTCCGAGCCTCACCTGCTCTCGATGGCTCGAATAACACCGTACCAGACGTCTTAGCAGGCTTTCCGACTTCTCTCCAGCGTGCAGTGGCGTACCCAGGGGGGGGGGGCAAGGGGGCCATGGCCCCCCCAAAATTCTTCTTGCGTAATGCAGGAGTAGAGGGTACCTCATCATTTTGGATCTCTGGCCCCCCGGAAACCTAGTCTGGCCCCCCCAAAAAAAAATCCTGGGAACGCCCCTGCCAGCGTCAAGCAGCTTATGACGAACGACGAAATACCGGAACCTACCCCATAGCAAGAGACGTCAGACGGGTTTCGGAGAACTTCCTCTGAATCCGTGAGGATATGATCGCGCGTTTCGCGATTCAGGGACACTGGCTCGATGATGACACGTTCCGGGAGTGCCAAGGCGTATGGCCAGATTACGTGTCGCCGCGGCGACTCCGCCGGAAGATTTCCGTCGTGACTTGGCCTCCTTATGGTTCGTTTGCTTCACTGGAGCTCTGTGTAGAGCCGACTTCAAGAGAGCTTGGAGAATGCATTCCAAAGTCTCCGCGTCACGTTGGGCTGGTGGCTCACGAAGGCAGCTTCGGGACTTTCGGAGAGCGAGTGATGTTATTGGAATGGTCAGATGGCAGTCTGTCTGACGCTGATTCCGCCAGTTGAGTCATAATTCATGCGACTTCGTTTCGCAAGGTATGAGTGGACGAACGTTCAGGGCGAATCAACATCCGATTCGTTCATCTCTGCTCCGGCGGCGAGATTAGAAACCAATTTCCTCTGGAGAGCTCCATCATTCCCCAGCAATAATTGTAAGAGGATTACGGGGATGAAGATTCCGAATCTGAGGGCTTTCCCGTTCCGAGATTCTTCCATGGGACAAGGTTCGTTCCGGGAAAGGAAGAACTCTCTCCCTCGAATGATCGAAGTCGCGATTGCCTGCGCCTTGACCTTGACTAGCGATTGTAGCGCTTCGGGGCGAGAAGGACAAGCAATAAACCCCAATGAGATTCAGCCAGTGCTTTCGGTAGAGGTCTTGTGATAATTACCCTTCGTGGGGTCGTTGGCAGACGTTTGCAAAGTTCGCTCTGCTCGTAATCGTGTCGGGTTGCACTCGACTCTCGCCGACAACAAAACAGCTTGACGAGAATAAATCCTCATCGGGCGGATGAACTCCGGCAAACGATTCCGGCGGATTCTTCCGTTGTCCGATTCAACACTTTCCAAATGATAGATGATCGAGCCATTCCGTTAGGATTTGGATTGATGGAAACTTTGTTCCCCCCAGGATGCCTGTACGACGACACCATTTGCTCGGATGAAGAATATTGTCTCAACGGTGAGTGAGGAACGTTTGCAGCTAGAATCGCGGCGCTCGGTAGTGCCGAATGAGGGATATCTACAAATCATTGCTCCATAGACTGAATGACTGTCGAGAGAGATATGCGGGGGAGTTTACTCTGATTGAGAACCGAACAGGAAAGCGAGCATGAAGCCTCACAGGATCGTGGTTGGAAACCTTACACTTGCTGAATCCAGATCGGATGCCTGGAGCTTAGAAATCAGGGGGGATCCATTCCAGCCAGGGTAATTGAGGCCACCGAACCAGGAAATCATGGGAAAGAATTCGGACGGTGGTATATGCAGGATTCGACTCACGCAGCAACATCGTCCCTATCGTCGACAGCTGGATGCGACTTGTCAAGCTACCCTTCTGCTCGAGACGGGTCCATGTTTGTCTCCCTCTTGCAATTCCCTCGGGCGCGACTGTGTCTGTCGTGTTTGTAGTCGGCGACTCTCGGTAGAAAGTTGAGAGCGACGTATTGCTGCATCTGAAATCGTTCGGTGTAGTGTAGACTTCGTCCGTTTTTCCAGACATGAACCTTGGAAAGATAGCCCCGCTTGTTCTTTTGTTGATCCCCGGTGGAAAGCCGTAAACAACGTTCCCTGCTCTGTATGAAGAAGTCTATCACGGAACAGATTCTCGTTCCTATTTTATTCGCTCCGCCGCTGTACGTCTGGATGTGTCTCAGAGGGATCATTTAGCGAAAATTGGCCGCATCCCTCGAGGTCGGCCAAAGAGATCTTTGTTGATACCTACGACCGTAGTATCCTGTCCACGCGATCGCTCGGTTTCCCGTTCGGGTCATGAGTTGCGGGCTTCGGCTCGAATTACAGGTAGTGAATCGAAATGGTTCAGAGACTGGCATCAGCCAACAATAGTTATCAGCACGCCCCACCGATGGCTCCGACCTGCAGGCGATCGTCATTAGGGTCGAAGCTAATCGCCAGGTATTGAACTCCGATGAAAATGAACAGCCAACCACGCCCGCATACGGAAGCTCTTGGTCTGAAAGTGATCCAGTCGGGGCGCATACCACCTAACGTCCCGCCTTATTAAGATCTACGCATGATCTCGATCAACGCAACACTTGCGCCCCCATCATTGAAGAGCTCATTTGTATGCATTCTAATGACGTCTGAGCGGGGAACGACGGTATCCTGGCCGTGGCTGGAGATGACATAAGACAATTAGTTACGTGTGCGCGACAGGTGTAGCGACATATTCGGGATTCGATCTCTTACGCAAGGACATCCAACGATGACAGGTACGCTAAAGTCGTTTTTTTTCTCCTTCTACAAGATGGGTTGTTTGGATCGTGTCGCAGCTCTTCCGAACTCGCGGATTGGCTCTCAACGGAAACAGTCAACCCCAGAATTCTCGAAGAGCTTCTGGCGGACCTCTGGAAGGACGGTTATCGCTGGGAAGACGAATACACTCAATGCGTCATAAGTTGCTTACTAGAAAACGCTCGAGAGGGGCTGGATTACGATCCGACTTGTTGTACCCACACTCTGAAGCTGACCGAACCCGTGACGGTAAGTGATAATTTCGCCTTGAATTGAATACTCCACCACATCGTAGGCCCGCGCGATTCCCGTAACAGGAGCGGGAGAGTGCGAAGCCGAACTAATACTGCATGATGGTGGACTGACACGGAACCGGACATCGCTAGAACCCTCTCACCGATTACTGCAGAAGATCAAGCGATGGATACGGGTCTTTTTCTCGACGAGCTCGTGGCGTCCTTCGCAGTTTTAGCATGAGAGAAAGTATATCGAGCCGGATCGATATATCGGGAGAAGAGGGGGGGAGAGCTACTACTCGATGAATTCGAGAGCAGCAGCCCACGCGAGATCCCGTTCCATGGTCGGTCGTCGCCATCAACCCTGGAAAAATGCGAACAATGAGCAGGACGTCCTGAGTCCCAGACATCGCTCTTCCGACAATGCGAGCCAAGCTCGATGAGGATCATATATCGGAAGTCGGCGCTTCCGGGAATCCTTTGTTTTAGCGACATGAGTTGAGCCAGGCTTTGGCTCTCTCACCGAGTACGACGATTTCCTTGCGATGCGTATCGCTGTGCCTTCCATGTATTCTCACCTTCCATGAGTTTCAAGGAATGCTCGAAGGACAGATCGGCGGACAGCGTACTCGCTCGATGCCCCAGTGAAGAAAAAGTGCGCATCGCCGCGACCCACGCGAAAATAAGGTCTCGCCCTTCCGGCCCCCCTCCAAAATAGATCAATGTGCCGAGCTCCTATCCAAGGAATAACTCGGTCGACCTAATAAGATTCTCCGAGCGACTTCGGGAAAGGGTCCCGGGAGCGCTCCACAAACACACGGGCTCCCGAACTTCCTCTTCTCCGTCTCGTGTTATTCGTGCTCATCATAGTCCGTTCATATCCCGAACGTGAAATGCTGCGTAGAAACGCTCACTATACGACCTCACTGCCATGCTTCCTCCAAAAGGCAATGAGATACACGAGGTTTATGAGATCTCGCAGCCGGATAATCAAGATTCACCTCGGGGAAAAGCTAAACTGCTCCCATTCATAAGGAGGGTGATCCCCTTATCGGGATTCCCTCGCTCAGCGAGACAAAGCCCGGGCTTGCGATAAGCCGAGAAGACTCTTTGCGTCGATACCCTATCGAGACGCGCAGACAGGATATTCGCGGCGCGGCGGCTCATAAGTCCCGGCTTCCGGAGCTCCCTGTCTCGGTATTCCGATGCCGGGAATCATTGAAGAGATCAGTTTTCAAAGCGAGCGATCATGCACAAATTATCGACTCGCGAGCTTCCCGGTTTCGTGTGGATGGAGACGAGCTGAGCTAGACAACGAACGTTGTGAGCTGTGTTTGCCTGACGGAGCCGATGGATGTACGGGGTCTGCAAATTAAGAGCAGACCGCTTGAAATGTAGATTCGTGTAGTTCGCAAGCTGGTCGGCGCTTGAATCGGGACATCTGCATCCCGTGTCGGCATCAAACTCGCTTGATTATAGTGCAGTCCTCCTGCATGCAAGTAACGCCCTGTATTCTGTAGGAGAACACAACTTAGCCAAACACGAATCCTCGCGTCAAGACGAGGATTCGGGAACGCGAGGGAGGAGGGAACATGCGTGAGCCCGAAATGTTGTGGTCAGCCTTTGGGCATCCTCTGTCCCCGGGAACCCGTCTGGGACAGTTCTGAATTCTGAGCGAACTCGGTACCTTCTCCGGGAGCTTCATTGGGATCATTGTTGTCGCTGTTGATGAGGAACCGTGTTCGCTTTTCAGAGCAACGATATAGTGTCGTCGCCGTCGCAGCCGCAGCTCTCTAATGTGGACCCCGCAGATCAAGCTTACATTCGGTACGTTGACCACGGGCTATCTAGTAGCTTTCTAGTTCCCCCAGGAATTGCATCTGCCTAACCGCTGTCTACCCCACAGTTACACACCTAACCTCTCCGCCGGCGAACTTGGTGTCGAGTCACGTCGGAACGATGGCGAGACCTATGCAGATGAGGTGGGTTCAGATTCGATCGGGATTAATCTATGGGAATCCTCCTATATCGAATATTCGAAGGAGCGGAGCGAGATTCTCGGGTTTCTGTCGGCTCCCGAATCGAGAGCGAAAATAGCTTCGGGGAATAAAGTGGTCTATCGAGGCATGCCGGGATCCACGGGAGAGGAAATGAAGTCGAAGGGAACCGTCTCGCTCGGCTGGCAGAAGGAACTAATTCTTTAGAGAATTTAATGATCGACCAAGCCGTCGAGGCCATCGGATGTCGATCGATTTCTGAGTCGGTCTCCAAACATTCAAGGTCTTCGTTCCTCCGATGTCGACGTCAACTTCAATCATGGGGGAGGGTCAGGATCCTGAAAGGCAACTCAGAGGTCTAGGAGCCATAGCCGCGTTCACCGATCAGGCAAACGAGCTCCGGAGAACACTGCGCAAGAGGCAGCTGGAACTCTTCGATAAAGATCAGGAAGAACAAGATGAAGGCGGAGAAGAAGACGAGGACCCGCTGGCGAAAGTTATTCAGGATAATCTGTGGGCGACGGGAAGTTCAAACGGTGAGTTCCCCAGACGAAGGCTGGTAGCCTCGCTAATATTCATTCTCAAGCGACTGTTTCAAATTAATCCCTGAATTTCAGATGATCTGGGAGAGGTCAGAGACTCCTCTTTTATCGACAATTTAAAACCCATTAGAAAGGGAAGCTTCCTAGAAGATGACGAACCTGAGCTACGCGACACGTCAACTCTGCAGCAGCTAGCTTCGCTCGTAGACCGCGAATTCGAGGAAGAGAATAGACGCTCGGTTGATTCCAAAGAACAGGTAAGCTTCGCCAATTGTTCCTGGACGCTGCGGGGCCTGTGCCTCGGAGCCTCCTCTCGCGTGGCCGTTGGATTCAGTCATCGATCGCCGAAATCTTCTACGAGGACACAGGGAGGATTCCCTCGTCAATTCTCTGATTATTATTTGACTTTCCAGCAGAACGGAGAGCCTGGCGTAAGCGATGAGGCTGTCACCTATGAACTAGAGGAACTAGCGCCAGACAACTCGGTTTTTGTTGATAAGATCAAGATCCGGGCTGATCCCTTCAGACGACCGATGCGCTTGGATACCAAGAAACCGGGTCCAGGTTATTTTTATCGCGAGTTCGACGACGAGGAAGATGTAGACAAATATGTAAGTGTGTTTTCAGTTTGCCCTCTTACTTTCGTGCATTCCGGCGACACTCCAAAATGAAGGTCCCGAGTCAGGGGATGACGACATTTCAGACACAGAAACTGAGACGTCTCAAGGCCATGCGAGAAATGAAATCGGAACTTCTCCATGAGGTTGACAATCCTGAGGATATATCCAACGATTTCGGTGAGGATCTCACGCTGTTCGCTCGTCTGATCGGTCCATTCCCACCTATCCCTTTCCGGGCCGTTCCGCGGAGAGGGCACTTGATGCTGATCGAGAATGCGCCCATCCAAGCTCTCTTCCTAGTAAAGGTGGATGGGCTGCGTCAGGTTTCTACTAACTGGCGGCCCGATATCCTCGTTTTATTCCTGGTCTGATACGGCCGAAGTCATTGTCGAGACGGGTGATTTGGGTCGAGCGGAATTATCAGGTGAAGCTCTTCCTAATTTGGAATTGCCCCGTACCTTCCAGAGAATGGCGGTAAGAAGCGCGCGGAAATACCCGACGAGACATTGAGTCGAATCCCGGTGCGCCAAGCAGAAGGAATGATGATGCTCGATCCATACAGCACCGCTGCCGGTATTGAGCCCGTCGACTCAAGCACGGCTTACGTCAGCATCGAGAGAGTAGATAAAAGGTAAAGGATCGGCGAGAGAGGTCTGGCTCGCTCTGGATAGGCGTAAGCCTCATCTGGACCAATCGAACTTGGGAACTTCCGACCTGCTCTCGAGATGGCCGATGAGAATGTCTCGGAGATTTTGACCCAGAATGTTTGACCATCCCCAGTACGGTGACCAAAGAGGACGCTAGTCGATTGACAATCACCTTAGAGAAACTCTTCGAGCTTCCGACCGGGACGATTTCGCAATCGCGTCTCAGCGGAGACCAGGTCGCTTTCAAGGTTCTTCCGAATGAAAAAGGCATCAACGCCACAGAGATGATCAACAGACTCGGTGGGTTCAGGCGGTTGGCGATGAATAAGAGCCCAGAGAACTTTCCCAAAGAACTCCTCTGATGAAACTCGGCTTTGTTCCCCCGGCACACCCAATGGATGGTGTGGATCTTCTCATCGATGGAATACTAATCGATGCAGAGGATTCCACCTCACGGAGCAAAACACATTCTTGCAGATAAACTCAAGCAGGAAGTACGAGACAAAACGAACCTCACGATTTCGAGAGCTGGAATTGGGGATGGCGTGAAGTACGAGCTCATTGCACCTCGGAACGGCGATCTCTTTTTATTCTCTTTTGTCGTATGCGGGTCTGTAGTCGGAGTCCTCCTCGCAATATCCGTCATATACGTCGTCCGCCGACATCAGCTCAGCAAGGAGAAGCTCCATAATTTGAATGGAGAAGACGATCCCCTTGCAAAGTTCGACTATCAGGTGAGGACCCCGAATGCCAGGTCGGGAACAGGAATTTCTTCCCGGACATTAAGGGAAGAAACGCTCACATCTGCCCTCAAACTCGTTAGCAGGACTCTGGAAATCCCATAGTCTTGTGTCCATTATATATACGTCAGACGCGATGCCCTGATCAGGAAATTCCTGAGTGCTGCTAACCGGAATTTCCTGCCCTGATGGGGCTTGAGAGCAAGCGGAAATAGATGACGTCGGGTCTTATTTCTGAGTCCATGCTTTAACCCGATGCTCATAATTGAATCGATAGGATCTGTGCCGCCAGCGCATGGCTGACTCTGGGAAGGAAAGCCCTCTGGCCGCTGCGTTAGAGTCTGGGAAACTTCAAGGTTCTCCGAAGAAAGTCAAGATCGTTTCTCAGCAGTCGGACAGCTCGCGTTCGTCGACTTCCTCGTGGTGAGCGGAAAACTCTTTCTGCTTCAAGTTTCCTTCTCGTAACCGTGTTGAATATTATACGGGGCTCTGATTCAGCGGGCGGATGCGTGTACGATGAACAATGCGCGTGACATCACGTACCCGTTGCAAGCTCCTCCTCGTGGAAAAGTGTTTGGAAACTCCCTGCAAAACAAGCCATATCCATGCTATATTCAGCAGCGATACAATGGAACGCATCTTCTATATATAAAAGCTGATAGGAATGGAGAAGATGGATTACGTAGTCTCGTTTTAGTCTTATCGAAACTGATTCCAGGAGCGAGGAGCCCGTGGCAACGAGCATGGATATATCGACCGGACACATGATTCTCGTAAGTTGTTCTAGAAGACTCAGAGCGCGAATCGGCTCTTACGACGCAGTGCTCTATGATTTTCGCAACCGCGGCCGAGTCGTACGAGGACGAGATCATTGAGATTCATTTTTTTTCTTCGACAACGTCGGCTCACGTGATAAGGCATAATTTCTATCTATGCAGTCCTACATGGAAGATCACATCAAGTCGAAGAACCGACTGGAAGAAGAATGGGAGAGTTTGTGCGCCTACGAAGCCGATCCCTCGTCCACGGCTCAGGCCGAAAAGCAAGAGAACATCAAGAAGAACCGCTACCCAGATACTCTGCCGTGTAAGTGATGGTCGGATGGAGTCCCATTGCTCGCATTCACAACGGCGATTCCATCGTTGCCGTCTTCATTTTGCGAGGAAGAATGAGGAATGACCCTCGGGACTCTTGTACACTCGAAGGAATCCCATGAAGCAATCCTAGCATGAGAGCTGCGCGACCAGCTGCGATTGTCACCGCTCGGCGACCGTCTTCTGTTCGCTGGTTTTCCTTTATCTGCGACAGCATCCTTCCGGACGGATCTCTTTTTGGTGAATTACTCACGACCTGTCCAGATCCTCGTGATGTCCGGACCCTTCCAGGACAGAGGAATCTCGCGTTCGGTGGCATGCATGTTGAACGAGTTGCCTTGGGAGGAAGTAATGGAAATCCGTATGTGGTCAACGACATAAAGTTTCTCTCCACCCGATTCCAGACGATCATTCTCGAGTCATCCTCAACGACGCGAGCAATCCAAACGGTTCCGATTACGTGAACGCTTCCGCGATCGTAAGTAAATCCGGAGAAAGAAGGCGATTGAACGAGTCAGTTTTTCTAAATTCCAGTCACACAATCAGTGGCGTAACGAGAGGAAAATGGTCGACCGCCCCGGATAGCAATCGTCTGGAGCCGCCCAATCGCACCCAGACATTTAGCAGATCGGCGATTTTAGCGCGATTCGAGTCGTCTCCGGATTTCTCCTCGCCCATGATAGTGAGCTTGCGATTTCTGACCGGACAATGTTCCACTCCTAGAGGCGAATCTCCCTATCAGCACATACCCAATTGATCTAAGTAGAGCACTCTCAAAATTGAATAGGTATCTGACGGAACCACATGACCTCTAGACGGAACTGAATGAGTGAATTACGCAGCTCTCCGAGTGTCCCGTGAATATCGCGGAAAAAATTATTTGGAAGCTAGAAACGGGTAATACTGCGACTGTACGGAACATGTATTTCGCTCCGTGACCTCTCGTTTTCGAAAATCCGGCTCACGAAAGGTTCGCCATTCCCGTCGGGGTTGTCGGGCAGGGCTTCCTACGGAGCGGCTACGGACTCGCCTCGTTACGCCACTGTGGATAACAGGTAATTAATTACTGAAACATGACATCCTCGCTCCCTATTCATTCCGTGCTTTCTTTCCTTCGGCGAACAGACTGACCACGACCCTGGGAACCCAGCTTATATTGCCACACAGGGACCTCTGGCTCATACGGCCGCGGATTTCTGGCAGGTACTGTCCTCGGGAAGAGGGGAAGGGAGAGGGGAAAATGCCTCCGGGGCAGAGAGAAACCGAATATCTCATCATCTTCTCTCCATACTTTCCTCGCAGATGGTCTGGGAACAAGGCGGAGTCGTCGTTGTCACGCTGACCCGACTCATGGAAAACGGAGTGTCTATGTGTCATCGCTACTGGCCCGAAGAAGGATCCGAAAGCTACGGTCTCTACGAAGTGCACCTCGTTTCCGAGCACGTGTGGTGCGACGATTACCTCGTTCGCAGCTTCTATCTGAAGAACCTCAAGACGTCAGAGACCCGTACCGTCACCCAGTTCCACTTCCTCTCATGGCCCGAGAACGGAATTCCACCATCAACGAAATCCCTCCTGGATTTCAGGCGCAAAGTGAACAGGTCGTACCGCGGAAGATCCTGTCCGATCGTAGTTCACTGCAGCGATGGATCGGGTCGAACTGGAACCTACGTTCTGATGGACATGGTGCTTAACAGGATCGCAAAAGGCGCGAAAGAAATCGACGTGGCCGCCACCCTAGAACACGTGCGCGACCAGAGGGTCAACATGGTCAAAACCAAAGCCCAATTCGAATTCGTGTTGATGGCCGTTGCTGAGGAAGTTCACGCAATCCTCAAGTCGCTGCCCAAGGAGTAGAGAGTCGACCAGAACGATCTCGATACTCGGAAAATGCAGAAGAGAAAAATGGAGGGGACGACGACTTCAAGCGACAGCTTTGCGTTTCGTTCGATCTGTCGATGACGATCGTCTGTGTTTAAAAATCTTGTTTTATGGACTCCATCGATACTCCGACAATTATTCTCAGAACGATTCACCTGGGTTCTGATTACGGGAACACACATTCGTCCCTTCAATGCTCGATACACACACCAGGTAACATTTAATTTCCCGAACGTCGGAACATTCAAGCATTTACTCAAAACAGGAATAGCAGGTAAAACCTGACCACTCATTCGTGTCCATTAATTCTGGAGTCTCAACCTCAAGGTTAAATGATCGATGCAGAGTTTACGAATCGTTTTATGGAGCCGGAATCTCATGCTTCATCCATTGGATTTAAGCTTCTCGACGCGGAGTATGCAAGCTCCATGCCGTGACCTCATTCCGAGCAAGATATCGAGAGTCGTTGAGAAGTCAGCCTCTCATGCTCCGTATGAGGAACAGTCTTCTTGCCGCCGATTCGATCAAAGAGGACGCAACTTGATGGAAAGGCCCCCTCCCGATGCAAGGCCCGGCATCCGAGATCTTTCTTTGAGGAGATTTCGATCTTCTTCGTCGGGAAAAAAATCCAGCGCGGGCTGCGGATGCGATAACCCCCCAGGAAAAATGAATATCACGTAGAAGAAACATTATCAGCTCGACGACCCTCGCAGTAAATCTAGTTGTCTCACAGATGCGAAAACCGGGCATTATCTATCACCGTGGTTTCTATTCGGTCTCTCTTGGGGAGCTCATTCGGTCGGTCGCCTCAACCCGCCCGATATCCGGAGACAGAGGCCGCGAGAATATTCAAGTCTGAATCTCGAAAATTTCCGAAAAAACTCTAGTGTGTGGATTCCATCGTATATACGACAGTTGTGCTTCATTCGATATCGAAGCTCGCGCTTGCGAATCGAGAGATAATTTGGTTCCCTCACGTTTTCGCAACTGCGTGTGAGCGGACAAAGGGTCCGAGAGAGTCCGCAAAACCGCATCGCCATTAATTCGAGGGGTGAAATGAACAATTGTCTGTCGACGGGAACGTTCGAAAGCGATGCTGGGTACGCCTTTTCACGGGCTCCCGAGCGCGGCCCGAAGCTATTTCCTATGTTGTCCACCATGAGTTCGAGTACGTAGTCGGACGGAATTTACGGAACACCGATCCGGGGAAGCCTGCGTCGGAGTTCAACGAAAGTTGGTCCATGTGCTCTCCGAACTCCGGAATGAATCCTCGTTGTTGGCTTCCTTCGCCACTTTGTCTTTGATTTTTGGAAAGGTGTCCCTGATGGGAACGGGCTGTGCGCGAGACGCTCCCTGAGTCCCACAGACGCCTTACAGCTCTCGGAATATTGTGATGCAGGTACTACAACGTGTGTCTTACTCTTGATCTAGCCGAATGTAGGAGCGATGATGATGGTTATATCCAGATGAGAACTCGGAAGAGAAACAAACAAACAAACGGAATATACGATGATCAACTCCAAGAACGACAAAGAAAAAATACTTATGAGACTGTGTTACGTTTGCAAGGTTTATTTCGTCCTGCTTATCCGAAGTAGCGACAACGGTCCGATCGGGGCTGATCCAAGCGTATCAACGCGCTGACGAAGACTGATTTAACTCAATGATAATATCGAGAAGAAGAGCACTCAAGCTCTAGCTGAAGATGAAGACGATGATGGAGATGGAGCAACAGCTTGAAGGTGATTCGAGAATGGCCTGGCCACGGAGCTGCGCCGAGCGTCACTGGAATGGAGTGCTCGAGCTCCAGCGGCGGCCGCGCGTAGCCCTCGCCAATCGAGCCTTCTCAACCTCGTTGACAGCTATGGCTGATTCTAAGACAATGATTATAACGATGTTGGTGATATCTCGAGTTTATCATGTTCAGGCTTGAACCATGATAATAATGGACCTCCCCAAATTCGCGGACATTACAACCACTGATAGTTTAGCAATGTTGTATTGTATTTTCTTCGATGTAAGCTGTTCGATTGTATTATCATGCCTTGGCCACTACCTCCCGTCCCGTCATCTGAAGAGTCTCAATTTCTCTCATTTCTCTCCAGTTCGGTGCAAGCGAAATATCCCACGAAAATATGGTCTATGGTCTACGGTTCTTCGGAATAAAATATTTATGTCAGAAAAAGAGCACGTTTGTTGTTGATAATTTTTGGAGGAGGTCCTTCTCGCGAACTTCTCCGCATTCCGCGAGTTAGTTCCTCTCAGGGAAGATCAATGCCGACGGATGGATTCTCGCGCTCGATAGGGCAGCTTGTTCACAGAAGAGTTTCGGCTCGCAGAAAACTCAAGAGAGCTGCCCCGCAGCCGACATGAATGGCCAGAGCCACTTCCACATAGTTCGCTTGTTATCATCGACCACTTACGGAGCTGGGGTCAAACTGGACAGCTTCGAGCGCTAAAAGCAATTTCTACGGCGCCGGCATGCAGCCTCCGAACAGAAAAATTGCGTCCGATGCAGCTGCGCCATCTGCTCCGAAAATAGTGGGGTGCCTTCACTCAGGGGTCGATGCGGTAGCCCGTGTACGTCCGTTCATACAACAGGTGTGCTCCGCCGCTCCGAATCCCATTCAGTCACACGAGCGAACCCGAGGCGCCTCTCGGTGCAGACTCGGCGAGATCGGGGCTAGCGCCGCCGCGCCACCGTGATAAAGCCCCACAGGTGAATTTCTGCTAGGGAATGAGTCTGCCACCGATTATATTTTCGCGGGGAAACTGCTCCCGCGATTAGCGGTACGGCGATGCGTGTCGATAATCCGATAGGCCAATAATTGCTCATTGTGACGATAGATCGAAACGAGAAGTCAGAGCCCGCGGCTTCCGTCGCAAAACCTGTCGATCTGGTGCTGGTGCTCCACAAATTCTGCCGCCGTTTCAGCGGGATTCTGGAGCGTCGTCAGGTGGCGAGAAGAATGAGAGGAGAGCAGCAGCGGGGCCGCCGCTAATGCTGCTGCAGAAGACGAAGCAGGTTGTTGTCAGCGGCGACAGCGGCTTCTGGAGTCACTTCTGATAAACTTCACCGGACTCATCAACAGTCAGTGTGATTAGCGTGTTAGCTGACGACTGGTAGCCTGATCATCTATCGGAGGCTTGCTGAGTTTTGCTGTTGGGAACCCGAAGGTCCGGCAGGACCGAGAAGGTGGAGGCGCTTGACCATCGGAAGAGCTCTGTTCGGAGTACAGTTTCGTGTAGTTCTCTCGGCAGTGACGTTGTCCCCGTCGCAAAACGACGATTCTGTCCACCGTAGCTGTCGCGAAGAGCGACTTCGGCTTCAACCGTCATGGCGTTTTTGTGTCCCATCAGATTTGGGAGATCTCGTAATAAAAAAGAAAGATTGGAGAGCATTGCGACGCCGAAAATCGGAAGAGTCACCGGTTCGTCCAGCATCGACACGCTCATCAGGGTAGGACTCGAAAAAGAACGGGGTCTCAGTGCAAATTCGAAGGTTGTCGTCATCGATGACTTCATTCCACAAGTGGACGATGAGTTGGGAGTCAAGAGGGGCGAAATCGTCTACATACTCTACAAGGATAACGACTGGGTAAGTCGACGGAACGTCGCATCGTGCAACGATTGCTCTCCCACTCGGGTCGCGGAACTTCATTCGCACTCCACGAGTCCGAGGAAGTTGGGTCCTCCTCGAGCCTCTCCATGTGATCGTAGGTCCCGAGATGGACGGATCTGCTGTGTAGATTCATGAAAATACATACATCGACAGCGAGTGGACGACTCATTTGGCGGCGGTGGTTCAGGGGTCAATTGTGTGCGACGCAATTGGATATTCGCATGTATCTATCCATGAAGTAGCTGCTGCGCCCGAGAGAAAATGTCGCCGTAGAAGCCGCAGCTCGGGACGCCCGTTCGAGTTTTGGGTGCGATAAGAACTTTGTTTGTTGTTATCTCGCGTCTGCCGGTTTACCAGGGTAGATCGGGATCAACACTCACAGAAAAAGTGGACATACCTCGTCAAGCGTTGCGACCTTTTTTATGGGATTCGAGTTCTGCTCGGAGTCGACGCTTGAGGTATAATCTGTCTTTATGCGAGTATCGTCTGAGACACACGAATTTCACATTCAAAGGTCAGAAGTGCTCCGCGAGGAGTTATGAGACTTATGGGAGCTTGAGGGACCTGGGTTCAGGGGAACAATGGGAACTTTCTCAATTCTTCAGAAAAACTCGAGGGGTCCGTGCTCGACTCGTCTCGGGAGGGATTCGAGCGTTAATAAAGCGGATTCCACATCAAAGGTCTCCGTGGCGTATAAGCGAAGCATTTTCATTAGGCCTCGACCGTATTGCTCAATAAATTCGTCGGAGGGGGATGTTGAGACGCGTTTCCAATCGACTCATTCGTGTTTTACAGATCTACGTCGTGAGCGAAGACGAGACGAGACAGGGCTTCATCCCGCAATCGTACAGTGAGGCTCTGGGAACAGCTTTGGCCGATATGGTATTGAACGTTGCAAGGAAAAAACCGCGAGGTAGAGATCCACACACGTTACGTTTTTAAGCGAAGAGGAATAATTTTCACTTGTTTTCGCAAATCCTCGGTGAGCGTCTGAATTTTCGAATGCCTTACGATCATCTCTTGATCCCCCCAGATAGAACATCCGAAGACCATCACCAATCGTCCTTGGAAAGCAGCATCGCTCACTCAGACGCGGAGTCCGTGGGAACGTTTTCGTGCCGGACCGAAGTACACCCGTTCTTCAAGGATCCAGCCGGCCGTTACCTCGTTTTGTACACATTCGTTGCCAGAGACGAGAACGATCTCAGCGTCGAACGCGGCGAGCTTGTCACAGTTCTCAACAGAGAGGACTCTGAGTGGTTCTGGGTCTTGCGTTCCGACGGTCAAGAGGGTTTCGTACCGTCAGCTTTCGTGTATCCAGCCGATATGATCGAATCGCACGCTCAAAGTCCCGAGGCGTCGGAAGCGCACAGCTCCACGACACGGCAAGAGGCAACGAGTCAAATGCCCGCCTCGATGAAGAAACAAGAGCACCTGGAGAGTCAGAAAGAATACCGCTACGATACGAAATCCGGGACGATATCTCAGAACACCTACCACAACAGTTCGGTGATCAACGCCTATAACGCAATGCGCGTCGAAGTGAACAACAACGAGGTCGCGTTTGTGAACAATCATCATCCAAGTAATAAATCGAACATATCCAGCGGGAGCGGTGGCAAAAGCCAACAGAGCACGCTCAAAATCGACGCCGGCAAAAGTAATCAGAACTCCCTCAGGAGCGACGGCAGTACTCGAAAGAACGCCATCGATGATCAAGCGGGACCGTATCGTGCCAAAGGCTCGGAGCTCGTTATGCTTTACGACTACGAGAGCCACGTCAAGGACGAGCTCGATGTGAAACGGGGAGAATGGGTGTACGCTGATCTCAATCGTCAAAAAGGCGATTGGTTGTGGGTTTACAGTCCCCGCCTGAACAAGTACGGCTTCGTGCCGAAATCGTTCGCGAGTTCGCCGGCCATGACGTCACTATAGGCTTGACGAGCTGTCCTCGAGTCGACGTTTTAAATTATGAACCGCCAAACTGCCCGTTTGCCATTGTACATTTTTACACATGTTGAATAGAGTCCAGGACTAGTTGAGCTGTGGAAGAACTCACGATCCTTCATTCCTGTATGTACCTAGGTCCAGAATATTCCTTATCGATCTTGGAAGCGAGCGACAAGTGCGGAGGAGAATCCGATTCTCCGTCGAACACGTGGGTCGAGGTAGATGCTGCTGAGCAGCGGGAAAGCAGACTCCAGTGCTCGATAGATGTTCTAATTTTGGGAATCTGTTGCCGCTCAATTAGTGAGGCCACATAGATGTCAAGAGACACGGAATTTCCCCCGATATGTGGTGTATATAGAAGTCTATCAGTTGTTAGAGAGGAAGCGTCGGAGAAGCGAGCAAGTTCGCCGGAACGAGCGTGGCTCGCTCTTGGTGGTGTCGAATTCCGCCGGCAGAGTTCGGAGGACGAGAGTTGACGGCTCTGCTAGATATTCTTCGAGTAAATATAATAAAAAACATGACGTATTCCGGATCCGAACTTTTTCCTTTCGAGCCCATCGAGACCATGAACATGATGATATCTCAGGAAATTCCGTAAGGGCTTCTTCACGTCGAGTCAGAGGCTCGCGTCTTGCGTTCACTGCTGAGTCGGATGCCATTACAACAAAGTCGCGCTAGATTTTCATACTGACGAGCTTTCAGCCGATATCCTCCCGCTCATTTATGAGCCGGCAATGACCGAAACGTAAACAGATGCGCGATTTCATCCCTAGACCAGAGATTTCACTGAGTCTGACCGTCTGACGGACATGGAATCGAGAAAGTTGTCTCTCAAAAATCCTCTTCAATGATGTATGATGTGGGCCGAAGCCTCGTTGCCAAATTCTTCTCGCAACAAGTCGTGTTCCTGACCGGTGCTATGAGTGGAATAGGAATGGTGAGATGAATTCGGAATCGGAGCGAGATCCAGAGGAAGTGTCGATCATCAAGTTTCCCACCATGGGAAAGTCACCAGGTTGCCCATATCTGTTTTCTCCTTGTAGATAGTTCTCTTCAAAATTCTCAAGTGCGGACCGGCGAAAGTATTCGTGTTGCTGCGGTCGAAGGACGGGAAGGGTGCACAGGAGCGGTTCGAAGAGCCCGCGAGAGAAGATATCTTCGACAGTCTCCCGCGGGAATCTTTCCAGCACGTGATAGTCGCTGAAGGTGACATTACGAAACCCCTGATGGAACTCAACATTCGTGATCTCATCGTGCTGCGTTCGACCGCCGCCGTGGGACTCTCTGAGGTTCCTAAACTCGACTCCGACGGAACTTTCTCGACGGGTATTTTCTCTCCCTCCGAAGCGTTTGACGGTACTCCGTATTTCTTCTCCCTCCGTGGCGTTCGGGGGCAGGGTATAGACTGAAAAGGGAAGAGGAGGGAGGGGGGAACGCCGACGCACGTCTCGATGTGTCCTCGACGTATTTATCTGAAGCCTCACTTTCCCGCAGGTAGCAATACATTGTGCAGGTATCTCCGAGGATATCGATTCGGTGTCATCTCCGATTCTGCACAACGTATTCGGTCTCGAGCAGTTTCTGAAAGTTTGCGAAGGAGTGGACAATCTGAGAGCAGTACTCACACGATCAAGCTGCTTTACGCACGTGAACCGCATTTTTCTCGAAGAGAAGCTCTACGCTACCCAGCAGAGTCTTTTGGTAAATCGCAAGCGGTCATACGACCCAAACTGGTCAAGTTACTCGAGAACTCTCAATCCTTCTGTGTTTGCAGTTGACTCGAACGCTGACGAAAAGAGCGATACATGAGCCTCGGACGATGGACCAGCGGGTCGATTCGTTTCAAGAGACCTTTCAAAGTGCGCACAGCTTCAGCAAGCAGCTAAGCGAGCACTTACTTCACTTCTGTCAACTTCCTGTCGTCCTGGTTCGTACAGTGCATATTTCCGGAGCCCTGAGAGACCCTTATTCAGGCTGGTCCCGAGTCAAAGACTCGGTATTGGACATTGCCAAGCTAGTGAGTGCTTCCGTCGTTTTTCTCTTATTCCTTCGGCTTTCCGTTCCACCGCGCCGATTATCGCTCGATACGAACGCGTAGGTGAGTTCTGGACGTACGACCGGAGTGACGTGCAATAGCGAAAACCGATGCTTCATGACCCCAATCGATTTAGTGGCGAATTAGATTCTGCTTTCCGTATATCGTCGAGCTAGGATACGTGAGAGAGGCTGCAAAGTCTGCAACTGCTCGCCCAGCGCACAAGCAGCTCTTAGCTGAGGGGAATTCATCAGGTGTGAGTGTCCCATCACACGCGGAATCCGCTTTCGGAAACGGCGCGCCCTCCTGGAGACTCATCTTGTGAGAGTAGTGCTGAACAAGAGCAGATCTCAGCACAGCGGGGCGACGAATTCTTTCGCACGCCCTCTCTCGAATGAAAACTGCAGGTGCGTGCTTGCCGTAATTGCAGGTGCCTACTCGAGATCTCGCATGTAAAACTGGCAAACCCGCACGGCAAGACACCCTGGAGAGTTCTCACGCCGTTCCACCCCCTGACCTTCCTGCTGTTTTTATTCGTGGATCTCGCCCGCGCATTGATCCACGACTTGCATGCTCTCTTCAATCGGACCCTCCCAAGGCGAGTCATTTGGAGTTCTAAGGGTTCGGACCCCCGCTCTCTCCCATCCTGGAACACAATGAACGCCCGAAGATAGGAATTCGGGCTAAGAGACCTAGTTTTCCGAATCAGGACCTATACAATCCGAGATCACTGACTACACCTAGGCGGAGATTCTCGAAGTTCTCGGGGCGAGCCTGCTCTATGCTTCCTCCAAAAGGTTGCTTCCAGCAACACCTATGAGACATATCGGGGCCACGAGGATCTGCGTTGACTGTGTAAGGAAACGATGTCGAAAATAATTCCGGAAGCCCGAAACGCCTACATCCTACTGCAAGATCTTTCAGCAACCGATCGCGAGGTGGATAGAAGCATCCATCGTTTTTCAACCTGTTTACGGTCTCGAATGCGGAATTCCTCGTCCCAGCTGCTCGGGATCAGACCGAACGAGATCTATTGGAAGCAATACTTCGGCGGGCTCATGAAGAAAGATCGGGCATAGAATCGACACGGAGGATGCCCGCATTTGTCGCGACCCGATCACCTGAACCAGGACCTCACCTCATGGACGTTAGGATGTCTCGGAATGAAAATCTTCCATTACAAGAAGCGCACAAGTTGTTTTATTTTCTAGCTATAATTGCGTTTTCTTCGTTATTGCCAAGCTCGGTAGGCGGAACCAGCCCTCGATGCGATTCGCCTCAACGATTTTACTGATGGGGAAACTCAGAAATCCCAGGAGACGACTTCGGCGAGAATTTGAATCACGGTGCCATACTGTCACCAGGAGAGTCGGCTGTTCGTCTTGCGTCGGCGTCGCGGGGAATTCGCTGGTGAGAGACAAAGAAAAGTTTCGGTCAATGTGAATGACGCAAATCTACCCAAGCGAAAGCTCCGCCAGAACAATGAGCGAGAGAGGGAGCTCTGAGAGGAGTCTTACAATGATAGTCTGAAGTCGTAGAATGGGTCCACAGTCGCCGGAACGATTTGCGATCTGTGCTGAACCCTGCAGTCTCTCGGCTCCACAGCAACTTTTATGTAGGAGTTGAGCTCGTGCTGGTCGGGCAAGAGGGGGAGATTCGCTCCGCGGATAACTGCAGCACTCAGAATTATTAGTTCGGTTGCAGTAGTAGACTGTCACGATCAAGGGACAGCGTGATCAAGGCAATGCGACTCTGGCAAAAGTTTTCCATACGTGGAAACGCGCGGGAACTAATCAAATGAAGGTCTCAATCTACCCGATCCTCTCCTCCCTCACGCGCCGGAATGATCTCGCCGTCGATATGAACGCTCCCAATGGAATATGAACGGCTGAAGCGTGAGATCAACGGGATAAGGTGGGGAGGAGTATGGGTAGGAACACTTACCATGCAAGGATATGTGACCGCAGTTGACGTAGACGCTCAATCGAAGTTTTGCTTTTCCACTACCTGCGTCACCACTGCCCTTCAAAAGCCACAAACTGCTATTGCTCTGGTATCGGACTGTCTTACGGCGTTTTCTGTCCGGATTCCACTCGACCAAAGAGTTCTCATCGTCGGCGGTTTCTTCCGAGAAATTTTCAACGCAGATCTTGCGTTTGGGCGAGTTGACGGGAATCTCTTGGATTGTTCGCAAGACTCGTCGAGGCTCCAAATTTCGGAGCTCTCTGAGAGACTCTTTCAGCGGATTCGCCGCCAAGGGGGGTTTTGATTCCTCGATACTCTGTCGTCGGGGTGGGATCGGTGGAGCGTTTTCTTGACGAAGGATCGAGGTCCTCGGCATCGGCTTCGGGGCTTCACGCGGAACCTTCCGGACAGGTCGAGGGCAAGCTGGTGCGACACGTCGTATTTCCTGCGGTTCGCCAGAATTCGGCGCTCCCTGAGCTCTTCCCGGAGGTAGCGCCTCATCGAAATCGAGCGTCGACTTACGAACCGTGTTGCGAAAATTCCTCACACAGGACATGTTGGCTGAAAAGAACGGGGGTTGATTGATTCAATCGAGGCACATACTGAAACCACAGGGACTTCCCGAATCAAGCTCTTCCGGTAGTCAGGTTTCCGATTTGAATCCGCTCAGAGCTCCAAGGATCCTGTGATTATTCGATTACCCGTGCTTGAATCAGACCAGGGTTCCTCCCGAGAGCAGATATCGAAGCACAGGAATGTCAGCTCGAACCAAGTGCTCACTAGCCCGCTTTGTGCACACGTTGTTCAGTGGAGCGGGACTGTCACGTAAGAAAGAGACGGCGGCACCTGTTCGACCGTTAGCTCGCCGGTGGAACGTCGCGCGCCAACGGATTCTCGTCGGTGTCCTTGGCGATGCCTCCGAATACGACTGAATGTGAAAGCGTTCCTCTCGGCGACCAATAGCTGATTCGATCCCGGGGTAACTCCAACGGCTAACAGGTCATCCGCCATGGAATTTTTTTCTCGAGCTCACAGCGGTACGCCTGATGAAATATTAAGCAGCGGCGAATCAGATGGACCTACCTGGATCCTCGTAGAGTGGTTCACACTTGTTTCCCTTTCGTTTACGGCCCGTCGTCAGCATGTTCGCGAGCGGCTGCAGTGATCGCCGGATTGATCTCCGAACACTCTGTCTCCCAAAAGTTCCACGCACACTGTCTCTGCTTTCCATGGGATCGGGGTGGAAATCAACGGCTATGGATGCACGTTCCCGCCGAGGTTCCAGATTATCCACTGATGATCCGACCGTCGTGTTTCGGTCGGTGTTGCGGACTGATGGGACGGAAAACGACTCTTCGAAATAAACGGCTTTTTTGGCCAGCCGCTCACTCCTACGAATGCTCGCATAACTGTTCGTCGTGTTCAGGGACATGCTTCGCCTCCGAGCTTCTTTCGACGCTGCTGGCTGGGGATCTGTCCGATCGGCGCTCCTCGGGAACACGTAGGTATGTTTTCAGTTTTCACTGCGCTCGCATTACATCGCAGAGGACGGCTTCCGGTGGATTTCGGGGGGGTTGAAACGTTTGAACTGGAACAATGGAGTGGACGAACCTTCAAATGAACTCAATCCGGGTCGCGAGGCGTTCGGAAAGCCCTCAACAGGGACGGCGGATTGTTTGTGTTGATTTCGAACCGATGGAGAGAACGATCTCTTGATCGTCTGTTCGGAGAGCAAACCGCAACAGCGAGGGTGCATAGCGCGGCGCGTGGAGCAGCTCTCTGACCCACCGTGAGAGTTCAGCTGCACCAGAGGATCTGAATTTTAAAGAAACACCTGTTCGTCTCATTGTTTCGCCGCTCTGCCCCGGCAGACCGTTCATTGCGAAAACTTATCTCGACGAGCTTCTGATAGCACTTTTCTTAGAATTCACTTTGAGGAAGAATCTTCCGGTGGGCAGATGGTGACTCTTACGCTCGCTACTCGCTCATTGGAAAGGATCAGGTGCATTGATCCTTCTTCGGACCTCTCCGGTGACATCCCGGGAAGGCTTATGGAGGGCTCACACCGAAGACTCAATATTGAAATGTCAAAATCTGTTCCTTGCGATGTCCTTCGCCTACGCCGTCGAGGCACGGCATGAAGACACTTGCGAAATGAGTTTCCCTTATTCCAATGACGATTCTTCGGGCAGAAAAAGGCGGAGTAGGGGGAAAGCAACGCATTCCCGCAGGCGCGCCGTTGGAACCGAAACCTTCGAATAGGGAAGTTTGGGTGAGAGGGGCAAACTGGGAATGGGAGATTCAGGTACAGTCACCCGCGTCGAGTTCACAGGGACTAGTAGGCCGTTCGTTCACCGCTCGTGTCGAGAGGACCTGTTTTTATAAGCTGCTAGTAAAGACTTTCGACGTGAGCGAGATCAGGGATAGTTTCGAGAGAACTTTTGGGAGAGCTAAGTGGGGATGAAAATATTCGAGTGTGGAAATTCAAGTATATATCTTTACATAATTTATTACATGGAACGATAGTCATGAATCCGACGATTCCATATACCCATCGCTTGCTCTGGGTCTACCACCCCGTTCTTCCGGAATTACTCAACGAGCTCAACGAACGTAACAGATCACTTGGTCGACCGGAAATGAAGGACGAGATCCCCGGCGCTTTTCCACATGAAGTGCTTCACCGTACGGAGATCCATGTTCGGGTCGAGAACTTGATCGTGACAGAGAAGTTCGACCTGACCTTGGGACGCAGCGGCGGGCATTGAGCTTGCGCCGACATTCGATGCGGCCGTCGAGGCCGCAGTCGTTGCGGCAGCTGTCGAAGCTGCCGTAGCTGTCGTAGAGTCCGCGGGGCTGGGTCCGGCTACCGTTGTCGTCGTCGTCGTCGACGCAGGGGCTGCGGTTGAATTTGCATTCGTCGCCGTTGCCGTCGTCGCGGAGGTGGCAGCCGCGGCCGCGGTGGGTTTCTCACCAGTTCCCCCCTCCTGGGAGTTCTGACCGATCACCTTCTCGTGCACGTGTTCGATGACTTTCTTGACTTGGAGCATGTCGATCGCTGAAAGCCTTTCCCGTCTCAGAGGTTTGATCCCCGTCGACGTATTGTGAGGTAGCAATAGGAAGGGAATCTTGATCAGAAGCGGCATGTTCTTCTGCACGATGACTTCGGTGGCCCAGAGTGGTAGCGAGTCGTGCAGAAGCTGTTGTTCCGCCTCCCTGTTGGCGTCTCCAACCAGCATCCGAACCAACGTCCTCCCTTCGGATAGATCTGTCAAAATTAGCGGAGTATGTTTTGGAACACAGATCTCGGGCCAATCTGTGGCGAGGCTATGTTGCTCCTCATCTTTCGCAGGTGGCCAGTATTCGAACAGCGATTGCAGCACTAGGCATCCGAGGTTGACTTTGGGGTCCTGTCCCTCCGGAGGGGTCAGGCCGACCTCTCGCGCGGAGACCCATGCCGCAAAACAGTCCGGATCCTCCAAATGTATGCACAATATACCGGTTTTCAGGTCGACAGTGAACCAGTTCGGAACGTAGATCATTTTGAAGCGTTTCTTCACCTCGGCTTCGAAATCGATTTTCCCCAAAATTTCCTTACTACCTCTTAATACGTCGTACAGAGCAACATTTTCATTTGTATCTTTGGTTAGAATGTGGCGTTTGTCGTTCAATACTTTACACTGCCGTATGCTGGCGCTCCCTTTTATGGTTGCCACGGGTTTCTTTTCGCTTCTCTCGAGAGTAGTCGCCGCCGTACCTATTTTCTCGTCCGCCAGCGACCATTTCCGTAGGCTTGAGTCCGTCGTCGCGACCCAGAGATGGCCGTCGTTGGTGAGGTGCATCTTCAGAATCGGTGCGTGCTCGACGCAGACGACGTCGCTTATCTCGGGGTTTGACAAATGCGTTACGTAGACTTTCTTGTCTCGGCCTCCTGAGTAGACTTTGGTGAAGTTCGGATCGACTTGCAACGCCCAAACGCCTTCCTGGTGGCATTGGATCGTCTCGATACACCGCTGTTGGCCCAAACTCCAGAGTTTGATGGTGCCGTCGGAGCTGGCTGAAAGACATCGCGTACCATCCTGGTTCAGCACGAGGGCTCGGACGTTGTCGGCGTGACCTTTGAGTTTTGGCAGTTTCTGTGTCGTTCGCGGATCCCAAACCCGGATCACCCGCTCGGTCGACCCGCTCACGATGATCGTGCCCGCCGAGTTCATTGCAACCGAATATATGCTGTCCTTATTCTCAGTGAGAGATGATGTCGTCACCGTGTTGTTCGAAACGCTCAAAGCGGACAACGTGTTGGCGTCCCATAGGTAAATGATTTTGTCGAGACCGGCCGAGGCCACTCGTTCTTGATCTTTGGCATAGGCAAGTGCCTTGACATAATCCTTGTGGGTTCGAAGCGTCGATAAACATGAAGCTTTGTGAGCATTCCACACTTTGACTGTCGTGTCCGAACTCGCCGAGATCAGGTAGCGGCCACCACAACAGAGCACAATATCATTCACCCAGTCGGTGTGATGTTCCATCGATTGGTTATAACTCGGTTCTCGGTAACCGCTCGCATTCCACACTCTGATTATGGAATCTCTACCGGCCGAATACAGGAGGTTCAGCTGAGGATCGAACTGGAGCGAGTTGATGCCGGAGCGGTGTTCTCGTTCGATCGGATCCCGAATTACGAATGACAGCTGAGTTTTCTTTCTGGAGCCACAATGGGCTCCGGATCCCTTGTGACTCGCTGTCATCTGCAATCGACAGAAAGGAAATCCCCGGTTAATCGATTGCGGCTCGACTGCCAAGCTCCGGGAGGGAGCGACTTTTCGGAGGCTCTATTGAAATCTCTATGAGTGAACCCAATCCTCGCGAGAGGTTTCTCGAAATGGCAACAAGGCGGACAAGCTACTGTCCGGCTCGAGAGCAGTTCAGCGATTCGCCGTTGCAGGCTCTGCAGCCCTCCATCGTTTACCTTGATCTGGTTCGTCCGTAGAAGCGACGCTATCTACGGCGAAGGAAACTCAACATTCTAAGCGCACCAAAGATTCACGCACGATCACTCAAAACAACATATCGATCGGAACTCCTCACACAGAGATCATCTGTGTCTGCTACTGTTGTAGTCGCTCACTTAGCAGTCAGTGCAGTGTCTACGTTCCCTCCTCCGCCAGCCGCCGCCACCTCCTATACAGTGTGTGTTTTGCACCCTCTTCTACACCGTACACTCAGTGTGGCTCGTTCGCATCTCTCTACGATCCTGTTCGATAATCGTACTATAATGAAGCCTTGGGAGAACCCGTTGAGGAGGTTCGGGAGCTAATTCGCGCTCAATTGAGTTTTTCGGACGAAAGGGGAATACAAGGGGGCTGATGATCTTTGCTGAGGTTTCGCGCCGGACCGGGCGGCTCTTCCCGCCCTTCCCGAGCTCGAATGACTCTGTACAATGGTCTCCGACGGGCTCATTCGGAACGCTTGCCTACCTTCGACATTGCGAGATCCAGCGTGACCGAGAACCGTGTGCCTCGCGCGTTCCGCTCATTTGCCGGATGCTTCGTAGTGGACAGCTATATCGGGGTAATTCTGGAACCGCGCCATCGTTCTGGAACCCGCTGAGATTCTCGACTTCAGGAACGTAGACTTGACTCTCCATATGACTGCTTTTTCTGTTCTTTTGATTTGACCTCGACCTCTAACTCGGGAAAGCCCCGAATTCCCCTCGGAGAACGGCACTCGGCGCTGTAGATGTCTGAAATATACCCATGATCTCGGAGGGCCATTCAGGTGGTCAGATACACTCTCACCGGTTCCACCATGAATCGGGATGTGGGTACTTTTTATAGTTGCCCATCACAGCGCGATGGGAAACTTTACGAGGTTTACCGGAATTCTCGTACCCCGGCATGCGCATCCCCCTGGCATCCCGGAATCGTCCCGCCAGACTTGATTTCTCGAACATGTTGTATATGATTGACTCACGGTCAATCATTGAATTTGGTCAAGCGAGGGCTCCATCTGATCCTCCTTGAATTCACCCCCTCTTCATGGAGCGAAAATCACACCTCGAGGATCATCTAGCTCCGGATGCAAAATCGGTTCCGATACTGTGGTCATGGGCTGGAAATTCAGTCCCCCCGTGCTGATTGCCGGAGTCCACGCCGGTCCTGTGTTGCAGACAGGTCAAAGACTCAAGCATGATGCGATGTTTCCATTCGTCAGAGCCATTTGAGGCTCATATCTCCTTAAGAATCGATGTCCCGAGAAAGCTTCTGCTCTCATGCCGAAACCCATGAAACTTCTGACATCGCTCACGCCGCTCACTCCTCATTGGCTGATACTTCGATCTGAGTTCATTCTCCGATTCACCCACGGAGTGCACCCTCGGGCGGTCATTCAGTATCAAGACCATGAAAAAAGTTAAGCCGAAAAATGGGATCCTTGCGCGGATCGCAGGAGGCGCTGTAGCAGCACGAGTGACAGCCGACTGTCGTCGGTCGCCGTGTAAACACAAATGGGGTTCCCTATTGGACTATCGCTTCCAAAACGGTCGCAGTTGGATTCAGACCGCTGATCGTTGCCTTTTCTTACGCGTCTATCTCTCTGCCCGTCGCAGCGAACGCTACTTGTCAGGAGTATTCCTCCGGTCCAACCTCTCGGAATGATTCTGGTTACGATTCCGGAGTGGAGAGTGCGCGTTTCGATCTCTGAAGCTTCTATCCACGTTTGAAGGCGCGCGCTGCATGCGTCCAACTCGGCTGTCAGAGGTACGTATCCAAGATGCTGCTTCTCCCGTTGATCGTGCATTTTCTTAGTGTTTGCGACATAGCCGAAGCGTACTCATCCAGGTGCAATACAGCTTCACAAGGCCAACTCTGAAAATGCGATCCGGTTCCTTCTACGAGTGAGTTGCATGCAACGATTCCTCTCAATCGAGTTAATGGCATCGGCACCAGCAGTAGTAGTAGCAGAGAGCATCAGCAGCGGCCGTGTGCTCGTTGGATCCATAAGTTGATGCCTTTGTTTTGTTTCCCGGCTGCCTGTCAGCGCGCTTCCTGAGAATCGCGTTCTCCTTTCGTTGCTTCACGTGGTCGAGGGCGAACCCGCTCCGCATCGAGGTCCCCCATTGCGAGCCGCCGGCCCCTCTCCGAGCTCGATGATCGCATGATACAAGCTTCCCCCGTGGATGTTTAAATTGGGCTCTCAGTGTGGATCATGAGCGCGTTTCGATCGAGCACTTTTTCCGGTGATTTGCCGAATGGGCAGAAAGTTCATTTTTTGGTCATCCGGATGAATAAGTCTTTCTGTCTATGGATCGGCGACGATTCGAAGACCTTCTCGAGTCTCAGCGTAGCGATGCCTCCATCCCTCAAATCGCCGGGGGCCGTGTCTTCGAAATTGATCGGTGGACAGATGAGCACCCTCAGCGAGACGATATCGCAGAAGCTTGCGAGGAGGACCTCCTGCCAAGTTTTTGTCAGTGTCAGCCTGAAGTTTTGCGACCAACAAACTGAACTCGATCTACTGAAGCGCATCCTTGAGGAAATGACCTTGCATACGGAATACTTCCTAGACCAGCCGGAACAGCAGCTCTCTGGATGACATGGACTCTGTCTGATACTTCGGGAAACACCCCTCTGTTCCCCTCTGCTTGTGCATGGATATGAGAGAGAATGTTCAATGGAATGCCGTGATGGTCACCATCTCCACTCAATTACATTGGCCGGAAAAATAAAGTTGAGGTCGACCTTCTCCTCCATCCTTGCTCGACTGATTTTTCCCGAAACTTCATCCTGAGGAACTGCTTCTTCGACATCGCTATCATTTGGGGATATTTCATGGCATTTATTCTCCTCGCCTTGACACTCTCATATCGCTACTCCCTCATGTGTCGACGTTGTGCTCAGTGGAATGTATATACGCTTCATCTGAGGGTCGGAAAACTTAACCGCCTTTCTGGTCACTTAGTTCGTCCCTCCGAGGGAGAAAGACTCAGTTTAAGCGCCGTAGAAGAACCTTATCCACGAGTGGAGCGAGTGAACACGACAGTATTTGCACCATTCGTACTCCACGTGGGTGAGTTCTAGCTGGCCGCATGAATATCTCCGGTCGACCTCTATGGTTTCCTCGACCCTAAGACTATCTCATCTGTCTCTATCAGGTTGCGGGAGAAGTTTCTCAATCAAGTTTCCATTCTTCTAGGAGAGAAGACGAAGACGACGAAGACATCAGTGTTCTCTCGACGCACAGTACGCACACGTCCTCTCTGAACGGCGCGTCATCGATAACCACTCATCACCACAGTTGCCCTCGCCACAGATCAAGTCGATCGAGTTCCTCGCTGTCAATTCATAAACCCTTCGAGGCGGCGTGTGATGTAAGTCCATTCCCATCATATCAACGAAGCCATGGACCATTCGTCATTGTTGTCGACACTTCCTCCGTTTGCAAGTCTCCCGAGGTCTAGGTGCCGACCCGTAGGCGCAATAAATATCTCATCGCGCCGAGGATCCAATCTACATGAATGGGCAATAAATGGTCTATTACCCGAGTCCGAATCCGCGATGAAAACCAATCTCGTCGGGCTGTCTCGCTCATTAGCCTAAGAATCCCGCCGTCGTCGTGAATAAGTCGATGATCGCTCTTCCGGGCGAGCAGAATATCCGTAGAAGGGACCCCGAAAAGAAATGCCCTTCTTTCGCAATAGCGCTGCGATGCTGACTTCATGGTTGAGAATTACTTTCGGAGTCGAGACTTCATCTAATTGAGACCCAATTCACTTGCATGATTCCAAATCGATATATTGCACACGGGAGAGTCCCAATCGAGAGATCCGTTCCGCTTGGCCTAAGGAAGTCACAACACTGCGAAGAGAAACCCATAGAGTTTATCTGTGAGCTTCCCGCGACACATTGAGACTCGAACTTTCCATCCTTTCAGACACATATTTGGTACCTCCTGCTCAAAGTCAGCATGAGCGTTCTGATGGCCACCGGCGTAGCTATTATCGCGAGTTTTATGTACAATTTCCCCATCATGCAGAAAGTCGAGCTGAAATCTCTGGAGAATGCGCTCCACAAGAACCTATATTGTCAACAGGCCGCTATCGATGGTGAGTTGACTGAAAAACATTTTTCAATCCTCGGCTCCAGTGGCGTCTTCAGGCTTGGTCTTACATGAGTATCGCGGTATAATACTCTCTCCCTGCCTCCCTTCCAGCTCTAATGGGCCACATCCGCGGATATGTGGAACGAAAACACGAAGGAGTTGTCGTTCTCTTCCTCGCGGGTTCCGAGGGTTCCGGCAAAACGTTGACAGTTGATACATTTCGCGAAGTCAATCCCAAGTGGAAGAAAATTGTAGCCACTCACGAGCAGGTCGGTACGAGAGGATCCGTTCGGAGCGGAATGACGTTATTATCATGAGCCACGAAATCGTCCCCGGCGATTCGTCAACCTACTGACCCCGATCCCTTAACGATCTTCCAGGGTGATCTGAACAAGATGACTCAAGATCAGCTCGTCACAGCGCTACGCGGAAATATTCATGCCTCAACTCTGAATTTCCTCTTCATCGATGACATACCAGATCTCGCGGAAGATACCCCTTTCGTAGAGGGGAAATTGAAACCGATCCTGCGAGCTTTGAAGTTTGAAAAAACTCTCGTTTTCCTTGTCATCACCTCGTATGAAGGCAACACGGTGAGCGAATCCCTTCGTCATGTGCGGCATATGATCTGTCGGTCCCGGTCCTGGTCAGTCGCCATCACACTAGGACCAGAGGAGAAAGTCCATACGCATGCTTACTGATATCCTGAATATGATAAATGTACATTCATTTCACAGAGCTTGCCGACGTTCCTGACGAACGAGTATGAACACCAAACCATCCTCTACGAGGCGATGCCTCGATCGTGCGTCGAAAAATGCGCCATTGACGTCATCAAAGCACTAGATGCGAACCCTCGATACATCGACATGGAGGCTCTAATGGACCGTATCCATTTCGACGATGTCGACGGAGTGCAGGTGTCGAGGGACGGCTGCAAAACTGTGCCTATCACTGTCGCGCTTTTCCTTTCTGAGAGCATCATTCAACAGGAGCGAGAGCACGAAATCCAACACCCCGAGCAAGGACCCAACGAACTGTGATACCGCGTCGAGAAGAAAGAGAATCTCCAGCGCATTCCGGGAGATGATCATCAGGCTGTGGTTTAGTGAGCACATCGAATTTTCCCACATATACATACATTGTTCTTGCGCCGGTTCCTCTCGTTTATGGAATGATGAAATCTCCGAGCGACTGGGGACGTGTGTTTTTACGTGTAAATATCCATGTATGTTTCTATTCGAATACGGCAGCCGGGCGCGTCGCAAAACTGTCGCGACCGGTCTCACTCGTTACGCATAAGGCGTTACTCGTCACGCGTGAGTCATAATTGTGGTGGATATGGAGCGGCGAAAAGTAACTCACCGATCAGAACATTCGAGGATGCAGAGCTGTGACGGAGCTGTGGATATCGTGCTTCCACATATTTTGACTCCTAGCTTTAATGCAATAGGATTTACGGTGCTATAAATGAGGCAGCATTGATGAATGTTGAGCGCGTGCCAACCCGCAAGCGATTTGAGTCACGATTGACGGGATATACTCGCGGTCATTTGCATCCCGACTGAGCTATCTCACACTAGTATAAGACAGCCGCAGAAGTTCTATTCCGGGACCAAAACTCTCGCCCACGTATCAGTATGAGCATGATTTCTTCCGTCAATTTGGTTTTGTTCGCGTACGTGCTAGTTGCGGCGTCGGCTCAAATGCTGCGTGAGTACACTTATCCGGCTGCTCTCCGAGCACACCATTCTTAGATCCTCTCGCTCTCCGAAGTCTCAGTGCTGAATCCGGAATGTCCTCCGGACAGCCTCTTATGTTCCAACACCGAGTTTTCTATCGGGCGATACCTTCTGTTCCAAGTTTGAAGAGAAGGAAACTTCGCGCTGCCGATCTCGCTAATGTTATTTGCGTTGGACGCGCGTCTTTACAGCTGAAGCTGGTCAGGGCCGCAACGGGGGCGGACCCATGAATCCCATGATGAATCCTTTTGGGTTTTTGGCGGCGATGAATCCCTTGAACTTCTTGCAACCTTTCGGTCGGTAGATGTCAATGGATGTTGGGAGCCACTGCGAGCTCATGTTAATAAAGTCCCGAGCATTTAAGATGTAATTGATCTTTTCTCTCGAAAAAAGCATCAGGGATAATTTAGGAAACCTTCGGGTTGAACCTCCGGAAGGATGGAATGTAAGATTTGTTGGTAGTCTTTCGTAATCTGAGATTCGGACCACGGACTATTGATTTCGGCGCGATCGAGCCGCTTGCGACGTATTTTCGGCGAGAGATGCAGCTCACTTCCCTTTCCCGCCGCGAGCCCGGGTTGAAGAAATTTCGGCGATATCATGAATGCTTGTTTGAATCAATTCAGGTACATGATTCTAAACTTCCAATGCCTACGCCTCATTGCGAAAATGCTCTGAAGTCCTCTCCTAAATTCCCGCGAGCGATTTCTATCAGTGATTCGAGGATTGAGTCAGCGGAACACTCTGAAGTTCCGAGAGAAGGAGTTTCCGGCCAACATTCGAGGGTGATAGTGGACTTCGCGATCGCAGGAGCGATACCGGACCTCGCGATTTTCCTTTCCGCGTCCGATGCATCCAACAGCTTCCAGGAATTCTATCAGAAAACTCTTCCATATCACCTCGATTTTGCGACGCGATAAGTAGTTTGCGATGCACCTTCTGATCGATACTGGAGAGGTTTTCAAGTTTTCAAGCCGACTGCAGCCGTGCCTGGACTCTCGTTGCGGCGGCAAGTGTCTCGAATGGTCCGACTGATTTGTTTTTCAGATCTCCTCCACAAAAAATCTCGAGCGGAGATTCCTCTTCCCGAATTTTCATTCTCTTGAGCGTGTTCAGACCCGTGCAGGGGGTTGGGACTTGGTCTGGATTGGATCCGAGCTCCGCGTCCTTCTCCGCTGCCCGCGAGCAGATCGTATTCCATTCTTCTAGTGTGCTCTCCAAGTGGAAGTCGATCGGAGCGGTCGACTCAGAGGGGAGACGTCCTTGAGTTTTCGGATCCGTTTTGTGGAGGCCCTCCATGCTCGCCTTTGCGTTTGCGAAATCCGCTCAAGTTTAAATCACGCGAAGCATACGAGCCCGCAAGGCTGGACCCTAGAGTAGCAGGACTGCTCGCTAATGATGCAGGGACATCACCGATGCATCCGTCTCGATTCTCAATGTATAAGGAAACCTTCCGGAGCGCACAGGACAAATTGAAGACGATCACCTGACTTTTCGAAAGAGCGTCCCAACCCGGAGCGAGGAGGACGGAGGGTGAGCTCCGATGCTTCTCCAACAGAGAATCCCAGTCCCGGTATCTTTTTCCTCAGCGTTGGTTCTCGAATGTTGTCCAAACTGAGAATTTCACACCACGAGAGCGAAGGAAATTCTCTCAACTGTTGCTGCTCGCGCAGTCGCTAACTCGATTTCGAACTCCGGGTTGGTTCATGGGGTGTTCTGGTGAAAGGACCGCTCATTCAATTATAGGGCTAATGATGAGGTGCTCCTGATTACTTGATCCACTCTGCGAGGCACAGCGCGATGACAAATTGGGAATGTATCCGAAGTCAAGACATTGACTGAGCGCAGGGAACGATTTCAACTTCCGCGAAGGGTCATCGTCATCAGAATTTCCCATCGATAGGCAATCTTCACCACTGAATTCTTTGAGATCCGAGTAGCTTCACGGTCGATGAGACTTTTCAGCCGCATATCATAGTGAAAATTCGCCCGTCCTCCAAAAAAAAAGAACGCGGACCTCTGCATCGACCGACTGTGTCCCTAACCCTTAATTTTCGAGAATCTAGAACACTCAGAATGAGGCTGGAAGCGAGGTACCGTATCAGGAGTTCAAAACTACCGAAATCGGAGGGGGGGGGGGCTCGAAGTCGAATCCATCCAAAATTAGGAAACAGCCTTAGACCTGAAACTCTCCAGCATGTGTTTGGAACGAAAAAGGCTCGGGCGTGCTCGAAGCGACGGCTTTAGGCAGTTTCAAGTATAGAGAGTCCTTGGATTTTCGTTTCTTTATCCTTTGAGATCCGAAATGACAGTTCATCCTGCAGGTGGTACGGGCTGTTTAGTAGTGAACACTTGGGGAGTGGGATGAAAGGATACTGTTACAAGGGGGGAGTTGATTAGAACTCTCGACGATAAGAATTAAGCGCCATCAGCAACCTACAGCCTGGCAACATAGAAGGTGAATGACGGGCGGGCGATCGAGCGAGCGAGCGGGCAGACGATCGCTCGAACAGCCGCTCAGTCTAAGGGTATACGAGGTTGAGACAGGAAACAATGGCTTTACAGACGAAGGGGTGAAATTCTATTGGCTTGCTTGCCTGCTCGTCCGCCTGTTCGCTCGATGGTGCGCTGGCTCGTCGGCTTGATACGACCACTCCAGAGCGTTGAACGAGATTCGACAAGAGACACTCCACGATGCCTCGATAGCGCTCGTGGTGGATTCCAGCGCTCGGCGTTTCCCTGGATGAGAATTCTCGAGAATGGTGGCCGTCTTGATTCTTGGAGCTAGGATGTTCCTCGCGCCAAAGTCGACAGGTGAAGTTCGGACTTTGGGAGGTGGACAAAAACATTCGGAATGCCGCTCTTAGCGTTGTTGTCCAAATGTGAATAGGTGAACACATGGACCCCTTTATTGATTTGGCCCGATGGTCTTCGGCAGTTGAAAACAAAAATTCGTCACATAAACACATTCGTACCGTAAGCCAGGCACTCGGCCCGACGCATCGGGACACAAAGCCCCTCAGCGAGAGGAAGCTCCGACCGAAGTCTCGAGCCAAAAAACGAAATCCATCCCATGTTCGAATCCGATTGATGTATTGCTGAATGCGCTCTGCAATAATGCCAGTCCCTCGTGAAGCTTGCAGTTGGCTCTCTGCGTCAGTTTGTCCGATCAGCCGGTGGGATGTCGAATACTCGCGTTCCGACCACCATCATCAACGTTGCCGGCTCAGGCGACCACTGGAGCAAAAAGTATCGAAATCGACGCCGATCTCCCATTTGAATTCGACACTCGAATAGGCGGCCAGCGGTGCGAGCGGCGGCGGTGGACCTGGCGTGGATGAAATCAGGGCAAAAAAAGTTTCAATTTTCGCCCTCACCAAACAAATCTGTCTCTGAACCAGTGGAGTTCTCGCCGCGAAGTCGCTGCTGGAAGCGGGCGCGCACGCACTGTTTGTTTTTGGATGAAAAAAAAACCATACCGACAAAGGAACACAGACGGGTTGTGAAGCCTCTTCGGCCGCCACTTCAGAGTCGCTGTGAAAATTCTCGTAAAGGGTTCGATTTTCGAAGAATTTGTTGCAAAATTTTCAGATCGCGCCATCGAACCGCTGGATCGAATCGACAAGCTGATTGCCTTTGACAGGCGTCAGAAGCTTCACAGCATTATCACACAGGTTTCCGCTGCCCGCGACGATTCGGTCTGCGTGAGGCAAACTCGACGACGGGAAATTTTTCAGCAAGGGAGGAGTACGATCTCTCGTCAAATTAATGCTTTCAGAATATATCCAGGTTTGGCAGGAAGAGGCGGTCGATCTCACCGGGATGGCTGAACGTTCCTGAAATTTTGTCCCCGCGTCGTCCTTGGAGCTCGAGCTCGAATCCGCAGAGCACCTCAAATCGATGGTTGCTAATGCAGTCCAACTTGTCAGAGAGTCTTTGCGGAGGAGATGGCGGCGGCGGCTTAACAAGCTCCCCGATCCGATGCGAAATGTTCATGACAAGCGTTCAGCGCATTGTGGGCACCTGCGCCTAATCCTAGATGGTACAAAGAAGCTACTAGACGAGGAACAAGGTGGTGACAGGAGAAACGAACCAAGGAGAACGGTGATCAGGGTCCGCGGATTTGTGGGAGCCTAATTCGATTAAAACACGCGAGAGCGGAGACACGACGATGTGGGTAGGCTGATGGGGTATTATATGTACGAGAAATGAATCTTCGCGAAGTCTGTCCCGACAGGTATGGAGAGTACTTCGAACTTGAGCTCGATTGGAATCGGGAGAAGCAGCGACATGGCGAGAGCGATGAGGTTGTCTCGACTGCGTAAATACGGTGCGATGTTCAATGGCGCTGGCGTTTTCCCGAATGCGCTTCATCGAGAGGCTCCGAGCCGCGAGCGATTATTCGAATTCGCTCGGAAACTCTTTGCAACGCAATATGCAGATATGAATTTATGCACTCTTCCTCAGTGGTATTGTTCCTGCTCAAGCTGAGCTCGGCGGGCACCACCTACCACTCGACTAGGGGTTGACTGAATTGTTGCAAATGAGAAGCAAGTGCTCACGCGCTGGGGTACAGCAGCAATGTTCGGATTCAGTTTGGGTCGACGACAGAGGAGCGAGTGAAATGCATTGCGGCCAGACAAAGAACTACTGACCTCAACTACGATATAGAGAAGCAGATTTTCGCCTGATTCCGGCAATCCGCGCGCTCCTCAGGCGCATTAGGTCGTCGAGAATGAGCGATAATGACTCAGCTCTAAGATCTCAAGTCCAGCGCTCGGATTTGTCAAATGGGTTTTCCAAGAAATTTCACCGTGCACACGAGTTCCGCAGATTGGTCTTCATTGTCTCGGCTCCATCGGCCCTGACAGGCTCTAATCGACATCGCTGAGAAAACCAACGGTCCTCAAATCAGAGAGACTTCAGCACCTCACGATTTTTGATGCTGTTTTTCGACAGTCCCACCTACTCTTTCGATTCTCGGAAATCCCTAGCAGCATGGCTGCAGCAAACCACTTTCCTCCTGCATTCCGAATTCAAAATAGTTCTGAAACTCCGAAAGTTGACGCTCTGCGTTGTATTCGCTCCTTCCTTCTCTTGAAGCCCAGGGACTCGAATTTGTTACAGCTCATCGTGCTATCGGCAATTGCAAGCGGTACCGAATGAGTCAACTCGCAACGCTACCGCGAACAATGTTGGGACAACAGAGCCGGTGTGCCATAGATGGTGGTGCCGCTGGTGGTGGCGGTGGTGGTGGTAATTTGGCCTGCACGACCGAGTAGATGAATGGAATGGTGTTTTAGTGAGAGAGTGATTACACCGCTCCCCATCGGGTCCCCGGGTCTGCTCGGGACCCCGTCGAGTAGGAACGAGCGAACGAGAATACTTGTTCATGTTCACTGTCGTCAATTCCGAACACTTCGCTAGTCGAAGACCGCTATCTGCTAGAGTCTGACGGAGAGCGGACTCCGGCGGAATCTCTTCTTTCAAGGTCTCCTCGGAGTGCCAGGACGATGAGGGCTCCGTAAGAGGAAAATTATTCGAAATTTCTCGAAGATTCCAATTTATAGCATTCGGTAAGCCCCGAACTCGCTTTACTTTACTTTAAACCCCTTAACTCGATTATCGTCGATTCAATTCGAGCGGAAAACCTCACAAACTCCTGCGGACACCGAGTCTATTGGACGAAACAAACCTCAAAAAGTCTCCCTCGCAAGTCCTCTGGCGATGCGTCTTGTGGCAATCGATTGTTTCAGAGGATAAAAACGAGCGTTTGAAGAGCGAGAACTCTACGAGGGAGAGTTTCTACGAGCGCTTGGGCTCGCCTCGGAGCTCCGGGTCCCCACACACTGACATGTACATCACACCTGTGCTTATCGCCGAGGGACAGAGGGACGATAGCTTATCGCTATTGGTTTGTAGTACTTGAGAGAGCTCGTTGCTGGTGGGGGACAATTGCGCGGGCACTCGGTCGCGAGAGAAATTCAATGACAAACCCGGCATCAACACCGCTCTGACACTCTCAAATCGAATCTATACTCCGAGCGTTCCGCTTCTTTGGAACCCGATGGTAAATCCGGAAGCAGCGCATCGTCGGACTATGATTCGAATCCGAGGTTCTGATCGAACGAACGGTCTCGTTCCACTATCGGCGATTGAGTGAAAATCCTCTCGGAATCTCTTCGACAGGACAAGAAAATCTCAAATTGCTGCGAAGGGCTCGTCGTTAGTGACCTACGGAATACGTGCCATCTCTGGCTACCATACTACGTCCCATTGAAATTCAAAGTCAGAATCTACATGATAAAAGCCAGCCTGAGAAATCTCCGAGGTGGTCCGCAGTGATCTCATCACACTATTTGCTCACACTTGCTCTTTGTCCGTGGTGTGATGCTGCCGTTAGACTAGGAGCATCGACTTAAATAGACTTTTTGCGAGGCATAACTCTTCCATTGTTCGACAACTGGCCCCGTTCTCAAATCAGTTTTGTATATCTCATAGTCACCCAGCTGCATTTTCGATCATTGGCTTTCTTACGCGAACTTCTCGAGAGAGAGAGATGCTTTGTCCCATTACGAGCCTCACGCCCGGTCGATTCCGCCTGCCGAGGAAGAAGACCAACTCCAACTCGAGAGGGGGCGTGCAGCGACTAGACGGCGAAGAATGCTCTTCATTCCTGAGTTCATTCTCGACAGAATGAGTGGACTGGGAGCTGTTTGGCGCCGAGGAATTCCGTCAGCAGCTTCCGACTCCCCCGGCGTCTTCGACTGGAAATTCGATTGACGCCACGAACTCATGTCCCGGATACTCCCATCTCAGAAGGTCGCAACTCATCGGGTACCGAAGTCCCAGACGGGGAGCACAAGATGTAAAGAAGTCAGCGACCTGTAAAACTCCTCACTGGAGGCTCGGCCTGCTTGGACTCTATTGCCTCTTGAGACGTTGCAACTTCAATTAATGCTGAGTAGCTACTTCTTCAAGCTTCAAGTTGCTCAGAACGAGGGAAAATCGGTCGGCGAGTTTTCTGATCATACAGCGAACTCGCCGTCGTCTGGAGCACTCTCGTGATCTATGATCAACGACGCATACTGAAACTCGTGTAGGAAGATCACTCTGCGTTGAAGAGAGACCCGAGCCGCGAGTTCCGTCCGCATTCCTTCGCCTCCTCTGCATTGACGATTTGCATGCAATCAAGCGGCCGTTCGGGCGGTCTCTGGTTACATGTATCACGAATTCGATTAGTATCTGAACGAATTCAGTGCTCTTGATGCCTCAGGTCCGCACTGGGAGCGGTTCGCCCACGGCCGAGGGCTCGCCCAATCCATGGGATATGGGATCGATAGAAAACCTAAGATTCGTTTCATATTAACTTACAGCAAAAACTCGTTCTCGTAGACTGGCCAGTACACAGATTTGGAGGTGAATGATGTTTTGGCTCGAGCATCAGGAGCGGGCTCCCTCGTTCGTACGCTTGGTCGGCCGATCGGTCGGTCGGTCGTTCAATGGTTCGGAGGAGTCCAGTGAGAAACGAACACCGGATACTAAACAAACCCCGTGGAGTCTCCGGTCAGCGGGACCTGGAGATCCTCTCACGCAATCGAGACCACCTAAGGGCAGTCGCAGCACTCCATTCTGGATAATCCTATTAGATTAGCTTCTAGCTCCTCGTTCTATTCTTGCGTTCTCCTCTGCCCGCTCGTTGAATAGTTCAATCGGAGTTCAATATATAATCCTAAGAATAATATTAGTAAGACCGGCTTCTCAGTCTGTCGTAGTCCTCCGGTCGCGCTGCAGTGCTCTCGAAGACCGAGAAGAGGACGCCTTAGATATACTCTTCCTAAACCATTGACAAAACGGAGATTTGCAGCCGCAGCACCATTAGCTCACAACAATGAGCAAAATCGCTGCTTGACCCGTGGGCCATAAATTGGAGCTGAGATTTGGCGGATGCGAACCGAAGCCTTCGTCGCAGCCAAGGACTCTTCTTCAACTCATTGTTCGCTTGAATTCCGTTTGGTTGCGTGCTCCGGTCGCGGCTCGTGCAGATTCTTTCGTCCCGTCTCGGTCTGAAAATTTCCACCAGAATTTAGGGCCACGAGAGTGACTCGATTTGCTCGACCCGACTAGAAAACTTTGTTGCGTCTCGCTGGACGAAATTCCGTGCTACGCGAAATATATGAATCGGACATATCACCTTTGGGACGCCTATGTTTCCCCGTGCAAAGCAGTCCGGAGGGGAGTTCCTCGGTCGGCGAACGGCGAAGGCCAACGATCGTTCTCAGGCGAAAGAAAGAAGAAAGAAATCGAGCATAAACAAAGTCATCCGCACTTGTGACAGACAAGTCTTATCATCACCGTTGACGAGTTGACACGGAACACCCCTCCCGAGAATTAGGCCCGTACATACCGCAACCGGTTCGCGATTTTTTTTGAACATTCCATTTCTGCGCCTCTGATTTATTGTAAGCATCATGAGAAAGCTCCGACTGAACTACATACTGGAGGAATAAGGGTATACCCTACGAATCGTACGGCAGCTATCTCTACTATTTCCTCTTCTGCGAGGGCCGGGTGGACATCTTCAATTCGATCGAAGAATACAACAAGAAATATGGAAGCGTATACGGTACGTGTTCGGGTCTGAGTCCTGTTCTGCGGGTCAGCTCTCGAGAGGGGATCAAAGAAGCCCTCTCGAGTAGCTTCTCGAAAGCCCACGCTTGAACGATGACGCAGGAAACCGGTTCGAAACTTTGAAATCACGACGTTCCCGCAGTGAGGTACAAGGAATGGAAACTGGTCCGGCCTCTTAGCAGGAACGTCATGACGGGATCGAAACTGAGACTCATGAGAGATCAGTTCGAACGACCGGCGAACCTCCTCACATCGAACTTGGAGGAACTTGCGGACACCAATGAAGAGATATCCACGGCTCATTACTCGCACGCTGCAGTCATGAACCCAATAGCAGCCGTGACCTTCAGCTTGGACATCGATGCGTTCGATGATCCGAATAACAAATTCCTCGAGAGCTTCACCGGCTTCTTCAACGGCAGCTTGGGATTCAATCTGATTATGGCATTCCCGAGTATTCTGAAATACCTGCCTTTCGTCGAGTATCCGCCGGAAGAAATTGACAACTACTTCCACCAGTTCTCGAGATCGCTGCTCGAAAAGCGTCGGGAGCAGATCAGGAATCCGGAAGAGTTGGACTTCCTCGATTCCTGGCTGGAGAGTCAGAAAGCGAACCCAAAACTCAGAGACGACTTACTCATCTCCCAAATGACTATTTCTTTGGTAACTGGCTCCGAGACTTCAGCCTATGCGCTAACTTTCGCCATGTACCTCTTCGCCACACATCCATAAATGCAGGAGAAGGCTCACCGGGATGTCATTTAGAACATCTCGGATCCCGACAACGTGACATTCGAAGACTATCACACGATGAAATATCTCGGGGCTGCGATGTGGGCAACCTTGAGGCTGTATCCAATGGACTTCGTCACCGACCGAGTGACGAGTGAGCCATGTACGATAGCCGGGGTTTCTCTAGACAAGGGTATAACCATTCACGTCCCGACGTGTACTGTCAATAAGGATCCGGAACGTTTCCACGAGCCGTCGTTATCCAAGCCGAAGAGGTATTTGGGGGGCGGCGAGAAGACTCAAGAATCATAAGTTTCGGTGAGGGGCCCGAAAACTGCGTTGGGAAACGATTCGCCATCTATCAGCTGACAATTTTCATGGCGGCCATTCTACGGTCAGTGCGTCTGGAACCCGCCGACGACGGGGTGTACGATCCTTCTCTGGAATATCAGGCTGAAATGGAGAGACAGCCCGGGCAGATGTTTCTGCATGTCCCGAAAGACACCCCGAGAGTTAAGGTCGCCTCAAGACAAGCCTGATATCAGTATAGCCGCATCATATGGATCATGATCATTCAATGAATTGCAGAAACGATCTGCTCTTTCCGTCGCGTCGACTTCTCCTAGTGTACTCAATCCGTCATCGAAGCGTCAATAAATTATCAAGCTCTCCGATGCTAGTACTTCGTGACTTGGCCGATACTTGTCGTTTTCCGGTGGGGCATTACAAGGCTTTGCGGTCGGTCGTGTCTCAGGCAGAAAGGGTATTCCCACCCTGGATAAACATTCTGGGCAACGATGCCCGATATCCGTGTTATGCTCATCTCATCAACTCATCAGTCATCGGGTAACCGTTGCCGTGTTGGCTGACACTCGAAGCCGTGCAAAAAAGAGAGGACGCCCACCTGCGTCGAATGAAGAGCTCTAACAAAGCTCTTCCACGAGATATCCTCCATGATATGGCAATCGATGCGACGTGTCTCGATAGACAAGATCGATTCCGGTCCGATATTCCCATTTCGCCGCGTTCGATCCAGAGAATTTTCCATCCACGCAGCTACGGAGAAGTTTCATCGATTCTTCTGATCAATTTTTCAGAGAGAATTCCGTCGTTTCCATGACTGTAGAACTGTCCCGGAGTCCTCAGGCTGCCTGAAGTCAAGCTTCAATCCTCGGATGACGGGACTCCGCGGGGTCCTTTCGTTATGAAATGGAGATCCTCAGGCTACTTCGGCGCAGAAAGAGGTACTTCGGGGCCGGCCTGTGCTGTCTCACAGCGATCGCTCTGGCCCAGCTGTATTTCATTCGCGAGGGTCCGAAGCAGGATATTCTAGACGCGGAGATTGAGGAGGAAAGCCTCTACGGAGCTTTCGAAACGAGGTATGAAGCGACGGTGATCGAAGAAGGGTTTGTGGCCGACATAATGAGCGAGGTCGATATGGTCAAAGGGGGAAGTAGGCTCCTAATCGAACTTGTGGAGTGCAATCTCAGGAGCTGGTTCAAGACCTCGACGCACCTGCTCCTGACCAGAGACTTCAAGAGCTTCGTTCTGGACGACAGTTTCTCTCACGACGTAAGGATTCGACCAATGCAGAGAGTAGTTTTCGTCTGCTACAATTATTCAGGTATTCAAAACGTGGATCGACGCATAACGAGCTTGGTGCACATGTATTCGAAACTCCCTCGAAGAAGAAACGCGACCGACCTCTTGGTCGTGATGACCCGAGCCCCCGAATTAGTGGATTTGGCCATCGCGACCCAGCTGGAGCATTCTCCAGACGACTTCAAAGAACAATCATGCTGAATGTTCCGCTCGGCGCAACAACTCCTGTCAGCACCGTCTGCATCCGGAAATCAGCCGTGAAGCTTCCGTTCGGCTTCAAAATGAATATTGAAAACACCCACTGGGCGATGCCGTTCAATGCGTGCATCGCGTACTGGAGTCAGAGCGATACGAGAAAAGCGTGTCCCCATCTACCGTCAAAGTCACAAACCCTCCGGGACATGGAGTTCCGTGAACCGTTCGCCGGATATGCTCTCCTCCCCGTTCATAGCGATCTCGAGCCCTGCGTCAATGAATCTTATCATTTCGCAATCTATGACTTTCTGCCGAAAGTCCCTGCTAGAATACCGTATGTGGTGGACAATGGCCTTGTCTCGGCCGGTTTCGAAAAGTATCCTGTCGCATCCGGAATACGAGGGCATGTGCTGAATGAATCAAACTTGGCCATCATGTTTTTTCTCGGATCATCGATTTGGCTGCTGAGCGACGCATCATTCATCGATTCGTTCATGGCTCTACTATGCGGCCTGGAAACATCAGCTCAAGGTTCTCGAAAAATGAAACGTCGAGTCGCGATCGCGCTCTTCATGTGGGTCCTGGCGAACATGTTCTTCACTTTGATTCTGGTGGATGACATGACCTCAACGATCAGTGTACCAAGCGGAATGCGGGTTGCTCGTCTCCGAGGTTGCTCGTCATCTACTTACAAAGTCGAATCACGGAATTATAGAGTCAAGCCGCCGTCCACGTTCTGGAGAATGTTCCTAGAGCCTACCGCCCAAGAAGATCTTCCCCCGACGACACTGATCGTGTGCGGTACAGGAATCGACCTCGAACGGATTCGCAATTTCTTCGGCTTCGATAACATGTATCGCATCCCGCTGCAGAGAGATGATCGCACGTGGACTCTGTTCCCCAAACTCTTCGGCATCGTAAGATTCCCGAACCTGGGGGCCTCGAAGCCCGTGAGGGTCATCGCTTCTTACGCGGATAATTCCGAATGGAACGAGTATGCTTTACTAATGCTGACATCCGACATTCTCCGAGCGCCGTTTGATAAATCAATAGAAGAAGATTCAAGGTCGATGAAAAAAACGATTGAAGAAAAATACGGTTGCTGCAGCAGAAAAAGTGAAGCGAACGAAGATATCCTGAAACGGATCGCCCTCTTCAGAGCCGAGCAGCAATCCACAGGAGGGCAAGGACACGGAGTCCCGATCAATTTCCTAATATTGACCTCAGTCGCCGGAATCGTATGCTGCTTGGTTGAAGTTCTCGTTCATGGTTTCTATCGCTACCGTCCTGGAAGATCCGAGGAGCAACCCTGCCCGCTCCAGGCGCTTATGAATCTTCAATCGGGGCGAGACGGGAGCCGAATAGGGTGGCGTGCAATCGAATCATCTGAGAGTGGGTCACGCGTCTTCGTGGCTCTCGATTGGAAGAAGTTGCAGGAAATACGCGAAAATCGAAGCCAAGGCTCGGGTGGGGACGCTAGCGTGGAGCCAAGGCTCCGAGTGCTCGAGATTTCTCTTGAAAACTCTCACGTCGAAGCACAAACAGCTCAATGATCACACGCGGCTGAGAGAATATCCGCGCTTCCTTGGCGGGAGAGTTGGCGGGATTTCGTGCTCCGGCCGAGCGCGCTGGTGTCATCATGCGAGAATACAGCGCCGTTCAGCAAGCTTTCCGGCTCCATCTTGTGGGAACACTCGAACTCGGCAGCGACGCCGATTCCGCGCAATCCTCCACTCAGAGCAGAGAAAACCGCGGATGACGGCGAGTGTCTTTCTTCTTTTTGGGTTGTGCCAGCGGATTTCCTCGCTGCATACATCCATTCCTCAATCCAGACTCGAATGAGACGTTATCGATTATGTGCGATAACCGTAGTGACTTAACTCTGTCTGAGCTCGAGGAGCTGCTAAAGTAGGAATTCATAGCTGTTTCCATGTAGCTGCAGATTCTAGGCGCAAAGTGTCAGTCTATACCTGTATCGGATGATGACCCCCGGCACGCTTACCGAAGGCGATTTATTGGCATTTCCCTGTACAGCCTCAAATGACAGGGCGTGAATAGAGGTTTTGTGAAATGCTTGGGGGGCATCCTGATTCGAAATCGCGGTCCGACTCCTTGACTGTAGAGATCCCTGGTCTTCTGGGTAGCTATTCATTTGCTATTCGTATGGCAAGGGAGATTACTAGAGCTCGGGAGTTCAGGCACTGAAAATTGCCGAAAATTGCCGGCGAAAAGGCCCTGTAATACCTTAGAATAGGCAAAACAGGCGTGATAGGCGGGGCAAACGCCGCATCAAATCGTTCGTCGGTGCCGTCTGATGAGAGATTTGCGTGGCTTCCGGAGCGCCATCGGTTAGTAGGCATTCATGGCGAAATCCCTGGACTTCCGAGCTCTAGAGATAACATGTCCAAGAGGGAGATGAGACTCGCCTTCTTCGAGTGCGAATTGTTTCCCTCTTCATCCCAATTTGCGATGCTGATCGTTTCCCTCTCGAGCTTTTGCAACGCTGCCAGAACCGTTTGTTGATCGGATCGGCGAAAAAAGTCTTCTATCAGATGGAGCGAATGCTCTCGTTTCCGACGAGAGGCGTGTTCGCAATGAATGAAAATGAGAGGGGGTCATAGTTCTCGTTCAGGATTGGGGCGACCCTCATGAACTCATGGTGAACCAGGCTTGGCATGATATTTTGCATGAACTTCATTCGAGGAAGCGCCCCTATTCAATACCGTCAGATGTTTTCGAAAATAAATTGAGCCTCAATTGCGATGTCTACCTGCAATCACATTTGGTTTGTGAGGGATTCTAATCATCACTTATAACCTCTGGGATGATGGATGATTTATCCTATATCCCGGACGGAGACACTGACAGCTCCAGACCCTGACGAAGTTTCCACAAGATATTATGTCGGCGCAACAAATTCCCAAACTCTCATCCTACGGATGCGCATATCCTCAGGAATCCATTCCCGTGACTTCTCCAAATTAGATTCCGAGTATAAGGTATCGAATTCGCAGCGACTTCGATGCATGCCGATCCGTGGAAGATCACACAATGGATGTCCTGGCACGGTTGGACGGGCAATCGAGGCTCCTGTGGATGTCGTTCAACGCTTTCTAGGTTTTTCGACGAGGACTAACTATGTGTTCGACGTCAATCCGAGAAAAAATGCCGGCCGAGAGTCAACGGGTTCCGGAGTGTCTTCCCGAATGCTGAAATCAACAGGTGCCTCTTTCATCTAGTCAAAAACATGAAAGCGAAGCTCAGAGATATTGGTCTCATTCAACGGTACAACCGAGATCCGGATTTCTCGTTGTCGGCTCGGATGATCCCGGCTCTCGCATTTGTCCCGCCGTAACACTTCAATACCGCGAGGGGCGAACTAGCACCAGAATTGCCAGAAGAACTGATGCCCGTGTTGAACCATTTCGAAAATAACTACATCGGCCGTTTGAGATTAGCTCCCGGCGCAGAAATCGTCCGCGCCCCCGCTCGCTTCCCCATCGCGATGTGGTCCGTCTACCAACAGACAGTGGACGGTGAAGCTCGGACGAACAATTTCGCCGAAGCAGCCCACAGACGTTTGCAGGGCGAGTTTGGGGTTGATCATCCTAGTCTTTGGAAGTTCGTAGACGGTATCCGGAAAGTCCAACAGAGTCGGGATGTAATTTATGCTAGATACGTCGCAGGTCACAATCCAGAACCGAAGCGCAGTGAGTACGTCTCTGCCGATGGGCGAATTCTCAAAATTGTGAGAGAATTCGGTCAGAGGACAACGGTGGACTACTTGCGTGGGCTGGCACGGAATTTCCGGATGCAGGCATCGAACAGCGGACCGCAGACTGCCCCTGAATCGCCGGAGTCAGAGTAACGTGACACGTCTTGGCCTCGCGCGTCCAAAAGTCAATACGTATAGTTAAGCCTAAATACTCGCTCATCCCGAATAGTATGGTTTGAGCGGAGAATTCGAAGCCCTAAGTTAAAGAATAGGATGCACCTCCGATGCCGTCCGTGTTCGTATCGAGCGCTTTCTTTTTTCTTCGCCAAGAGCATGATAATCTTCATACGCAGATGGATCCACTCAGAACTCATGATTCGCTCTCGGAAGCCTACGGGGAAGTATTTCCGGCGTTTCCGTCTAGTCGTAATCCAGATTGTCGTTCCACAGGAACCGAGCGATTGGGACGAGAGTTGGTGATAAACCGTAAGCCGTTCACCGGACAACCAAGACTTCCGCGAGCAAACAATTCTGCGCCCAAATGGCTCGCGCGCAAACGGCTCTGCGCCCAAATGGGTCGCACCTAAACAGCCGCGCCTAAACGGTCGCGTCCAAACGGTCGCGCCCACCATCTGATAGCCTTCGCACTATGTATAATAACCCGCTCCGATGAATCGATCATCATCACTAGGGCCTGGAACTTCAGGCACGTAAAAACTCGGAAATAGGCAGGCAAAAAGGCATCAAAAATCGTCGGAAAAGGCACTTTAAACGACCGAAAAAGGCATTTATTATGTTCGATTATGCGGGTTGCACATGGCTATTATGTGGTATTTTGCGTTCTCGATGGTGAGACCATGTCTCTGATCCGATAGCAAAGCTTTATATCGTGAGAAAGAGCGCTCAACGTCCACGCTCACCATAGGCGCATATCTATAACATGAGATCTCTGTCGGCGAAAGATGAGAAATCACGGCGTCTGTATTCCTGCCTTGTAGTGCGTCCCTTATTTTGACCAGTTCCTCATAGCCGGGGTTCTTCTCCTTCACTTTTTTGAACTTCTCCTGGATGGACTCGGCGACGAAACCTTCAGCTGAGTTGATTCTCGCCTCAAGTTCTTCAAAGCATCCGATTGTCGAGCTCAGAGATTTTTTCGAGTTCTCAAGGCTCGTGATCGCACCGGGCACACTCGCGAAGTTCGAGGCTACGAATGTCAGCTGGCTTCTCAAGCCGGGACGCTCTAACAAGTCTTTCGACTTCCGAATGGTAGCGGCCTCGCTGCTATCCAGATTTTCTACCACACTCCTGACGGTATCGAAGTTCGTTGCGTAATACAGAGCGGCGTACAACCATGTCCCCCATCGCGTCACTATCGGCTCGGGCGGAAGTGCCAAATTCGGCGCTTTGGCTCGAAAGGCTCGGATACGTGACGGAGCCTTGGGGAAGACTTTCTTAACATTCGCGATCAGAGAATCGACTTCGGGAAACAGAATCCGGATTTCCTCGCAAACCCTATGAATTCCGTGGACTATACAGGTCAAATGGATCATTTTCGGGAAAACAACTCTTAGTCCGACACCAGCCTTCTTCATATACGGAGCTGCATCGGAGACAAACAGTAGCACCCGGTCATGTTGAATTCCCTCGGGCCACAAAAGGCTCAGAGAGTTTAAGAACGCCTGGGCGACTGTCGCATGGTTCGTTTGCTCGACAATTTCTGATCCGATGAGAAACGCTTCCGAAGGTTCCCCCGGGATTCAGACAGCCAATTATCGTGTTGACAACGTACTGCCCTTTAGCATCAGTTGTCTCGTCCACTGACACCCAAATTCGGTTGTCACCTACCACTCCGCGAATTCGTTGGAGCGTCGCGTCATACAGTTTCTTGAGGTAGGTTTTGCGCAGCGTTGTGTGATCGGGGATTTCATTCTTGCAGTACTTCTGTAGAAAACTCCGGAAGGAGAGATTCTGCAGCTTGAAGAGGGGAATGTTCGCTTCGACCAACATCTGACATAGATCCATATTGAAATGGCTTTCCTTCTCCGACAAATCCAGGAAGTTCTTCAGGAGACACAGATTTTGATCTCCGTTTGAGGGTCTCCTCATGCGTTCTTGATGCATCGCAGAATTAACGTGCTGCTGCACAAAGTATTTATTTTCTGTGTTCACCTCTTTCTCACACACCCTGCAGGTGAGCACGATTCCATCGGTCATGAAAATTACTGCTCCAAACTCTTTCACATAGAGTTCATTCTTCCTTCTCGAACACAACTTCTGTTTCGGCATCGCGTACAACTTTATCTTAAGAGAAACGCCGTGAACAATTCGAAAGGGAAGGATTTTCAGAGCAGGAAATCCGTACACCTGAATCTTCTCGATAAAACCACTATCGAGCGCCCAGCTGAAAACAAGAGGTGTTCGCTCGGCACGTCACTCGAACGGGAATCGCTGCACGACGCAGACATCCGAATCAATGGGACGGGCTCTCTCGAGCTTCGAGAATGCTTCTAGCGCCGGATATCATCTACCCGGAGCCTGAAATTGGGGCAAAAAAGGCAAAATGCCTGGGCGAAACGTGAAAAAGGCAAAAGTTCGCGAAAAAGCCGAAAAAGGCAAAATCTGGCATTTATGGCATTCTGCCTGAAGTTCCAGGCCCTAATCATCACTTATGGCTCTCTCTATAAGAGACAAGATTGAGCTGTCGAACTCACTCGAAACCTCCGATTGAGTACCTTCCGTCAGCAGCTCTCGTCCCCCTTCCTCCCACAATCACGTTAAGGAGGAACATTTTCCAAGGCAGCGATTCTGTTTTTCACGCGGGAGCCGTCAGTCCGGAGGCTCAAAAAGACAAGCGAAGCCAAGCAACCCATACATGTCCCAGTAAAACCTTGGCTATACCATTGAATGACTGACAGAAGCAATCGATATCGATCGATTTAATGAATATTCCGTGTATCGCATTCAGACCTCGATTGTATCGGCCATCTTCAATTTTGTTAAGATCAAGGCGAGACTCCGGAGGCTGATCAGAATCCATTTCATCGAGGTTTTCGAATCGACTGCTATATGGCGACTTGAGCCAATGAATCGAGCTCGACAAGAGCTATCCTGACGAAGAGTCAGAATTTCGGAAAGAAACAGCGCCATGACTGATGAAGTAATAGGAGAGAGACAAAGTCTTCATGCTGGAGACAGCTTTGTAATGATTTCGGCTCGATAAGAAATCGTCCCCGGACAACCCGTTGTGCGTCGGCTCCTCATTGGCCAATTGCCCAATGGCTAGCACGAAGGTGTCCGCCGCGTTGACTCGACCATGGAATCCTACGTTCGTACGACCCTGAGAGTATTCGTAGCTCGGTCTCGTAAAACTTGACCGAGGTAATGTTTGAGCGACATAGGATTTTTAGAGGAAGCGGTCGGATCGTCGTGTGTGTTTGCCGTCTTCGTGGCTATGGGAAGCTCAAACAAAGGCCTAAAACGAGAGCGTACTATAAGGATCGTCGATGGCTCTCCTGTTGACTTTTCTCGAGGAAGCTAGTTTTCTTTCTCGTAACCACGTCACACCGAGGATGACGCCGAGAACATTTCGTCGGCTGAGGCCGTGAAGTTCCCATTCATGGTGTCCGACTCGCTGAGGGTCGGATAATTTTCTTCGCTGGAGCTGTTAGCCGCTCTCCATCGAGAATTCTAGTCGTCTCAATCGAGGAGAAGTGCACCACGCGGAACGGAACAAATTGTCGGAGTAGAATGATGCAGTGTTGGAATAATTCCGATCGCTTGGGTGAAATCTTCGCGAGCTTTCTCCCATGAAGGCGACGCATACATAAATAAGGATATCCTTTCTTCACCGTCTTTTTTGAACTTTTTAGTTCAACTTTCCCCACCTGTAGCCTGTGCTATCGCCGATCTCGACGCGTTTTTGCTGTGAGACGCTCCGGAGCGGGTGGGGTGAACCGACCGGCATTCTGCATTCCAGTCGCAGGACGCGTCTCCAGACAGCCCAAGAACTCACTGAATCAACACATAGCTGTCGAGCCACGACCAGACTCGATGACACCGCCGATCGGTTGCTGGGTCCCGAATGACGGTTGAAATGCTGAAAAACAGGTCAGATACCATGGCTCGATCCGAAGTCACGCTGCACCCTTCCTGGAGCCGCTGGAGAGTTTGGCCTCTAAGTTCCGTTAGGCGAGATCACTCCATCAAAGTTGGTCATTCACATTTGACGAGGTCTTCAGTATGCCAGCCTCCGGGTCTCTGTTTCTCATCGAGTTCGAGAAGACGACCGCTCAAAGGTCACTCGACACAGGTCGTTTTTTTTCATGCTTAAGATACAGTGAGTTAGCTTCGTCTCGAGTCAATCTTCGCATCTCGGAACCATTGTTCAAGAGCTCATGTGCGCCGACATCATCATGGCAGTCATCGGAATCGTGGCGGGACGGATCGTCGCCGAACTCAACTCTAATTCCGATGCGTTTATTCGGGAAAAACACAACGAATGGACAGATCGCACTAATGGCCGAACTCCCAAGAATCTCTTCACAATTTCGATTCGTCTGGGGTCTTAACGACCATGACCTGTAGAGGTTTTTCTGGCGCGGATGATGATTCCATTTTCTTGTGGCTGTGTCCGTTCACGGGCCTGGCACCGGAATTCCGTCTCCCGAAGAATCTCTCCAGATTCACCGCCGGCAATTCGTAGAAGAGATGGAGAATCGTAGCAGCGGCGATCGCCAGCACCCAACGACCCAGACCGTCGCGTATCTGCAAAACACGGAAGAAATTTCCGGATTTCTCACTAAAGGTTGAGGTTCGCAAATCCTGATCGGCATGGCTTCCATAAGCTCCCACTCACCAGGATGAAGAGATCCAATTGGTAGGGTGTGCTCACTCTTCCGATCCTTATCAGGAGGATCGGATAATGGCAGAGGAAAATCCCGTATGACAGTTTGCTCAGTACGTGGAATCCTTGCCAACTGTAGAAGCGGAACAGAATGCCTGTAATATATCTTTATGGATCACGAAATGACCGATTCGCTGCTCGACCGCGCGGATCGTGGATCGAGTGCCTCCGGAGCGAGAATGCTACCATACCTCCTCGACCGGTAGCCAAAGCATAAACCATCCAGAACTTCGCAATCGCCCATAGCGTCCGATACGAGGAGCCGTAGAACGCGTAGAGAGCTCGTCGATGTGCGATGCTGCTGTCGTCCTCGGCACCGTTCCACACGGTGTTGATTAGAATGAGTGAAATCGTCAGCATTATCGAGAACCACCATAAGATCGCTTGAGAGACCTGGGGAAGATGCACATGCTTCAGCGGGAGCGCCCTACGAAGTCGATTTTCGTACCATACTGATCTCGCCGAGTTCTCGGTTAAAATCGGGATCGGTCACTTGCCAAACTCAGGCGCAGTTTGCCGTGATGGACAACGCAGTAAGCGCATAGGATGCCCATTACGTAGGTTGGAGCGTGGCTCCACGGCTTGTGGTAAATAATTTCGGCAGTTCGCAGTATTTTACTGGAATGTTCGACGTGAACATCAACACCTAATTGGGGGCATTGATTGCACTGATATGGTCGTAGTTAGCGATCAGGATACCCACTTGAGACTTGGGAAACCAAAAGACAAGGCGGGATGAAGATCATCGATCCATGTAGCGTACATTGTGTACGCGGTCGATGACAGGACGACCAATAGGGTTATCGACAAAAAAGCTCTCCTGGATCTGCAGACGAATGAGTCTTCAGACAGAAGTTCCCTTTGCGAATGAGTTCGAGAATACGTAGTTTTCCGAATTCAAGCCTTACTTGAGGAGCACCAATGTCAACGGCAGTGCGAAGACGTAAATCTGCATCTCGGTGGCGACGTACCATGTTTCCTCTAGGCACTGGAAAAATATGGAGCGTTGCCGGCAACAATGTGGGCTCGGAATTTATTCCTCCTCGACCCCAACGTGCGAGGGCGGCTTTCGAGAGAGGATGTCGGGGAACTTACGTGATTTTTCCAAGGCAGGAAGTTCATGTAATGTAGGAGTATGCTCGGCCAATGCGAAACACACGAGTCGAATTCTCTTTTGTAGAAATCGGCTTTATTGTCCGCAGCTCCGTAGGTGACGAGATCGGACATTAGGAAGCACATCAATACTACAGCCAGTGGCACCGTGAGTCTTGAAAATGAAATTTGCTGTCAAATCGCGAATGAGGATGCGATGAGGATCAGAATCAAGATTGCGCGAGATTACAGTGGTCAACGTCTTACCTCAGATATCGTCGAACATATTGCCGCAAGCAGTAAAACGGAAGATTCTTCTTTTGAATTCTCGTAGCTTTGCGGAGGATCGAATACCCGATCAAAAAACCCGTTATGAAGAAGAACGACGATACGCTCAAATATGAACTTCCGAGCCCGAGATTGTGGGATAGTCGAGTCTGAATCTCGTATAACGAGAAGCCGGGATCTGCGGTGCCGATCAAACTCTGAGTTCTCCTCTCGAAAATTTCCTATGAAGGGCTGGTAGTTGTACGAGAGGAAGATGAACGCTCCCGAAACTCACCCACGTTATCATACTTGCTCAGTAGGAAGCCGTGTGCGTATACAACCCAAAGGCTTAGTAAGACTCTCATTCCGAAGAGGAACGTCAGAGACTTGTCGCGGATACGTATGTCAAAAAGCGTTCTGCTATTCTTAATTAGGGAAAAACACAACAGGAATTCGGTTATCCGGCTCGGACGAGGAGCAGGTGACGGCAGGATTCTCTTTTCGGGTGCATCTGTGAACATCGGGGATTATTAAGAGAGAAGGCCTCTGGAAGGTGATCAGCAGACTTTCGGCAGGTCCCGAGACGAAATCAGGGAGCGAATGAATTCCATCGGATCGAGATCGAAATCCGCGAATTCATTGGGCTCCGAGGATATGAGCGCGCTACTCCCCGATCGAGCAGCGTCCTTGAGGTCTTTTACGGAATCGAGGGCACGTTCTCACAGAAAATGTAATACGCGCTGAGCCGTCGACTAGTAGTTGCGCGATGTTATTCTGATGCCGGATTCACCCACATCGGTTCTCTCGGGCTGCAGACGCAACGTACCTGTGGCCTTCGTCACAGGGAGTTCGGCAGGTTTTTTCAAGCGTTTGTAATCAGCCGCCGTGCCCGTGAACACCAGCAGGGAAGATACCACTCCGAAAACTCTGAAATCAGGTACGGCGAGGAATCGAGCAATTTATTCACGGAACTCGACAGAATAATCGTCGACGATCAAGCTCCGTTCCGATCGCTTACGTTATCAGAGTATGTCTCCAGAGCCAAGGTCGCGCTTCGCCCGTCTCACAGCTTACGACTGTGGCGTTCAAACCAAAATCTCCGAGGACTGAAACGGGAAATCGCGATCGTCACTTGGGGAGAATATTTCGCTCGAAATATCCACGCTTGCCGATTCTATTTCGTTCCGTGATACTCACGGCTCCGGAGAACGTATGTGAGCTCGTCCTCAGTGCAACCGTCTAGGAAACAGAGTCCCATACGCAGTCCCGTATAGCCCCAGACCGGGGCTTTGTCCAAAGCATCTAGCCGACGACGTCCCTGCAGATCAGGCCAACGCTTAGAACTCGCATTTCGGGAAGAATTCGGCTGACATCCCCCTGACCTGCCTTCGTTGTGGGAACACACCAACATGTAGCCGTACTTCTGGAAATCTCCCTCCAATTCGGCGATTAGGTGACGAGGCAGCGTGAGATAAGTCGTACAGTACGAGCCTCGTAAGTTTCCATCGAGATTTCGCGTCTTCACGCACTGGGAGTAACCGCCCATTGCGCCCAGAGACCCCTCGAATACGTTGGGGGTGACGTATCCGTTTGCAGCCATTACTGAAATCACGTAAGGAGCCATTGCGTTCAGCATGAGCTTGAAATGCCGGCGAAATTCGGATACGAATTCATGCGCGAAGGTACTCACTCCTGAACGCCCAGACTTGATTGTTCCGCGCACCGATCAGCAGGGTTAAAAGGCGACTCGAACACATTGAAGACAACTCCGGACTCGTGACGACATCAGAAACGACCGGGTACGCTTTCGCTATCAGAGGATTCAGAACCCCTTGTACGGTATCGACCAATGACTGGAAACAAGAGTTCAATGCAATGATTCCCCACGCGATGCCACGGTCTCCGTGGAAACGCCACCCAAGAAGTTGTCGGACAACAGAAAAATCACTCTCGTGGGATCCGACGGGAAATAAGAGGGGAACAGACCTTATAGGTGACAGTCTCTTCCGATGCATCGTCGTCGATAGCTTGCTCCGGGTCCGCACCCCGAACAACTACGAGGAGAAGTACAGCGATCAGCGTAAGTCGCATCGTATCCTTTGTCACAGAGCTCTAGCAGTGAGAAGTTCAACGGGTTACTGAGTTCGGTCTTCCAAAGACATGCGCACCAGAAAACAACTACTAGACAGTTGAGGAAAGTACTCGTCAAATCATTACGAGCACCGTAAATTTCCAGACCAGCCTTGTGCTCGCACAAACTTGTGCACATTAATTCTTTCCCGATCGCCGGGCTCTCCCTCTGTTCTCTTTTCTTTCGGCGTTTTCCTTCCTCTCCACTTTCCTAGACTGTCATCATCGGAGGGGCATACGTGCGACGATGCATGAAGCACGTGGTCGGAATCGGCTCGTCGTCGCCGCAGACGGAGATCTTGATCGGAAATTCGAGATAATGTCCCCGAGCGATCATCACTTGTCACAGAGCTTGGGATCGATGAGCCTCGGGCCTGTGAAGGACACGGGCATGATATATTCCAGACTCCAGAGAGCCGACCCATCCAACAGGAGTTGTTTTCAGAAACGCGCCTCCCGAGTTACGACGTCAGATGTTCGGCGGACCGCGTGCCGTGAGCCATTTTTCCTCTTTAATCCCGGACTTTGCCGTCATGTCGTACGAATGCGTATCGAGCTCTACTCGCTGCCCGTTGAGTTTTCTCTCGCTCTTAATTTCTAACGCCTGAAATGCTGCTCCGTTTTTTCCCTTGTCTACGCCAAAAGCCGCACGATCCTCGCGTCATAGCGAGCGCCTAAATCCCGCTCGCTGGACGGCTTCCAGAAATTTTATCCGGTTTTCACACGGTTCTGGGAATAGTGGATTACGATTACATGGATCCGCATCTTCGTTTTTGGCTGTAATTTCGACGCGTGACTGCTCGAATAACCCGAGAAGTTCATCTCGATCTCATTTAACCACTGAGCCAACCTACACTTCACGTAGGAACTATTTCCCCGTACAAGGATAGGGATCTCTGATCGAGGTCTCGCATCTCTTTCAGGGATATGCCGAGACTCCTCAAGGTACCTCAGCAAGAGGGAAAGCTCCCAGGGATTGCTTTTTAATGATCGTTCTCTATACATTCAGATTTTGCCGAATCGCGATCGCTTGGAGAAACGCCGGTACATTGATGACACTCGAAGACAACGATTCAAGTCAGGCAATCGACCGTCTAGCCGGCAGTAGGTATATGGTGAATACAATGGCGGACGACAATAAACTTGGAATGATATCCTCGTATGCTCCCCATCTCACTGCCTCTCCAGGCTGTCGGCACGAAGCCGAGCGAAATTTCGTCGCTCCGAGCGAGTCCTTTTTATCGTCGAATCCGAGTTTGGCCGGAGTTCGGAGGAGGCCCCTTCCGGTTGTGAGTGAACATGCCGATGACTATCGAGCCGTGAGCAGGAGTCGGATCGAGTTTACTGCGCTCATCCGCGAAATTTCGGATCCGGAGCTTTTTTGCGGAAACGGATTACTGAGGGCAAAATTTGGGTTCATGGGACGGAAAATTGACTCCGGTTTCCGCTACTTCCCGCGGTTATATCGCTCGGTGAAGTGCTTTAGACTGTGAGGCTCGCGACTTCGTGATGGTGAGAAACAGAGCGATCAGCCTATGGAAATTTCGGAATACTCCCGGACCTGAAAGAGAGTCGAAGATCAGAAGATCCTAGTCGGTCCATCCATATTCAGGCACCTACTCGGCAACCCTAATTCTGGCCGCGCAAGGGCGCCGCACAACTCGCAACGAGGAACCAGTGCTCACACGGAGTCTGGGGATGATTCTTTTTACAACTCCTGGGGGCGACGTCGGAAAAAAATCCTACCGAGACCTGTGCGAACCTTCCACACTTCCCGATCCTTGCCCTCTCCCCTCCTCCTGAGTCCGGACTGATGCGACGAAGCTGCTACGAAGACATTCGAGTCTAAGGAGGGTCTACTAGTCAATATGATGGACAGATTGAGGGAAGATGAGGGAGAATCCGCAGCAAGTGGGGAAAAACAATCGCTCATCGATAATTTTGACGGAGACTTATTTACTTTTGGACGGAGGAAACGAGAAACGCAGGGTCCATTGTGATGTCTTCGGTTCGCAGGACCGTTCAGCTACTGGATACAACGATGAATGGAGTCCCTTTGTGAGCCTTTAGCTCCGAGTGGCATCAAATGAACAAGCCTGGCTAAAATCAACAAAAGCCACTGTCTGTTCGGTGCAGTGTGCTCGGGCGTCGAGCTGTCGCCACCACTTGACTTGCATTGTAACACCTGAACCTAGCGCTAATAAAAGGCTAATTTTTGTGGTTCTACCAAAGTTATTCTCCACACAATGTCCACGGAGCTTGAGTACACACGCTGCCAAGCGGACGGACGGACAGAGCGCGCGGACACAGACGCACAATGCACCACACGGATGGTTCACTGTTCCAGCTCGCAACCACCCAACGCGCTCGAGGCTCCGTCAACCTCCCAAAGCAGGAGACTTCTTCGAGCGGACCGGAGAGAATTGAGCTACAAATTGTTTCGTCTTTTGTCCATCGAACAGGAGATCTTCAACGTTTGTTTGGAGGACCCGAATGACAGTCTGGGTGGTATCCGAGCGAGAGTTTGCAGACGTAGGCTCAAAATAAACACGGTCAATCGACCTCCGATCGGGGAGATGTCTCATTGCAATTACCCCCCACTCATAAAGAGGGTCCCGATCATTATACCGATATTCGGGGTCCGGATGTCTTTCGGTCTGATGACGTCCCTGGTCGGATGGAGCCGAACGCCATGTTCCCGATCAAAGCTCGTAGAGTGTCTTCCGCGGAGGAGTCTCCGGTCATCGTATCGCGTAGGAGATGTCCGATTGGAGGACCGTTGCTCATATTCACAAGTCAGAAGTCTCATCTTCTCCGGTTCACATCCGGCTGGAGCACGCTCTGTGAGGCACAACAAATCCGAGCGTTTCGGGCACCCTGGGTCGAAGTCGCTGCCGTCATCTACCTCGTGGAGCTGCCGCTTAGAAGTGGGTTCGCCTACTTGATTTGCAAGCGACAATCACTTCCTGCAGGAAGTCTCACGGATCTCTCCTCGACGACAATTTAACTGCAATTCATCTCCGATTGACCTCTGTCTTCGCCTTGTAGATATGCAAAACACGCAGCTTGTGAGATCCGACACCAGCTCGCAGACAGCAATGAACGAATCATCTGCATACTGGGCGACCCAAGCGGCAGTTAGTCAAACGACGAGTTGCTCATTCTCGACGCTGTCAGAACCCTCAGTGATTCATTGCGATGACTTTGTTTCCGGCTGTACTGGACAAATCACCGGGAAATTTCGCTTGGAATATTCTGTGATACTATCGTGCTCATCACAAGTCTGGAGTACTTCATTTTCCACTAAGGGAAGGAATCGTCTCCGCTTGGGATAAATGAAGACATCACAGCTCGAATCCTAAAACCTCAACCACGAGCGAGCTCTGGGAAGTCTCGATTGAGTAACATGTTTACTGTAGAGTTCGTGTTCTGAAATGTCTCAATCGCTGTGCTATCGCTGTTGACTTCAATTTAGTCTCTATGACAATTGAGTCCCTGCCTGTGTGGCATACGGTGTTGGCTCGACTTGTTACACAGAAAATCAGTATCGTAAATCGTGCGCGAACTATGGCTCGGAGAGGTGGTCGCTGTTTTGTGAATTCGCTTGTTCACAGACTGGGCGAACGAGATAAGACTAGAACATACATTTCACACGGCACTACGCAACAGGCAGGGATACGACGGCGGCGCCGCAAACCGAAGACAAACTCGATGAATTGTTTCGTCAAAGGGTCGTAAACATCGCTTGAATCTATGAGCGGGCTTTGGTGTCGCTGAGTGACTTTTCGAAACCCCTCCTCTGTCGAAGGGAAGAAATTCTCTGCGAAAGAACCTCACTACGGAGACTCCGTAAGCGTGTCCGATCGAGATTAGAAGGTCTGCGTTTTGATATCGAAGGATCTCACACAGAGCTCCGGTAATAAATCTCCGCATTCGGATTTAGCCGACCGCTCCAAGACTTCGAGAGAGACGGAGGGACTTTTGAATGTAGATCATGCTTAATTTCGAGGACACTGGAGGAAGGCGGACAGGAATGCAACTTGAACCTTCTCGGCTGCTCCGCATGGATTTCCCAAGTCGGTGGAGAAGAATGGCGAAAACCCGAAAAATTCGATATGTACTCGAATCGCAACTCGAGCGTCGAAGTTTATCATCTGATTTCTTCGGATGCGGAGCTGTACCATCCTCGAAGCTGTGAGTGTATCTAGCGCTGAGCATATCTCGAATAAAGTCGATACGAGCGGGTTCGTGAAATTTAAAACGCTCTGCTCATCTTTTGTGCACCTGGACAGGTACGCGGGAGTCGCAGAGGACATCGAACAGGCAACCCTTTGAAGCCCGTGATAGTCGACACCGTTTTTAAGGTTCCTGTCGTCAATCCCAGAGGACACAGCAGGATAAGAACGTCGGGCTCCGAATACCCCCGAACCTGCAGGTTTCAAACTCAGAATCTTCCGATCCGAGTGTCAAGAATTCCGCGAATCTCCTTGGAATACCCCCGAGAAGAGAAAGAATTAGTCAGCTCATGCCGATTGAGAGGAATCCATTGAATCAATGCGAGGGGTAGGTGTCTCCGCCTGTCGACATCGGCTCCTCACGGAAGCTCGTAAAATAGCTCAAGGCTGCATTCGTGGCCAAATATGTGCACTGTGATATGCGTGTAATGGCGCATCCATTGATATGGGACGATACAAGTTGGCTGCCGATGGAACAGCTGATTAAACACGAGGGCGATAAAATTAATTAAAGATCTACAACACCTTTGTCGCTCTCCCCTCCCCCTGTCGTAGACAGTGTCTCGATGGCGGGGCGACTCATCTCCACCGAGTGTTCTGACGAATCAACGGGCGCGGAGGCCCAACAGAACGAAATAAACTTGCATGGCATGGCCGGATCAAGCGAGTATCAATGATGGCTTGGCAAATAGCGCCACCTGCTTCAGCGAGACTCACGAGCGAGGATTCACAAGCCGAGAGACGACAAGCTCGTCGGCCGAATCCAGCTCTGTTTATTTGATCGGCAAAGGGATGGCACAGTGACTGCAATGCAGGTGAATCACACCTCCAGTCTGACAATGTTTTCGTTTGAGCTTTGGATTTCCTTCGCGCGTTTCTCTGACTACAGAACAGATCACCGAGGG